CAACGATCGTACTCCGTTGGTACACGTGTCGTTAGGATTTCCGGCTTTCCATCGAACGAAAGCAACACGGAAAGAAGACGGTGCCACGAAAACGCCGACGTGTTTCGAAACACGTTTGTTATTATTGTCCGTATTACCGTTACCGATTACAGTGATTATTGTCAAACTAGCGATCGTGACTCCATTATATTATCCGTCGGCATTGTCGGCAACATTACGACAGCAAAAAACTATTAGAAAAACGTAACGGTTCCAACGTTACACGCGCAGTTTACGTTTTAAGCTCCATTTTTTTTTTTTAAATACTCGTTTCTCGTATAAAAATAAATCTGTGCGTTATCCAGTTTTGTAAAAGAGTTTGCAGAACACTGGAAACAAAACGATCGATTTGTTCGAATTTTATAAAAAAAATGGAAAAGAAAATGACACTCGTATAAAATATTTTGACTTGAATGAAAAAAATTGCAAAATAACGAAACTGATTAGTTCAAGAATCGTTGTGAGAGACTAAATAATATACAATTCTGGCTTGCTCCGTGGCGTAGGAACGTTGAAGCGTTATTACGTTTCTACGTTTAGGGATTTCGTCAAATTATAGCCTGGAATGGTTTCTTAAGTTATAATCTATCGTTGTGTAAATCAATCGAAAATATCGTTGCGTCGTGAACGTTCGACGAAATAAGCTTGCGCCATTGACCGTTAACTCCTCGTTTCGCATAACTGCAGACCCAAAGTGTATAAATTCATCGTACGAAGCTTTTTCCTTGTTTCCATTTCTTTTTTTTTATCAAAATATTTTTAATCACTCTCGACAATGTAATACAATAATAAGACCGTTATTGTATCGTCCCTTTCGAAATAAATAAATACGTACTCTTACATTCGTGTTAATTCAGCATATATTATATTTTTTTTTATTAATGTAACGCTTCTTAATAGATTATTTAAAAAATTCAAGTGCTTACTTTCCTTCGGAAATTCTTTCTTTTTATTATTGTCTTCGGTAAGATTATATTCGTGCTTTTTATATATTCTCACGGATGAAAGAAAAAAAACGAAGAGTTAACGCGTTCCTTTAAACGAGTTTTAACAACGTATCGCGTATAAATACTACAGGATTTGTTGCTTCATTGTAACACGTGCATGGGATTACAAGATATTATTGTCGGCACTGTGAATCGTCCAAAAAATAAATATTTCGAAAGCGCGTCGTTAAATCCTAGCGACTAATAACACACGCCTAAGCATTTCGTTTATCGCGACTACACTCGATTATCGATCGCCGTGTACCTTGCCCTTAACGATATATACATACATACATATATATGCGTATATATCATAAGTAATAATACAGTAATGTAATGTGTCATATACAGGGTGGGTCGTGAATCCTGTTACTAACGGAATAAAATAACTGAGAATTGCAAAATATAATTTCTTCATACTTTCTATGCAATTAAAATGACAGAATTTTTAGATATTTTTAAAAATGTCCATGACAACATTGTCAACTAACTTTCTAAACATGTTGAATTCCATTAAGAAACAAACTTCATTTCCTAACATAATTTTTCAATATTAATATCGTATCAAGAAATATCTGCAAATGCATTTTGTATAACAGATAAAAATATGGACAAACTCTTACGCGAAAGAATTAAATATAAAACGTACGATTCCTTTCGAGCTTTGTTTTATCGACTAGAATGAATGAAAATCAACATTTAGATAATATCGTATCAAGAAATATCTGCAAATGCTTTTCGTATAACAGATAAAAATATGAATAAACTCTTACGCGAAAGAATTAAATATAAAACGTACGATTCCTTACGAACTTTGTTTTATCGACTAGAATGAATGAAAATCAACATTTAGATAATATCGTATCAAGAAATATCTGCAAATTCTTTTCGTATAACAGATAAAAATATGGACAAACTCTTACGCGAAAGAATTAAATATAAAACGTACGATTCCTTTCGAGCTTTGTTTTATCGACTAGAATGAATGAAAATCAACATTTTAGACATTTGTACCCTAGATTTCTGTGGGAAAAAAAAATATTTTACATTTTCAATTGCGTATTAATTCAAGATTATTTCTCTACGAGTAATCTCTTTCCAAACATATTAAACCCGACCCTGTATATGCACAACATATAATACTTTGTATACTAACCCCTTTGTATGTATTATAATATTCGTTAAGTTTACCAATTGATATTACATTATATTATTTACACACCGTTGAAGAATATCAGGATTCGTATCGTTACTTTTCCATTAATATCTCTTCGCGTGCTTGTCTCCAAAGTCCCCCCACCCCTCCCCCAAAAAAAAGAAACTACGATTACGGACGTGAACGTTAAAAACGAAATTAAACGAACACGATTCAGCGAGATAAAGGATTGGAATAATCGCTAAGGGATTAATACGATGTCGCGAAATGGCGTTTACGTAACATGGGCTCAATGCGTACGTATATATGCGTATGTGTATATGTATATTAGTTACACCCACGACACGGCAGATAAAACGCGTGTAACATCTAATTTCCCTCGTCGTTCAGCACGTAGAATTATATACCCGGCCACATATATATGATCATATATATGATCATACATTTATACACGTATCTGATATTACGAATTTTATAAGTTTTAAAAAGTTTCGCGTCAATTGACTAATCTCGTGGATATTCGGGCAACGAAACGAAAGGGCTGCTCGAATAATGGTACATACACAGTGCTCCACGTAACTTTACGATCCGACGTTAGATGTACACAGTGAACCCGCGATCGATCGTTTCTGAGATTGCTATTCTCCCCAGTTTACTGTTCCCTCCGTGATATCGTACAGAGTTTCGCTAGAACCCGTCACGCTGACCAACCGTACGGAACACGCCTGCTATTAATAATGCAAATATAACTCCTCCCGTCCTATATCCGAGCGATATACTTTCATCGCTAGCGAATCGGTACACTTTGATATATAATGGAATTAGATAATGTAATATATAATATCTTTTATACGTATCGTCTTCGTTTAATACATTCCTTTTAACTGTATTTAATGGTAATGGTTATGCAATCTTCCATTTATTCAATGTCGACTGTACAAACGAACGATCGACGTTCAACTGTATACGTACTAAATGTATGTGTACCTTCCAAACCGTACGAATATATGTATATATACATCTATATTGTTTTACGATTCGCCCGCGAAACAATGCAATGAATTGGACACCTTGTTATCCTCGTTCTCTATATACCACGTGCCTCACATATCGGTGATCCGACCGAATATCACCAGCAGCATTTCGTATATAGTAACGAAATATATAAGTTTGTACGTGTATGTGTGTCTGTGTATATGTCCGTGTACGGATACATGTATAATATTACGAAGTACAAACATCTAGGACAATGTATATAACGCGATGTACTCCTAATTCGCGAACTTACGTTCGAACTTTCATGTGTATATACTTTCATCAAATACGTACAGTAGAACTCGATGTATCCGAACCGTGGGCGCCATTCTCCTAACGATACCAGGATCTCGATAAATTTTATCTGCGATTAATATATCGATATTGACATGAACGTTCTTCTACCTGGATTTTCGAGCCACGATAATCCAAACTGTTTGAACCTCCTCAGACATGCCGTGTGCGTATGTGCGATACAATTCGTTGAAAAAGTATACCGTATTCGACGATGTATCGTTTCGAATAAAAAAAAAAATAATTTACTCTTTGCAGCACCAATTAATGATTCTTAATTGAAATTCCCCATTAATTTATGTTTGGAGATAGAAATAAGTGTTCTTCTTCCTCAAGACTGTTTAAATTCTTGCGCCACAAAGAGCGAAGAAATATATTATTTTTTTTGTTATTGAAATATGTTTTTTCTATCAAAATGCTGCTCGATTATACTTCTCTGTAGTTCAAGCATCGAGACGAGTTAAAATAGCGTAAAAGCAATAGTAGTAATCCTAGAATTGTGAAAAGATTCGAGGAAAGCTACAACACTAGAATATTTCGAACCATCAAATTCTTTCGAATCGTATAATCCGAATAATTCGATTTTTTCACTTCGACGACGTTTCAAGCAGCTTGAATATTTTTAGTAGCACGAACGAATTGAAATATATTTATTCTTATGTCTACATTCCCTTTATATAAGGAGAAATTCCCGTAAATTGAATAATTTGAACAAAATAACTCGACTCTGGTGCGAATCCCAGTCAGAGAAGTAACATGTGCAGCCATTGAAATTTTATGAGAAATAAAGAAAAAAGAAAACAAAGTATTTCGTGGCAATGGAAACAAAATTTCAAATCGAATCTTATGATATACGAAGAGAAATCGTCGTCTGAAGAGGTTGTGCGAATAGAAGTTTCATCGAAGAGATCAGGTCCCAACAAATAGAGCTCTACGGTACTTTACGTCTTATCATACTAATACTTTCATCTTGTTATCACTTTCTTACGAATACTTTCATACGTTTTCTGAATTTTGTTAAGGTCCGTGTGCTTGCGATTACATTTAAACTCGAAAGGCTTAAACAACGATCTTCGTCTACGACTCGTCACCGGATGAACGTTCTAACGTGTTTTCTCTTATCCCAACGTTCCACGGGACAGCGTTTCCCGATCGTCAGATCACTAAACGGAACTCGCCGGTCCCGTGGTTAAAATATTGACGTATCGATAATTAATTCGTTCTAGTCGCCGTGCGTTCGTTCGTCGTCGAGTAACCGGTTGTACTATTTCAAAATTCGCGCCATTCGAACGACGCGCGCGCACGTTCCTTCGTCAACGATCGATGACCGGCATTAAGTGTTCAATGTTAGTTTTGTCTTTTTCTTTCTTTTTATTGCTATGTTTCTAGTGCTCTGTATCGTTGAGTTGTGCCATTAGCGTAAAAAGAAGAAAGTAACGATATAGAAATACCTAAAAGTTTCAGCGATCGTGCCGAACTGATCCCCGCCATTCTGCAAAACCTTCCCGTTATTGTCTTCGAGTAATTATTGTCTGCGAAGGTTTGGCTGCTTTGTTATTGTCTGCTTACAGTTTTATTTAAGAATGTTTTATTTAAGTTTTCTATTTGCACGATAGAAATCCGCGAACGAATAATGAAGGTGTTTTTCCATTTCTATGCACACTTTTCTGAAAGGATATGTTTCAGATCCGTTTCGATTCGTTTAAACCAGGGATGATTAACTTCTCCGCCACAAGAGTTCTCCCACCATCATCAGAAAAGTAGAAGAACGTGCCACGATTGGCTACCCCAGTTCGCCATCCCCAATTTAAACCGATAAGTAAGGTAGAAAATATTTACTTTCGTTCTCGTCTACGTGAATATCTTGTTGCATAAAGCTTTGGTATTTTGTGTTTTACTTCGTTTCGTTTACCACTGTTATTTTTATCTTTGCTAGAAACCTCTTTACGAAAAATGATTTCGACGAAAGAACTTTCCCGTGGTTTCCTAGCGCGTCGATTTACAGCACTATGCCCTGCACTCTTAGGTATTGTAATGGAAACAAAATTTCATCCCTTGCAGTCTAATTGAAAATACAAAGCCTGACATTAGGCGCCTCGATAATGTAAAAGATCCCGAATCATCGAAAACTTATTCGTTACCTTTCCCATCTCCCTCTATTACTTCATTCCTCAGAAAAATCATTCTCGAATTGCCATTGCGCGGTTTCTTCGTGGCATCCTTTCGCTGAGATGTAAAAATCCTCGTAATTAAATTCCATATAAATTTTGTTTAAGACACAGTTGTACTATTTTCATTCCCAAAAAGGGGATTTAAATATCCAATAATTCTCCGCGCGAGAAATTATTAATTTCTCACGTTCATCGGTCACGACGTTGTTTACGTTTAAATCGGAACATAAATTGACTAATGGAGGACCTGGTCGATCGAAACGACCATTAACAAACAACGAGAGCACGGTCGGAATTAATTCCGACAAGCTCCTAGACTCGAATCGAAGTATCAGAAGCAGCTACAAAATGAACGCGAAACGATCCATCACCTTAAGAAAATGATTTCCTTACGCGTGGTCTCGATCATTCGGATATTGACAAATTTAGTTCCACTGTTGATTCTGCGTCACGTCGTGCGTGTGATCGTCCGTCACTGGCGGTTGTACCAGCGATGCGTGTACATCGGTAGCGAAAGGATTCGTCGAATGGAAAGGGTTGCTATTCGTTTCCGTCGATCCGTAGCTTATTGCGGGTTTATCCTGTTGGGCGTATGCACTGTCAGTGGGCAGTTGCTCGTAATTGTCCCAATCGTCGTTTGCACTTCCGCCCATGGATGGTTGTTTCTGGAAGAAAAACAAAATTACTCTCCTCGCGTGAATATTTATAATTCCATAAGATTGTTTTTAAGAGAATACACTGTCGTTTTTGTCTCATTTAACTTCATTGAAATGGTGTTAGTTTTGTTAAATAGGGGCTAACTAAAGTAGGGGGTAATTTGTTTCTGCAAGAAGAAAAAAATTACTCTCACGTGAATATTTATAATCCCATATGATTATTTTTAAGAGGATACACTATCCTATAAATTTAAACATTTCTTTGTGTCTTATAATATCCATCGAAATTGCTCCATCGTTTTTGTCTAATTTAGCTTCATTGAAATCGTGTTAGTCTTGGGGCTAACAATTGACGCTAACAATTGGGGCTAACAATTGGGGCTAACAATTGGGGCTGACATTTGAGACTAACAGTTGAGGACGTTTTAGTCTTATTGGGGCTAGTTGGGGCTAACAGACTATCGAAGCAAACGAAATTTCGCAAAATAGTCGCTGTAATATTTCAATAAACAGTCGAGAAACACGTATTAAAAATACTTTAAATTTACACACATTCAATTTCCAAGCTACTCGTGTTTTAACCATAATTGAGGCACCGTTAGAAGCGGCAAATCTTTCCCTTTAAAATGGATATTGTTTTATGTTGATACGACTTTCCCTTTTTTGGAGATATCGTCGTGTAAAGGAAGACGTAATATTTTTTAATTCCACTGTCTCTGTCTTCGTCTTGCGCGTCGGATGACTCTCTGGCTCGCGCGTCGTGCTGACCTAGCCCAACCGCGTGAACTGCGCGGTGGTCAGTGCGCGTAGTGTGTATCCACGGATTTACTATTACTACGAGTGCGTACGCACTTCCTCGAATTAAAGAGGGTCGTAGTATTTCGAGAAATACCGTCCAGCATCCCGTGTTTATTAATGAAACGCTTTAATATCTGCGAAACTAACCAGTGTATCAACTTGAAACAAAGTTAGTTATATTTACAGAACTAATTGCACTGTCGATTTTAAACAAAATTCATTTTCAGGGGTGCTTCGACTTCTATCCGACGGATATATCGACCATTAAAATTTATGTGGTTTTCCACGTTTATTTTGAAATCTACTTTGACGATGTGTACCTAAATACGTTTGGGCAATTACTATTGATTATTGTGAGCGTTAATTGCTTCGTGAAGAGGAACATTCTCTTAAATTTTAATGGGAGATTCTAGAGGCCAAAATAAGACGAAAATCAAGAATACCAATTTGTTGATTGAGGCTTCGTTAAATAGTTATCAACAAAATTATTCATAAAAATTGTCCATCTACACGAATTTTTTTCTCGAAAGTGCCTAGGATTTCGGGATTGTGTCTATTCACAAAAAATGATTGTAATTAACCCCCTCGACCGAAAATAATTTTCCCAGAACGATTTGAAATTTTTTAATTTCGTCGAAATATTTGTCCACCTCCCTGAATTTTTTTCTCGAAAGTACGAAGGATTTCGGAGGTATGTGTACTCACCAAAAATGATTGCAATGGACCCTCGCAACCGAAAATAATTTTTTCAGAACGATTTGAAATTTTTTTTTCGCAGAAAAAACATCTGCACCCTGTCGACATTTCTTAAAAATTCGTTTTTACAGAACGCTTTACAGACGCTTTACAGAAAAGTTGTTTAATACTTTCTTGTAGGTATCCATAAGCTCTACTTTGACACTAAATTTCAATGAGATCCATTGACTATTGTAGGAGTTATGGCCGTTTGAAAATTGGACTATTTTTATGGGGTTTTTCTAACTTTACGGGGTCAAGGAACAACTTTCCGAATATTCTTGGAATCCCTACATATTCTCCACTAAAATACGCGTTGTTTGCCGTTTTAAACATTAAAGTCCTCCAATCCGTTCAGAAGTTATGACGTTTTAAACATACGCATGAAATTTCAGTGAAACATATCAATGTATGGTCAGACATGAAATTTTCGGTAATGAATTTTTCTCTCGAGACTGAGTAGGATTTCGGTGGTATGTATATTCACCAAAAATGTTTGTAATGTTCCACTACAACCAAAAATAATTTTTTCAGAATGATTTGAAATTTTTTAATTGAATTGTTTATTTACTTTTTGACGATTTTCGTCTTATTTTGGTCTCTAGAATCTCCCATTAAAATGTTTCCCAGGTGTGACCGAACACCCTGTAAAATATTTGGTTCGAAAAAATGAATTTTGAAATTAAATGATCTTATTACAAATTGTCAGTAAAATAAACACACAACGAACGAATTTATGTCATTTTTACGCGAATGGTAGAAGAGTATCGGTAAATAAAAAAGTACTTACGATGAATTTAGACTGCATAGTCATTGGCGGTGGCGGGACCGGTGGTTTCGTTTGCCCAAATTCGTCCATAGCGTTCCAACTCTTTTCCTCTTCCGCGGAAGGATCAGCCCACGGTTGCAGTTCCCCGGAACAAAAGATTCCGTAGAATGTTACACCGAAAATATGCACACACGCCGCTATGATGAAGACGTTCTTCCAACTCTGAATATCCTGCAACACACACAAACGAAATAAAAATAACATTAATTTTACTCATAATTTAAAAACCACTATAAATACATATTTTGTGTATCATAGAAAGTTGTCCAAAGTTCAAACAGTTAAAACAATTGTCTTCCATTTTTCTTGATACAATAAAGACATATTACTATCGTTATTTTACAAACGAAAATAGACGTTAATGTTGACAAAAAATGTTTTTATAATACCTTCTTTTCTGTGATGTTATCCACGAAGAATGGTACCAGGAGTCCCGCTATTGTACCGATTCCGTTCGACATTCCCATCAAAATACTGGCGTATCTGGGCGCGATATCCAAGTGGTTGACGTTGAAGCCCGAAATGGCGAATCCACTGCAAGCCACGCCAATCGCAAGGGCAACGGTAGCCGCTGTACCATTTCTGTGCATCGTTGCGTTCGCCACCACCAAGAAGAAGAGCGCCTCCATCCCGAAACCACCGCAATTGAACAGTTTCCTAACGTTGGTTGTTGATAATATTCCACGTTTACGGAGGTAATCGGCGAGCAATCCTCCGCAAGGCACGATCGTCGTCATCAGCAAGTGCGGAAGCGAGCCAATAACACCGGTCTATAAAAAGAGTTTTCAAAAATTTGGTGTGTTTTCTATTTTCAATTGTGAATACGATGATTGCAAACACAATCGTGATTTAAATGATACTATGTTTCGTGTACATATAATATCAACGAATTTACATAAGAATGAAACAATGAACACCAGATTATCTTTCGATAAACCTGAAATCGAGTGACGAGTTGTAAGAAAGTGATCGTTATTGTGTTGAGCAGGAGATGAACTTACTTCGACCAGAGGCATACCAAAGGACTCGTGCATAAATCGCGCCTGATACAGCACCAGCAGATAGAAGTTCCAAGATCTGCAGAAGTTGGCGACGATGATGGCGTGCACCGGCATAGACGTCAGGAACTTCCGCCATGGCGTCGTGGCAAACGTTGGCACAGGCAATTGCGCCTGTTTATGGCCGAGAGAATCTTCGATGTAGCGAAGCTCGCGCGTCGAGATGCAAGGGTGTTTGGACGGCTTCTCGAAGGCTAGCCATAGCCAGAAACAGTACCAGATTAATCCGCATATGCCTGAAATTTTCAATCAAACTCATTAATACTGTGTGTTAGAAATTCTAAACGAAATTTTAAAAACGGTCATTTGACTTTTGTTCATTTTCATTTTAACGTATGAACTCTCAAAACTATTAAAAATACATGAAATAAATTTTTTCTTTTTTATGTGCCTACGTAAATTTATGTTATGAAACAATATTTCTGGTATTTGTATGATTTTGTATCTCATAACATTATTAATAATCTGTCAGGTAAAACCAACTACACCGTACTTATTGTATCTTGTATAACTATTGGAGTAAAAAAGTATTTCAATTTCTAATTTTAAATTTTGAGAATTATTACGAATGTAATGTATCAGGCCATATCATAAACCACTCATATGTATTTATGGTATTTGAATGAATATTTTTATATTTTATCGTAAACTTATTCTATACTTAACCTACATTAACCAAGTAAACCAAAACCTGTTCGAAATCTTAAAAGCGCAATATACAACATATTGTTGGCAATATCTTAGAATCTAAAAGAAAATATTTCAAGATCATTACCAATAACTGTTAAAATTGAGCTTTTCATATCACAACGAACATATTAATGTAGAAACTTAACTGTGAAAGTGGAGGAAATAATCGAGATGGTAAAATTTCAGTATAATAAAAGGTCATTTATCTTACCGTAGAAATAAAATGACGCCGTCCATCCGAAGCAATGACTCAAATAGCCGGAAAGCGGCATTCCTATGACTACCGCGGCGTAAGAACCGCAAAAAGCCAACGTCGCCAATCGCGATCTTTCCAACGGGGGCGCCCAAAATTTCCAAATACCGTGGCACGCTGGATACGTGACGCCCTGGTAGAAAAGAATATTACTAGTCGCGTCGAGACTTTGGATAAAATGCTCGCCATCTCACCTCCACCAATCCTTTCAACACTTGCACGCACATGTCGGCGATCGGGTCTAGCTTCAGTGCCCCGGGTACCAATAAGTTCAAGACCGAGGATATGGCGATCGCGGCGCCGAATATTCTGTTCGCGGGGTACAGGGATGCTAGAAACCCTCCTGGCACTTGGGTCACCAAGTAGCCCCAAAAGAAAGACGAGTCGAGGGCACTCTCGGTACCGACTGTCCAGTTGAACATAAGAGTGTGGTTGTCGCCCTCGGTACTGTTCTTCATTACTATCTTCGCCATCCCCATGTTACACCTCATACCGAACGAAATTATCAATCCTGAAACGAAACATTATAACGTAAGAAACGTACTAGGCTAACTCTAAAAATCCAGCACTGTATTTGGTCTGGTCTTGTTTTTAGGATATTTTGTACGAACAACTATTAAAACCTGCACAGCTAGGGGGAGTACCCTTTTCTTTTTAGGATATTTTGTACGAACAACTATAAAAACCTGCACAGCTAGGGGGAGTTCCCTTTTGTTTTATTTTGTACGAACAACTATTAAAACCTGCCCAGCTAGGGGGAATTCCCTTTTGTTCTTAGGATATTTTGTACGAACAACTATAAAAACCTGCCCAACCTAATGTTTTTAGGATATTTTGTACGAACAACTATTAAAACCTGCACAGCTAGGGGGAGTTCCCTTTTGTTTTATTTTGTACGAACAACTATTAAAACCTGCCCAACTAGGGGGAATTCCCTTTTGTTCTTAGGATATTTTGTACGAACAACTATAAAAACCTGCCCAACCTAATGTTTTTAGGATATTTTGTACGAACAACTATTAAAACCTGCACAGCTAGGGGGAGTTCCCTTTTGTTTTATTTTGTACGAACAACTATTAAAACCTGCCCAGCTAGGGGGAGTTCCCTTTCGTTTTTAGGATATTTTATACGAACAACTATTAAAACCTGCCCAGCTAGGGGGAGTTCCCTTTTGTTTTTGGGATATTTCATACGAACAGCTATTAAAACCTGCACAGATAGGGGGAGTCCCTTAAAACCGGGCAGTGGCGATATCTTTAGAGTGATATCTTAAATTTCATTCTTCAGGAAGATTCGTTAAGTAATTAGTGTAATGTACCTGTAATAAAATGTAAAAAAAATAGGCTACTACGAACGAAGACAGGATTACTTAAGATCATCAGTTTCTCTCTTTTAGAGTGCTTCATACGTAAATGGAAAAGTCAATGAGCGATATTCTGCCTCGAAATGTACTTCTCTTGAATAAGAACTTCTGTCGTTTAGTTTTAGTATCAATTTCATAAATCTCCGATTTGACTATCTCTGTGCTATAATAAGAAGTATTCGATTTCTTTTACAATAGGGAAATGTCTTTATAACCTTTGTCATATTCCTTTTCCTATACCTCTGCTAGACATTATATTATTTTCACTTTCCAATCTACGAGGAGACATGGTGTTATAATCAAGAAGAATTGGAAAAACAGTTGTTTTAAAACATAAAATTTTAAAGTTTGGATCGAATAAAAAAAATGGAAAATTGTTTTAAAAAGTATTTAAAATTGTATCCTGAGAGACCTATGTCCCACGTTAAGAAACACTGGAATGGAGTAAGATCATTATTGTAATTTATCGTATACTCGTTTTAAATTGTTCCATCCAATGCCTGAACTGTTATCCTATAATTTTGTTACATTTTGTTTATAATTTGCACGCTAATAAACATACAACAAGGCTTGAATTGTTTGCCATTAAAATTTCCTCATTAAAAAATCAGGTTTACAATTCATAATTAAATTATAACTCTCAAAATTTATTGTTTTCGTTATCATGCACTTTAAGGTATTAAAAAGAAAATCACTTTATAAAATTAATCATTTATATATATTAATGAAAGTTTCCTACAAAAACGAATGAAAATTTAATGTTTTCGTTGTCATGCACTTTAAGGAATTAGACAAATTATTTTTAGAAGGCACTAAACATAAACGAGCAAAAAAGATAATCACTTTATAAAAATAATCATTTGTATAGTTCAATGAAAATCGTAACAAAGTAAACAAAATGTACTGAACATGAGTAATGATTATAACTAGACTGCGGATCTTTATGCAAATTCACATTTTGATTAATAGAATTAATGAAATGGGAACTTTGTAGAGGGTTGTCTCAACCCCTAAATATAATAATTCGTATCTTACTTTAAGTATTTCTTATATTTTTGCATATTAAATGCATTCTGTAGTTTTTTTAGGATTAAAATTTCCCATAAATGCATAAACATCCACAGTATAATTATAACAAATAACCCCTCTGGTATATTACACTAAAAATGTGTCCTTTTCCTTTCTTTGGACCAAAATGTTAGAAACTCAGAGTGTTTATTGAATCTAATTGAAAGGTGTAATTATAAATAAAACAAAAAAATAACTCATGAAATAATCATTTTCAGGAAATCCAACTCGATGAAAAAGTGTTGTTTAAACATTACCCATGCAGGCCAACGTTGCCATGGTGTATCTTTTCGATAAACAGGGACATTCTGGCTTGCAGTATGTATCGATGTGACGCAATGGGGGCCTTTCATGTTCCGGGAGTGATTCAAAAGAGCCTTGTCTACTATACGCCCTCTCGCCATCGAACCCCTGATTGTCTTTGCTACCCTCGCGGGGCATCTCGAACTCCTCGTAGCCAGCATTGCTTCTTCTGAATCTAGAGACATACATTTTTCATTAATAAATCAATTATCTCGCCTAAACACGCCGCGAAAAATTCAACTCCCCATTACGACCCCAATAATGAAAGTTAAACCAAAATTTTTACTCTAGCTTTTCTAATACACAAACTAAAAATGAAAATCTTGTAACACCTAAAAACAAGTCATTTTTGCCGACTTCCTTTCATCTGATCTGCAATTTTAAAATAAACGTATGCAAATGTAGCATTTTCAGTTCCATTATTTTAGTAAATTCATAACTTTATAATCTTTGATGAATTGACAAAGCCATACAAAACATCGTGCCTTATTTTTTCTCAGACCAGAATCAAATAACTTTTTTTTGTTATCTTCTCTCTCTATATATGTACATAAACGAATAAGAAGATAGTTTAATCCTAAAAAATACAAATTATTGTTTACGATTTGTTGACCAATGTAATTTTGCATTTTGAAAGTCGAGTACGTCAAAGGTTAAAAGAAAATAAATTTGAAAACTATGTCAAAAATCTCGATACAACGATGTCTTATGGTTCTTTAAAAAAAAATCCTAAATGGCCTTAAAAAATTAACCTCTAGACTGGAATACCCTCTTAAACGATTTTTCGTGTCTCGTTAGTCGTACGAGCATGCGTGAGACATTACCCAGCAAGTTTTTCCGTCGCTTTGGACTTGATGGAATCGAAGGCCACGAGGCCCGCCGCCGCGAATCCGGACATTTTCCAATTATTGGGGTTGCTCTGGGGCCGGAAACGGTCGCGCTGCTAATCGGCAGCCCCTGAAGCAAAAATCAAACATGACGACACGTGGAGAAACGTTCCACCTTCGCTGAAAAATTTTAATAATCGAGTTCCATCGTTCCTCCAAAGCCTAGACAATCACACGCCAACCCAGAGATCGAACGAAACCGTCAAAACATTTTTAAATGCAAATAGTGAAAGATAAGAAACATATTTTTAGAATCCTCCAATCGCAAAACATTGTCCAAATCCTGTTGCTTGGTCAGTTTTCTGTAAAAATAGTAGTTCTGAAATAACAGGAATATTTACTGTTATCTTTTCAGTTCCAACGAAATCACAAAATCAACCGTGTTCGCTGAAACTTTTACTAAATTTTTAATAAATGGAGAACTTTCGTCTCGTCGTGATAGAACACAGAAACTCCTGTATTTCTTTGAAAAAATATAAGTTATTTAACCAAGAAAATTTTCAAGAAAAATGTAATATATTGGCGGTTAATTTCACATAACTATGCAATATTTCCTAGTATGTTTTATAACGTATATTAATTGCTGTACAGAACTGGTTAAAATGAAAATAAAATCTTAGGTTATAAAGGGGTGGATAATGGGCATAAATTTTACTTTTCAAATAGTTCTGAAATCATTGTTACGTACCATTTACGAAAGAGTTAGTAAAAATAGAGTAATCGTTAACAAGAGGGGGATGAATCGATCTAAGCCTGCGAATTTGAGATACGGGAGATTGGATGCTGCCATAATTCACTGTTCGCCTAACCCCCCGGTCTGTTTCTCTCTATTATCGGCGGTCAGACGTTTAAACTTCTCTCTCGTTAGCTGTATTTTCATCATCGAACGACGCTCGCGTTTATATACGAACGTTCGTCCTCTGCATCGAGGCGCGAGGGGATGTCTGGAGTAGGGGTGTTTATTTGGAGTGGCAGTCTCTCCAACCCTAATCCCCGAACTCTCCCGGGAACGTCTTCGGGGGATGGAAAAATGCGAGAAAACGTGCCTCCTGTCCCCTGGTCGTACTTTCTACTTAAGCTTTTCGCCAAAACATCACCCGATATTGCGAGGGTTGCGAACCATAAAACAGTCGATCGCAAAATGTCAAATTTTGAAAGATAAATTCATCGACGAACAGTGAAAAGAGTATTCAAATTGACAAAATTCACGACGAATCTTGTGATTATCTAGAAACAAATAAAATGAACGACGATGGTTCGAACAAGCTAATTAGAGCATATTCTTTATAAATAATATAATAAGAAGGTACCACAGGTTAGATTATCAATATCATTACCGAATCTACAGAGTTAATTTGCAGAAACTTTAAAAAATCTAAAGATACAAAATGTAGTTATTAACACTAGAACAAACCAGTCAAAACGACCCATTCGTAATTTCTAATAAAACTTGTAAAAAATTTACACGACTGAATTTTTGAAAATTTATCGTAATTTTCTATAAGAGAATATATAAACACTTATTTCCATTGCATTATATATTTCTTCGCTTCAGTTTCTTTGGTACAAATAAACATACTATAATTGTCGGTAGTTCTAGTGTTAATAAGCCAAGGATCAAATTAGAGTATTAAATTAAAAAAAAAAACGAAGACTGTTAATAGCAAACGATAATATAATGAAGATAAAGATATATTTATTTTTATATTATTGTTCGAATTAGAATTCTATTTAAATATATATACTCGTAGTTAAAGTAAACGAGAAGAGAAAAAAATAATACGTTAACAAAGGATAGAAGAGATCCTTCTATTTCGTACATTTTACCCTGAACAATGATCAATGACGACAGAACGATTTTCTGCCAAAAAGGAGAAATCATAGTAAAAGCTATAAAGTCAGAAAATACTGATGTCGTGAACTATCCTGCTCGCGAAGAACTCTCCATTCTTCTATCGATTGCTTTTGTATTGAGTTTGTTCCTAACAATGGCCGTGCGCGTTCGATATTATGAAACTGATCGATAGCGAGAGAACAAATTTCTATCGAAAATACCAAAGTGACTTTTGCTATGGAGGACGTGGACAAAGCGGAAATTGTTGGCACACTGGCGAGTCGATCGCAAAGAGACGTATCGCAGGACAATGGCTGTCGGATATTAAAATGGCACGTGACGGACAAAAGACATAAAATGCACAGCACGTGTGTTAACGAATTGGGGTGGGACGACGAAGATAGAAACGAACGATTTTACTTAATGGACTCGTTGCACGTCCTTACGGGGGATGCAGTCTCGTTTTTAACAGCGAATTATGTAACGTGGAACCTTTTCGAATATTACTTTCACCGAAAATTTATTCATTTCCGAACGTTTCACAAATTCACGATTTATACGAAATGCTCAATTTACATTTTCTTATTACGATTTACCTAAAAGATCGCGTCGATTAATTATTCTGGTAAAAATATAACGAATTTTATAATTTTTAAATGCTTAATGAGTTCTTTTTTGTCATCGAAAATTTCAGTTTATTACTTAAACTACCGCAGCATACGATATACTTTTCGAAATAGGGATTGAGAATTTTTCCGCTATATATTATTATAATAACCAGAAATTCGGAATTATAACTTTATAACTATTGGCGACAATTTCATTCAATTTAGAATCGATCTTGTCTAGCAGGCTCTGCCTCGGGCGCGACTAAATATAGCCAGACTGAACATTATTAACATGGTTATTATTAAAATAGAATATGAAAGACCATATTTACAAAATGTAATTCACTCGAGCTAAGAATAATTTTAAATATCGAGAATATAATAAATGCATCGAGCCAGGGAACATTATTTTTATAAATAATTGATTCCAAAATTAAATTTAAAAACGAGCCTTTTAAATAAATAAATAAATTTTAATTGCCGACTACAACGTGAGAAGATCAAAGGACAAGTTATATAACCGATATTTTGAAATTTCTAACGAGAAAATTGATAAGTTACTTCGAATACGTGGACTTCACGCTTTAGAATACGAATTGTAAATGTTAGATTTCACGAATGCAGCGATCATTTTTCGGAAATCCATCAATGAATTTCCTACCCGTAGGATTTTTAAGTATTTATAGATCAGGCGGTATAGTATCGCTATATTTAGAAGCTTTTTGGGGGAAAAATAGGTCCGAATGGAATGAACCCGGATCCCGTCGCCTTCCCCCGGCAGATCAATACGAAAAGTCGCTGGCATTCTTCTGATCTCGGTCATTTTCGAGATCCGGACTCTGAAAGGATCTCTCGTTCCTCCGACTTCAATCCTGTTCCCGAATCGTTCATCGAGTTTGTCACTTTCACGCACAGGCGAGTCGCACGATCGAAATAACGCACCACTGTGGATCGCACTTCGCCCATTCTACGAACAATCACTTCCAACCGTAGAGTCCAACGAGACCGTGGTAATCCTCGGGGAAATTCTATTTAAATCAAACGGGATCCACACTTTTCTTTCACTCCATAGGAATCCCATAGCCGATCGGACGTCGTCGCGAAACGGTCCCCGGATCGTTTCGACGATTACTTTCACACCGTTCCAAGGTTTAAAGCTCTGCTCGTGGGGGATGCGGATCTGCCCGGACCAACCCTTTCGCGGTCCTGGGATACCTTGTGCCGCGAAAAAGGGTCGCGTTCTCGAAAATGTGCAAAGGGCTAAAGCAAAAATAAGTAGAAACAAACGCACCACTCACCAATAATTAAGTCCAGATATGGTTACGAGCGGAGTGGGTAGCGGTAGCGCGCGGGGTACGCGACGGAGAACGTCGTCGACGTCGCCTAACGTCGTCGTCGTCGGCTACCGTGGCGGTGGGGTACCGCGAGCCTCGCTCCCGAACACGGCGTCAGCGCAATCCAACGCCGCGACGCCATTGGCCCGTGCCTCGCGACGCATTGATATCACTGGCCAATCGCGCGCGATTGCAACCCCCTTCGGATCGACCACAGGCGGGGCTTTGTACTCGAATCTAGAATTTTGTAGCAACAAAACGTTAGGCAGGAACAGGAATCGTAACGGTGTTAACGTTAATGTCCATACATCGTCGACGAGGCAACCACCACGGATGGGATATCCCACCCTCTTGAGCTTACTTATGTAAGGGTTGTAATTTCAGACCCGATGCGTGGCACGTTAATCGGTCACTGGCGAACGATCGGGGATGAAATCGGTGAAAAAGTGATACTTTCGTACAGACTGGGTCAAGAATTGAATTTTTAACTGTTCAAATTCTTCACTTATGTTCGACTTTTTTCTGTTTGTTTAGCGGCGTCCATAGGGTGGTTTTTAGTTATACAGTATTATAAATATTGTGTCTCTTTATGAAAAAAATAAATATTGTTTGGGTCTCTTTGATACGGAATTATAATGTATTATAATTCTGAACTTTAGAATACAAACTATAACAAGTCGAAAATTTAAATATGTTGAGTCACAATATTTATAAACTACCGTGAACAAAATTTATTTTAACGTCGTTTTTATTCCATGTATTTGATAAAAAAAAAAGATAAAGAACGAAAGAAAAAATAAAATATGAATATTGATTATGCCAAACCCTAAATTAGGAATTTTAAATTATCTAAAGAAGAGGACATCGATGATTAAAACTGAATATGTACGTAATATAACATGAACATTGTATTTCTTTTATAAAATTATAAAAAAATCGTTTCGAGGATAAAAATCGATAATCGTTCTAATATTTCTGTGAAATATGCATACTGTACGATTTTGCATTACCGCTAATTTGTGAGTTTTACTTGAAGGTTGTAAACGATACTTCCGATGTGCCGTAGATTATATATGAAAATTTAAGCAATTTGAGGTTTTGACCTTAATTTAACATCCTCAAAAATTGATGAAGTAGGTTAAGCCCTCGCGTGTTATTAGTCTTTGCAATAAGGGTAAAACTGACGCGGATAATAATACTTTACCAAACGACGAAGCAAGATAAAAATATTTAAAAAATTATTTATTTAACCTTTTTGCTCGTAATTTTTATTACCATTTCCTTTACCGACTATATTTCATTTTCAGAAGTCAAATAAGTTTTCTGCTTGAAATCAAGAAAAGTAAAATATAAAAAAATGTATTTTTCCAAGCTTTTTGCTTTTAATATTTATTATTTCCTCTCCGAAATTAAAGCATTTTTTTGTCCCAGATAATCAAATTATTTGCCTATTACAAATCTATATAATAAAAATACAAATAACAATACATTGTCATTCAGTTTGTTTTTTGACATAAATTCTATGTTTGCCAATATTATATATGATGTACACGTCGACTGCTATTAACCAATTGCGTTAATTTCTGACGAAAATCTAAATGCAACATCGAAACGTCGAATTGTTTGAATTTTCATTACTTGTTTAAGTGGAAAAACTAACGAAGTTGCTTCGAATAAACGCGTTATCGATCAATGCACAGCAGAGCACCCGATATTACATTATTTTTTACATAAGGAAAGAAAACCATAAACGATAGTTGCATTTTTTTTATTCGCTGCTTGTGTATATTTAATGGATCTGACCATAATCCATAACAGTATAAAGACGATAAACACCGATGGTAAATGTAACTTTGCTCGCACAGGCAACGACAAGTCGCAAACTACACTTTATGGTACTCGTTTAGGTACAGCACCCAACATTAAATTTAATACCTCGTTCGTATAAAAATTTTATTACGCGCAGACGATGCGAGAAAGAAACAATTCGATGGAGAAATTAATAAAGTAGAATTCAATTTTGTTCGAGCATATAAAAACTAGTAATAGCATAATATTTCTAATACATATACTTGGGCAACGCGAACTCGAAATAAAACCATATTTCGTACCTTTCCTTTGGTCAGTAATGGGGTAGTCGAATTTAAGTGTGACGATCGATGAAACTGCATTCAACTGCAGCGGTATTGTTCAACATTTAAAGTTCGAAAGGGCATTCGTTAAATCATAAAAGATTTTTGTACGATAGTAAAAAAATATTAACCATAACGATTTAATAAATAGAAAATACTGCTGTGGATAAAATTATTTTTTTTTTTATAATAATCGTAACGTCGTAAAGTTTGATAATAAACGTGGTGCGAGAGGCACAGGATTGAAAAGAGCGTTCCATTGAAGTAGCTTTAAATAAGAGTTTCTTTATGTGTCTGTTCAGTCGTATAAAATCGAGATGGTGCGCGTGTGTTTGTGAGAATGCACAAGAAAAGGTGTTGTCTGGCTAATTAAGAGTGAATCGAGAAGGAAAACGTTCAAGAAATTGACCGATGGTGCACTCATTTTGTATCGCAAAAGGAAAGAAATTGATATACACAGTGAGTAACTTGTTCACCTTGAATAATTCTTAAAGGGTGTTTCAGGGTGGTTAAACAGGGTGCATTCTACAAAAAAGTGATTTACATCAAATAAAACAAAGATGAACAAAAATAAGAAAAAACATAAACATGTTATTTGGAAAATCATCAAGTACGCGATTGACTCCCCTAATCTGGTTATATCTAACTTTCATCCATTCAGATTGGTCCACGATCATTTGAATATTGGAAAATGTACAGAAAAGCATCGATGACTTTGTTACGTCAAAACCACAATCATTGTTTGATTATTTATAATATTTATAATATTTCGAAGATTAAAAGTTGCATGGTTTTTTTTTAATAAACTACTGGTAAATTTATCTTTCAAAGTTTGTGATAGATTTTCCTCTTTTGTATCATTTTACTATTAATTCTCTTTCTGACTTTTTTCGATTCATTTTGCAAAAAATTCGATTTTAAATAAACTGTGTTACTCTTAGACCAGCAGTGTATGAACTGAGCAATGTTTGTTTACATTCACAGTTAGCTAGAAATATTATTAACAGGACAGTTGTACAGCTCGAATATTTTTGTGACCTACGACATTAAATCTAATAAAATCTTGCTAACTCGGATATATGTTATTTGATTTCAATGAAATTTTTACAAGGAGTAGTTTAAGAAATGTGTTTGATTGAAAAGATTAAGCATTTAATAGAAAAGGTTTCAAAGTTACCGCCAAAAAATTCTTGAGAGTTCCTTTTATTTTCTAGCCATCACAGCGGTGTTCCCCCTTAATTCATTGATTTGTCATGTTTCGGATATTTTTTTCTGACGTTTAAGCTATTTCTTCCGATCGGTGAAACATCGTGGTGATCGGGTTTATTCGGTTATTTATAATGGTCGCGATCGTAAGCTGCGAGAGAATAACTCTGAAACAATGGATCCGTTTCTGTCGTAGCTTCTGGCATCGAACGGTTCATTCAATTCCCAAGGAATTGCCTCTGGGCAAGTAAACGAGAGACAAAGATCGAAGGGGATAAGGGAAAAAATCAGGGATACCGACGGCTCAAATCTTTCGCTAGCTGTTAGGAGCCGACTTGCATTGTTACAAACACAGAGTAACTGGGGTAGGCACCCTCTCCGGTGGTTGCCAGGAAATATCGATCTGGCTAGCGGGATGGATGCTGCTGCTCTCAATGGTTGGTCCACAATACTTTATCTCCTCTTCAGGGCTGGCACGCCTTAAATAACTTGGATTTCACTATCATTTCGTCGTCACAAGAAACCGGCAGGAAGCATTCCTCCTCGAATATTGGCCCTACGTCGACTCATTCCCAACGCAATCCTCATTTTTTCGTTGATACCTTGGCAATGACTATCATAAAAATATTGTTTAATCCATTAAAGTATGCAGGATACACGAATTAAAGCAATCGTCATTTTTTCGTTGATACTTTGGCAGTGACTATCATAAAAATATTGTTTAATCCATTTTGTTTTGCGTATCAGACGATGAAGATGCTTTTGACTTTCTTCGATTTTAAATTTCAAAATCATCTACGTGTTTTTTGAGTTGAACGATACATTTTTTCGCACGATAGCTCAGGTCATGACCAATCCAATAATATATAATACATTGTCATTCATCGTTTTTTCACAATTTTATGTAAATTAAGAAAGAAGACTCGTGTCAAATGGTAAAACGAGAAGTGATATTTGACAATTTTTTTACAGCATAAAGGTTTAATGTAATTTTTTGCCACCTATATTCTTTAAGATTCCAGGATACAAATATTTTCTTTTCGTTACATTTTATCGACTCTGAATGAAATAATAAATGTTATTCCTTATATCGACGGCGTTGATCTAGCATTCTTTTCCTTTAATATAAAATAAAAAATCGAACGAAATTTTGTTCATAATAGTACTATGCATCGTATGAACCAACATCCTTCATAATAATAATTATATAAACTATGTTCATTGCATAATTGAATTAGAAGTTCATTGCAAGAATCATATTTTCGTGTTTAGAGCCGTGTATCTTCGACAATTTTGCATTTTTTAAGAAGGATATTAGCTCATACGACGCGTAGTAGCAAAATTGTCGAAGATGCACGGGTCTAAACACAAAAAATGATTCTTGCAATGAACTTCTAATTCAATTATGCAATAAACATAGTTTATATAATTATTATTATGAAGGATGTTGGTTCATACGATGCATAGTACTATTATGAACAAAATGTCGTTCGATTTTTTATTCTAGATCGAAGGAAAAAAATACTAACGCCATCGACATAAGGAATCCATTCAAAGTCGATAGAACATAACGAAAAGAAAATATTCGTATCTTGAAATGTTAAAGAATATATGTGGAAAATGGCGAAAAGTTACATCGAACCCTTAATGAGACGATTCCGTCACTGATGCTAGAAGCGTTTCATTTTATACCATCAATATATAGATTTTTGTGCCCCAGTTCGTATGAGATTAATTATATTATAGGTTTGGAAAAAATGAAGTGAAATTTTATTATATCATTTATAAATATGCGTGCATGTACACATACAAAAAACGTATGTCACAATCATATATACATGTGCTACTGGCAGGTCTAAAATGGGTTACAGCGAACTGGATTTTCATAGTGTAAGTAAGACACATTATTATACGACTTACATGCTCCAAACTTAAGAAATTTATTCCGTACACTCCCCGAATCATATATCATACTTAAGGTATGAAGAGAGCCAAGATACGACATGAATGTTCTGAAAGAGATTTAACTACCGTTATGCAGGATGAATCAATAACTTTGATTCGGTACAAACTTATGTGTACTATAAAAACACTCCTTAAAGAAAATAACAAGGAGAAACGTAACGGTTTGCATAAAATATTCGCTTCTTCGCGAGAGAGTTGGTCAAATTTTAAAAAATTCCAGATTCGTTTGTAAACTAAATTTCGTTTACATTTCATTCGTAGTTTCTTTATTCGTTATTCGTGAATAAAATCTGCTTCGTGGCGACGATTATAGATTTGTTATTCCATCGACGGCGATCGTCGTTGCTTGTCGTCCATCAGAAATCAATCTTCGCTAGACGGAGCTCGAGGTGACCTCGTAAACATCGTCTGACCGTAGCCTCTTTATCAACGAGTCTTTCACGCTCCTGCAAAGCTCGACGTATTCCAGCAATTTCGACCTAAAGTCCGCGCTGAGTTCGTTCATGCATCTCTCGTAATCGCGGAACCCTGCGAGATCCTCGTCACGATTCACCCCGAATTTAAATAAATGTTTCTCGAACGATCTTACATCGTCTTCCCGACTTTCATCGAAGGACTCGCATCCGCAATAATTCTTCCTGGATCTCCTCCAGGTCCGGTTCGAATAAAAATCTCTGTTAAATTGCTTCGCAAAGTTCTCTTCCTTAGAATTCCGACCCCTTTCGCGGAGCAGCTTGTTAAAATACGCGTGATCCGCCATTTGCTTCTCGTCCACGTCCCCGGAACACCGTCCGACATCGTCTTCGACGAACAGCAACTCCTTCGAACCGAATGATGCAATGTTAGAACGTCTACCGGAACTATAATCATAAAAGGTTCTGCAATTACTCGTCCCTGATCCGGCATCTATCGATTTATGTGTGCGATAGTGTCTCGAAACATCGAGGACACCGATCTTTTTAAGGATATCGCCGTCAATAATTTTCTGAGACCGTTTCTTCCCGCTGTCTTCCGTAACTTCGTTCTTCCTTCTCTCGAAGCTACTTTCGGCGAAAGTTTGTTCAGGTTCCGCGACTCTGGCCCGATTTCTCGCCGTGAACGGACATCGGTTGGAGGATGAACCATCTGGGTGGCTCTCCTCCATTATTCGTTTCCCGGTCAGCTTCCCGCTGGAAACACTGACGAGGTATCTGTCGTCCTTTAGAAACGTTTTCGACGTGCTGGTCCCCTTGTCCCGCTCCTCCAGCAACAGTCTGCGAAGCTTCTTGCGTATCAGGTACTTGATTCGATCGATGGATGCCGTTGGGAAGGACCTGCACAGGTTACCGGGAACGATCGAACCCCTCCAGAAGCGACTCTTGTATCGGGAAAACACGGAAAGATCGTCCTCCTCTTTCGCTTTACGGTCCACGAGTGATTCTTTCTTGGTCTTCGCGTCGAGTTTTCGAAGATTCTTCGTGGAACGGGACAGCGTGCAATTCGCGTAGCGCGTACAGCGTTTCGATTCTCGTAGCATCGACCTCCCTTCACGGCTCCTAATGAGAAGATTTATCATGTACATAGGCTCACGATAGTATTCGAACAACGACACATTCTTAATTGACACAAACCGCACAGTGTTGTAAATATTTTGAAATTATCGTATATATCGCGTATGGGTAATATGTGAGAATAACATGTAAAAATTTCATTGGAATCAAATATTGAGTTCTTTGGAAAATAGTTTCGTTTTCTTACCAACAGAGACGTTAACTGTATGTTTAACGCTAGATATACTGAAGCCGTCAATTTTACGGATGTTTGATTCCATATTTAAAATTGCAATACGCGAAAATGCATATTCTAATTAAAAAAAAATCGTATTGTAAGGTAATCGTGAACATGAAAGGTATCGATAAATATACATACGATCAATGCCCGTAAATCTAATGTTAAACAACCAACTTTATTCTAAACCGTATTCTCATTATACAGGGTATTCGGCCACACCTGAGAAAAATTTTAATAGGAGATTCAAGAAGCCAAAGTAAGACGAAAATCAAGAATATTAATTTCTTGATTGAGGCTTCGTTAAAAAGTTATTAAAAAATTAAATTTTAAAATTTCAAATCGTTCTGGGAAAATTGTTTTTGATTGCGGGGCTCTATTACAAGCATTTTTGGTGAATACACAAACCCTTGAAATCCTACCCAAATTCGAGAAAAAAATTCGAGTAGATACCGAAACTTTTAGACGAAATTAAAAAATTTCAAATCATACTAAAAAAATTATATTTAGTTACAGGGGTCGATTACAAGCATTTTTTGTGAATAGACAAACCCTTGAAATCCTACCCACTTTCGAGAAAAAAATTCGAGTAGGTACTGAAATTTTTAGACGAAATTAAAAAATTTCAAATCATACTAAAAAAATTATATTTAGTTACAGGGGTCGATTACAAGCATTTTTTGTGAATAGACATACCCCCGTAATGTTTAACCACTTTCGAGAAAAAAATTCTTTACTGAAAATATAATCTCAGGCCAGAAATGGTTCTCTGAAATTTCATGCATATCTTTAAAACGTCATAACTTCTGAACGGATTGGAGGATTTTAATGTTTCAAACGGCAAATAACGCGTATTTTAGTGAAGAATATGTAGAAATTCAAGCAATATTGAAAAAGTTATTTCTTGACCCCGTAAAGTGAGAAAAACCCCATAAAACTGGTCCAATTTTCAAACGGCCATAACTCCTACAATAGTCAATGGATCTCATTGAAATTTAGTCTCGAAGTAGAGCTCATGGATACCTACAAAAAAGTATTAAACAACTTTTCTGTACAGCATCAAACAAATTTATAAAAAATGAAAAACGAATTTTTAAAAAAAGTCGACAAACTGCAGATATTTTTCGGCGAAAAAAAAAATTTCAAATCATTCTGAAAAAATTATTTTCGGTTGAGGGGGTTAATTACAATCATTTTTGATGAATAGACACATCCCCAAAATCCTACGCACTTTCGAGAAAAAAATTCGTGTAGGTGGACAAATTTTATTAATTTGTAACAATAATTTTGTTAATAACTTTTTAACGAAGCCTCAATCAACAAATTGGTATTCTTGATTTTCGTCTCATTTTGGCCTCTAGAATCTCCCATTAAAATTTTTCCCCGAAATGCCAAACACCCTGTATAATGTCTTATTATGGGCTCTTCTTGTAAGCTTAGCTCAAATTGTATTTTCAAACTAAATAACCGAATTCCACTAATTATAATAAAGAAACCACCACTGATTGTATGTCATCCACGTACATATAAGGACATAAATCTTCAGAAATGCTCTCTCGATCCGTGAAAGCATTCGATCGACATGCAAGCTCGTTCGTATCCACTCTTTGGTCGTCATTATCCTCGATCAGATTTTGTTCACAGATTTCTGGACATTTCCGTGGATAACCATTAAACACAAACTCTCTGACAGGTTGATTTTTAACAATCGATTCTCCCTCCGCGTTAGCAATACTCGACATTTTGAATTCCAAAGGCTGAATGGTCGACGGAATGTCTTTCGTTTCTTCCGAACATCGTAAACTCGATGTTTCGAAAATCTCAATATTAGCAGTAGTTTCGTTGGAATCGATGAAAACGATGTTTTCGGGTTCGATATTGGTCGTTTCCGAGTCTGAAATATCATTGCCGCAACAGGAACACTTGGTGTCGTTGATACTGGAACTTAATGGACAAATGGTGTCGTCGCTGTATTTCTCCACAGTATCAAATCCGCTTCTTCGTGTCTCTATTTTCGAAATTCCTTCCTCTCTTTCCAAAATCTCCTTCCGTATACCTTCTTCGATCTGCGAAACAGCTCCCTTCGTCTTCGAAGCCGCCTGGCGAACCTCTTCCACTCGATCTCCTTCAAAATGTTCTACCTCCGCGCAATCCTCACGTTCATCGTCCTCTTTCTGCTCGAAAACATGGCAGAAACATTGCTGGGGACTGCAAACTTTTTTCAACGAATCCTCCTCCTCTCTCAAACTGTCGGAGAAACAACCACAATTAGAATCGGACGACTCCATGCTCGCGACTGACTTCGAGTCTCCAACGACTGGTCCTCCTCTTCGAAGTGAAAAGAACGGATTTCTAAAGTTAAAAACCACTTCGTCCGTTCGAACTTCCGCCGTTTTCTTGGTCCACGCAAAATCGACTTGTTTCTCGACTACGCCTCTTCCACAACATTCCTCGAACGAGACATTATTCGTTCCCTTCTCCTCCATCGAGTTGTTGTCCGAGCACGGCGAATAGAAGGTGACGCGTTTCTGTTTACCTCCGCCATCTTTCTCGTTGCTCCTCGCTGCAGCGAAACGACCAACCTCGAGGTCCTCTGACAACCGTTCGACTCCAGGCTGCAAGCACTCGCGTCTATCTACGATCCCGCGATGTTTGTCGCGTTCACGAGCGCCTCGACAGGTAGGCAAACGAGCCAAGAACAATCGATCCTTGGACGTTCGCGAGCGTCGAAGGCTCAAATCGATGCGACCCGATCGGATCTCGCAACCGAGACGCAGCTCTCTGATCACGGCTTCGTCCAGCTTCCCAAGGATCTCGTTTATGCAAGAGCAAGCGTTACGAACGCTGTTCTCGAACTTCTTCTTCATCAGAATCAGACAAGAATCCGACAACGACGGGTCTGCCTCGAATATTCGAACGATCAGCTGACTAGGTTTGCAAGGTATGGAGAGACTGGTCAATTTTCGTTGACACGGTACCCTCGACTGGCTGGTATTCGTTGTTTTGTGAAAGAAAACTTTCAGCTTCGAGGGTCTACGCGGGATATTAACCTGAGTGCAATTACACGCCGTCGTGGTATGCCAGTTTTTTGTGTTTTGACTTGAATGATCAGGTGATTCCGCGTTGATGATTCTTTGATCAGGAGAGTAACGATTAGGGCATTTTTCGTGAACGTTGCAAGCTCCTGGGACTTCCTTCGTGATCGAGCCGACTTCTACTTCCAGGTCGCTGTTGTGTGGATCGATTATTGGAAATGGTTCCACACTTGCGTAGATCTGATCGGTGTTTCTGCAAAAGAAATTGTCGTGAAATTGGATGTTTACTATTTTCTCTGCTTTTTTTAACAAAGAACATTATTTTACATGAATCATTCTTGTTCTTGTTATTATTCTAAGATGAGAAAACTATATATAATAATTTAATGCCCTGTAAATTCTGTGTGTGTCCGTAATTTTTACTTAGAATTTTATTTTGAAAACTTAAACCTAACGTGTGCATTCTGTTTGTTAACGATGTAGATTGGAAGTGAGCTACTGTATATGGATGACGTGGCAGTCAAAGTGTTAACGTCACACAGCTCGTCCTTTCAGACGCGACAAAGGATGGAAAAATCCAAGGAAAAGATCAACTTGAAATACTAACGCGCAATCCTGGCACAGCCAATAGTTCTTCTCGTTAATGAACGCCCAGACACTCATGCTCTTCAAGACATTTTGCTCGGGGGTTGAGGAATCGAACTCCCGGCATACTATTCTATTCACCCTGTTATTAAGACCGTCAGGATCCACGAAGTGTGTCACCAGGCCATCTTTGACCAGATATTCGATCGCGTGCTTGATCATTTCTTCCCGGGCGTCGGCGTTCTTGGCGCAGAATGTGTCCAAATAGTCGACCCATGCTACAGCCGCGTCCAAGCATCGGTTCACACACGGGAAACGATTCGAGGCTGGGGAATTCGGTTTGCAAACGAACTCCTCCAGCCCCGAGTAGATTCTGTTCTCCAAACTAGGCCCGAGAAACGGCTTCATCCGATCGACACACGCGCCATACTTCTCGAAATCGAAACCGCCATTGTCGTTCGCGCGAGACGTGCCCTGGAAATCGACAAACGCGAGTTTGAAAGTTACATCAAACGCACAAAAGGCCAACGTGAAAACGTTTAAACGCGAAGTCAGCGGTAAACGATAGTTTTCTAAAGTCGACGTTCGATGCAAAGGTTAAAATATTAAATTAATGCGTTTTTCGTGCTACCGCGAATGTTTGGTCGGTTTTAAATTCTTCGGTCATGACACGATACACCTCCTACGTGGAAAATATTTCTTAAGTTTTCATATTATTTGTCACGATCTCGATTCACCTTCGAAGAACGTTACTTGTCTTCTGAAATGTACGAAACTGAAATTAACTGACGAGATTTGAAGTTGCCTGAATATGGGCGTAAAAGTGAAATCACTTTCACGAGAACGTTTAAAAAATTGAGAATTAAATTAAAGCTCTCGTTTATAAAAAAAATGTATTTCTACGCATTTTGTAACGATTCTGATACGTAATATCGTGAATTGTTACATGAAATTCTAAATATTCTAAAGTATCTGTCAATATTCACGAGTATAACTGTGTCGATAAAAGCCAGAATGTCGTAATATATTATATATTACGAGGGTCGTTCAATAAGACCTTAGAAGAAGATAGAAAAACAAATTATTTTAGGTAGATTTTTTTTTATTTTTCAACATAATCTCCTTTTAGCTCTATATACTTTTCCAAACGTTTCTCCAACTTTTTTAAGCCATCTAAAAAGCAAGATTTCGGAGGGTCCTCAAAATAGGCATCTCTTTGGGCGGTGACCAACTCGTTCGACGTGGAGCGTTGTCCGCCGAGCCATTTTTTAAAATTTGGAAATAAAAAAAAGTCACTGGGGTCCAAATCCGGTGAATACGATGGATGTTGTAATAATTCGAACTTTAATTCCATGATTTTTGCCATCGACAGGTGTGCACCCATGCATTGTCTTGATGGATTGTCTTTTTCTTGATTTCTTCGCTCAACCAGTGCAATAACGACGCATAATTCTCTCCAGTTATTGTTTTTCCTTTTTCCAAGTGATCAGTGCAGATGATTCCGCGTGCATTCCAAAAAACTGTGGCCATCATCTTGTTGACCGATTTCCCCGTCTTCGCCTCCTTCGGAGCCCGTTCGTCTTCAAAAACCCACTGTTTTGACTGTTCCTTTGTCTCTGGAGTGTAGTGGTGTATCCACGTTTCGTCCACAGTTATTTATCAACACAGAAACTCGTCAGGATTGCGACAAAAAAGCGCCAAAATAGCCTCAGAGTCGACCACCCTGAGAGCAAACGCGGCACCCATCTTGTCGAGACTCTTTTCATACCCAATTTTTCGTGCAAAATTGAAAACACTATACCTTGCGATATATCTGTGATCTCAACTATTTCAGGCACTTTGATTCGTCGATCACTCAAAACCATATTGTGGGTTTTGTCAATCATTTCGGGAGTAGTCACTTCCACTGGACGTCCCGAACGACGTTCATCATTTGTGGATGTACGGCCACGTTTAAACTCATTTACCCAATCGTAAATAGTTGTAAACGCAGGAGCAGATGTGCCATGAACTTCATCCAACTCAGCTTTGATCTCTTTCGATATTAAGCCTTTTAAATACAAATGTTTAATCACCGCTCGAAACTCACCCTTTTTCAAAAAAAAAGTTTCTTGCTTCAATGGGCAATAAAAATGAAATCGTGTAGTGAATATAACTGAGAATTTTACAGCTGTCTAGCAAGTCCTGATGCTTACTAAAAACAAAAGTTTTCGATGATACGAGCACCCAGCTCTTGGATTTTCTAAGGACTTATCGAACGACCCTCGTATCTCCTATGGCGCTACCGTGTCTCAACCATACTGTTACATAATTAATTAGCCTGACGTAATCCTAACGATATTGATAGTCCGTTTAATCCGACTAAAACGTACGTCAATTCCAAAAGACCAATCTGCAACTTAATACCTTACTTCTAAATTCGAGTTAAGAAATTTTTAATCAAATGATCCAAAGCAGCTAGTTTTCCTCCGGCGCGTAACTGCGTAACTTTTATCTTGTTTTCGTTTCAATTAAAGCAACAGACTTGAATACGATTTTACAAACTCTTTATCATAGCATTTATAGCAGGCGCAAAGTAGTCTCTTCCACTTTATTTAAATTATGACGCAATTAAGGCGCGCACAAGATTTTCCTTAAGCATGTTTCAAGTGTCTTCCGGAAACTCTGCCAGCATTTTGCATTAATGAAATGTACTTTTAAGAAGAATGGTTTCTTGAAATCTGGAAAAACCTTTTAAAAGTCAGTAAAAATATTCTTAAAATTGTTGAATTCCTCAAAATTTGATATTTGAATTTCCTCGTTCTCCATTTCTTTCCCATTGTTCCCATCGATCATGCTCAAGACACTAGAAAATACTATTTAAACACTTCTCGATACACAACATGTTTTATTTTATTTTTGTGAGACACAAATAAGTCCTGTATACGGTTTTCGGTGATTAGAAATCGATCTCGGCGCGATAGGTGCGTTTAACGAGCGCAGGAATCGAACCGGAAATGAATTTTTCGGGCAAAGTTTACTGTAAATTGATTTCGGGTACGCGAGGTAACGTCGTTAACTCGGGACGCGGGTCGCATAGCAAAATTGAGGGTCCAGCAAATATGCTAATGTGCTTTAGCTTAAGTGCGGTGTCTAGCGTGGGCGAGGGTCCTTTCAAAAGGGGAGAGCGACGACGAAAAGGAAAAGGGGGACGGCGTTTGTGAAAAAGAGCCACGCGAACGAGCGAGAAAAACTTGGGAGTGCTTAACTTGACCTCGTGACGAACGACAGATCTAATTACGAACATACAGTAGAATCTGTAGTATACAAATTAATAGGGGAACGTAATTACTTCGATCAACGAATTTTCACTTTTCATTTTTCATAACTTCGTCAAAGAGAAAAATCTGCAAAAATTCTATGAAATTTGACTCGAAAGATTTTTCACGGAACGAAATAGGGACAATTAATCAAAAACATGATATTCAATTTCCCCTCCTGCCCCCTCCAATTTATTATAAGTAGACTACGGATGTTTATGCATTTATGGGAAATTTTAATTTTCAAAAAACTACAGAATTCAGTTAGCATGCAAGAATATAAGAAATACTTAAAATAAGGTACGAATTATTATATCCAGGGGTTAAGACAACCTCCAATTTCATTAATTTTATTAACAAAAATATGAATTTGCATGAAGATCCGCAGTCTAATTATAAGCTATCGAATTGAATTCGGTTAGGGGGGTCTTCTACTGTAAACTACCAAAAAATTCGATTTTTCTTCGTTTCATTTCTCTCGAATCGATTTCTTTCGTTTCTTTACTTTTCATAGTTTCTTTATAAAAAAAAAAATACCAAAGAGAACGTAAAAAATCGCGTTTTACAATAGAAGGCCTCCTTAAGAAAATGTGCCCTGAGAATGCGAATGAGAGAAATGTGCCCTTAAGAGAGGAGATAATAAACGAAATACAGGAGGAACAAGGCCGAGAAGGGAGTCTGACGGGGGGCCAAGAAAGGAAGCGACGGAAGAAGTGCTCGAAGGGCGCGAGTGAAACGGCGATCGAGGTTTTTGGGATCCAGAACGAGATAGCTGATGCCCATTCACACGAAAGCTCCGCGGAGATCAATACTTGTGACTGCGAGACACGGCGTAACAACCCCACGCAGCCTGAGTTTCGAGAATGCCATCCGCCACAATGGAAAAGGTCCTGGGGTTGCGACGACACGGGCGGTCGTCGTGAAATTTAAAACGGATAAAAAAAGGGAAAAAGCAAAACGAGACGCGTATAGGACTTCGAACGTACGAAGACCCGAGCATGCTAATTTCAAGGATCTGGAGGGGTAGGGGGGAATTACCAGCGTCAAGGAAGAACGTGGGCGTAACGGTTAAATCACGTGCAGGTTTATATCCTTTTGCGCGAGAAGGATAATGAATTTTGTACCAGAAAGAACGTAACGCGGGGTTGGGGATAACATGGCGGCTTGATCAGCGTCCGCTAGTGGGATTCTGGCTGGATTTACTGGTTGTGCAATCGCCCTCTATAGTCCAGGCGACGAAACAATCAACCCTGGTGGCGGGAGAAGTTCCGCGAACGACAGCCTCCGCTCGCTTTGTTTCTAACAACCCAGACGTTTTAAGGAGAGAGTTTCGTGTAATAACATTTAAATTAAATACGTTTTTTCTTACTTTTTTTTACTTGGACCCAAGGGAAAAGATCTTCGAACTAATTTCGTTGTCTGAACTTAAATAATAATCCACTGTTGACGATCTGCGTAACATCTGTAACAAACATCATAATGCAATGATAATAATTTTTAGGATTGGACTTATTTTAAATAGAAAATTCAAAAAACTGAAGAAGCTGTAGTATTTTCCAGAAAATTTCAATTATTTATATACATAATTTTAGTCTCGAGCTTGGCTCAAAGATGTTACGATTCAAAGTCTAGAATTAATGCCTGAAGAAAATTGTAACGAAGAAAATAAGCGATTAGTTGATTAGTACTTTAGTTAATTCGCTCGTCAATTTTAAAAATACGATCTCAACAGATTTCTAACAGATCTAGAACGAAATACAGAAGGATTGAAATTATTTGTACGTTCCACAAACTACAATTAAATTTGGAATATTTTTATGTTCGTCTAAACCATAATCGAGTTACAATAATATCCTATTCGCTTATTTTAATTAGAATAAGTTTTTATCCTCCATTCCCAAAAAATATTTATTTTATAGCAATTCTTTGAAAACAGTCCTACTGACATATCTATTTTTATATTTACATCCTTTTCACTCTGTATGTATAAAAAGAATTTTTTTGTTGGTATTTCGGTAGATTCAAAATATTTTTTTGAAAACAGAAATACAAAACAAACATGGACCAAATATGATTCCTTTGGTAAATATAGGAAATTAAAATATATAGTTGGAAACAATTTCTTTCGAATCTTATGGGTGTATTTAAGTGACCTTTTGTTATTACTCTGTTAAGTGATTCAAAATTTTTAATCGAGATTCTGCATACATGGAACAAATATGATTCCTTTGGTAAATATAGAAAATTAAAATATATAGTTGGAAACAATTTCTTTCAAATCTTATGGGTGTATTTAAGTGACCTTTTGTTATTACTCTGTTAAGTGATTCAAAATTTTTAATCGCGATTCTACATACGTGTGTAAGCGATAAAAAAATAAAAACAATTGTAGTCGTACGTGAAATACTTTTTTTTATGAAAAAGAAGAAAGAAACCAAAATTGTTTCGTAATTACTAACCCTAGAGTGTTATAGATCTATATCATCGGTAATGTTCGTCACGCAGTAACGATCTGAGATAAAACATGCTCCCCGCTATCCGAATTAACGCACATCCCTCGAACATTTTGATCGCTTTACTGCCGATAACATGTACAGTGACGTAAACGAAAATGACCAAGGGTCTTTTCTATATCAGAAAAGGGATATTAATAACTCTATCGAACCATGCCCTGTTAACTCTCCCATTAAAAAACTTCGTGTTGTTTTTTTGCCAAATTTTCAATACTTCCTAATAGATTGATTTTTGTGAAATTTTTAATTAGCGGCTCGATCGATTCGAACGAGTTGACTCTTAACAGATATACGTAACTTTCAAAGACGAAAGCTTGCAATTTTTGTGATTAATTTTATTCCGAAACGTTTCAAATTCTATGGCCTTCCTCTGCTTATTTGGAAAACAATTTTCGTCGCTTATAAAATTAGAAAAATCTTACGCCACTGTTTGAATAATTTTAAAATAGTTCCTCGCGAATTGTAGGATTGTTTAATAGTTTATATCGTACAAGTTAATGACGATTGTTAATAATATACTATGTAAAAGAGAAAAACAGTTGCGAAAACATTGTTTATTTCATAAACGTAATTAATTTACAAATTTGCTTCCCATTACTATAATATTTCGAACGAATACTGATTCCAATAAGAGGCGATTATTTTTCCAGAACGACAAGTTAAGCGGATCAGTTCCTGGGACGAGGTAATTCTCTTTTATCTCTTTCGGTAAAAACAATCCCCAGTTTCGTACCATTTTTTTCCTATATTTTTTTATTTTGAAACAGAAGTATTCATATCTTTAACAAATATATTTATTATATGCATAAATAAATAATTCAAAAGTAGGCCCAAAAATACATGTCACTCCATGAAGCAAACTTTCTGAATCCATCTTTGATCTGATTGTGGTTTGTTGCATTTTCACTTTCAATATACTTGCATATTTAAACTTGTTAATATAAATAGAATCGCGAAAGAATTTCTACCGCGATCCATAAACGAAACCACTCTTTGCAGCGCAAAGTGTACACGCGAACATGATTCAATAAAGAGACCAATTTTCGTCGGTGAGCGACAAACCTAGCAGCAACTCGATTTTGGGAATTGAGTTAAAAGTACACAACTCGGGACAATGATTAATGGACGTTTATATACGGCCACAATGAGAGTCGGGAGTCTTTTGATCTCTCTGGGCCCCCGTGAATGCCGCCAGTTTCATTTCACGGTTTAGGCTCCTTCCATCGATGGTGCTCGATGGAAGCATGGCTTCTGCCATACTGGCTACGATATGGCACCCTCGCAAAACGCACCCCTCACGAAGATTTAACAGACATTTCAACCCGGGAAAAGCCACGCAACGTGCACGGCAAACGTTTCAGATACATTCTCATGAACGCAACTGACGAGAGAAATTTAAGGGAAGCCACTGTGACGGATTGAAAAAATCCACAGTTTTTTTTGTTATCTATTTTCAATGCTTGGGGTTTTAAGAACGACAAAATATTAAGGTGAAATTCGCAAAAATGACAAAGTTACAGAAGATTTAGCAGATGTACAAAATGTAATGTGCATAAAGCTTGACACTAACTGCTCTTTGCTTCGGGACATTCGTTTGAAACTCTTATTATTTTTGCTGTGGTGAAGATTTTATGCAGGGTGTTCGGCCACCACAGGGAAAAATTTTAACCGACGAAAGCCGAGAATACCAATTTCCTGATTGAGGCTTCGTTAAAATGTTATTAAAAAATTAAACTAAAAAATTTCAAATCATTCTGAAAAAATTATTTTTAGTTGCGAGGCTCAATTACAATCATTTTTGGTGAATACACAAACCCTTGAAATCCTACCCACTTTCGAGAAAAAAATTCGTGTAGGTACTGAAATTTTTAGACGAAATTAAAAAATTTCAAATCATACTAAAAAAATTATATTTAGTTACAGGGGACGATTACAAGCATTTTTGGTGAATAGACATACCCTTGAAATCCTACCCACTTTCGAGAAAAAAATTCGTGTAGGTACTGAAATTTTTAGACGAAATTAAAAAATTTCAAATCATACTAAAAAAATTATATTTAGTTACAGGGGTCGATTACAAGCATTTTTGGTGGATAGACAAACCCTTGAAATCCTACCCACTTTCGAGAAAAAAATTCGAGTAGATACTGAAATTTTTAGACGAAATTAAAAATTTTCAAATCATACTAAAAAAATTATATTTAGTTACAGGGGTCGATTACAAGCATTTTTGGTGGATAGACAAACCCTTGAAATCCTACCCACTTTCGAGAAAAAAATTCGAGTAGATACTGAAATTTTTAGACGAAATTAAAAATTTTCAAATCATACTAAAAAAATTATATTTAGTTACAGGGGTCGATTACAAGCATTTTTGGTGGATAGACAAACCCTTGAAATCCTACCCACTTTTGAGAAAAAAATTCGTTACCAAAAATATAATGTCTGACCCAGAAATGATTCCCCGAAATTTTATGCGAATGTTTACAATGTCATAACTCCTGAACGAATTGGAGGATTTTAATTTTTCAAAATTCAAACAACGCGTATTTTAGTGGAGAATTAGTGGAAATTACAAAAATATTCGTAAAGTTGTTCCTTGGCCACGTAAAGTGAGAAAAATCCAATAAAGATGGTCCAGTTTTCAAACGGCCATAACTCCTACAATAGTAAAGGAAGAAATTTTTTTCTGAAGCAGAGTCCATGGGTATTATACAACTACAAAAAAGTATTATACAACTTTTCTGTAAAGCGTCAAACATATTTATTATAAATGAAAAACAAATTTTAAAGAAAAATCGACAGTGAGGTAGGTGCTGAAAAAAAAATTTCGCAATCATTCTAGAAAAATTATTTTCGGTTGTGGGGGTCAATTACAATCCTTTTTGGTCATTAGAAATACCCTCGAAATCCTGCCCACTTTCGAAAAAAAAATTCGAGGTGTGAAATTTTTCGACAAAATTAAAAAATTTCAAATCGTTCTGGAAAAATTATATTTAGTTACAGGGGTCGATTACAAGCATTTTTTGTGAATAGACCTACCCCCGAAATCCTACCCACTTTCGAGAAAAAAATTGAGCACGGGCGGAACTTTAAACGTTAATCACTTTTTAACGAAGCCTCCATCAACAAATTAGTATTCCTCCCATTAAAATTTTCCCCTGGGTTAGACGAACGCCCCGTATAAAACTTAAGCGCGTAATGGCTACTTCTATAGCTTTCTATACTTTTTTCTTTTGCCTGCCCACTTAATTTCGTCCGCGTCTGTGTATCGTGAAAGATTCGAGCCAGTGGATGAAATTCAAACTACTCGGAATCGGAGCAAACGTTCGAGCCGGAGAGGAAATCGAACGGCCCCAGGAATTACGAGCCAGCTCGCAAGCCCCGATACTCATCCTTAATCGCCGAAACGACGTCACGAGCCTTGGCCGCGGAACGACCTTTACTCGTAACTCGGTTTTACGAATGTAGGTTGCGGGAGCGTCCGTAGGCGGTGGTTTGTACGGGGGAAAACCGGCGCGGTAAACGCGGATCAATACTCCGCGAATCTAAACGAACGCAGCGCCGTTTCCGTTCGCCGGAGACGCGTGTACGGCCGAACCCGAGGATCGTAAGCACAGACGTTGACTTGCCCGAGGATCTTTCCACCGTTTCTACTCGCTGATCCCGGTAAGTTCCACCGAAACTCTGTATTTCACCATTGACTCGCGCTTTGACCTTCCCCCTACAGAATACCAATTTTCAACCCTTTTTCGGGAATTTCTGCCAAAAAAAAAAACCGTAAGCGTTTCTTACGTGATTTTTAGAACGCATATTCATTATCAGTTTATGCACATAGGTATATAACTGAGAATAACAAGAGTTACGTACGCTACGTATGGGTGAATGTAGGTAAAAAAAAAGTGGTCCGATGATATACGAGATTCTAATCTGAAATAAAAAAGCAAACTGCCATACTAGTATGAGTATGGTCATCGTGTATACCACGATAAATAAAACATCTGGTTGATTAAATAAACGTCGACGCATCGAAGTTTGAGCATCGACTTAAAATATGTTGATACTCGATCGACAAATATGAAAATTCTATATGAATTTCAAGCCGTTCGGTTAATTAGTAATCGAGGTATAACGAAGCTTCAAAAAAATGAAATTTAGATGCTACCACCCGTAACGTCGTTAATTTTACGAATTTAAACAAATCCTGTTGCAGACATGTTTTAAAAAAGAAAAATCAATTTTGTCTAACTTCTAGATCAGAAAATCCCTTTAACAAAACAATGAATTTGAATCGTGGCGAGGATTACGAAATCTTTGGAAAGATGACTTATCGCCACAAATAATAAAAATGTTACTTTTTGTAGTTGTACCTTCGTTTCCGGTGTTTATTCATTTCTTTCTATAAAATATAGCTATCGTTAATTGACACTTTGCCAACCACATATGAAACTATACAGAACCGAAGTTTCTTGAAATTTCATATTATAATTTTGTTAGATCCTCTCTATCGATCAATTAAGATTCCATGTGCAACCTATTGAAACTTAAATATATTTTAATTTTAATTTTAATATTTTATTATAAGACACTTATTGTCAGTTTCTAGATACACGTTCGTGTAACCATGTTTTGGATTTCATTCCTCTCGCTGGCAGTTGGTATTCATGCTGTCTACCTGCCTCCCCTAAGCGAGGTAATGCTATACACTAAACTACGCTAAAGCATTTTACTTTATTATTGCAATCGTTAAGAAAGTCACTATATTTGAAACAATCTTTTCGTTAAATCGTTAGTCGCAGGAGGAACGACTGTTAACCGACACTCTTCGTGAACTGATCAACCAAATGGGAAACGACCTCGCGGATGCTGCTGACTCGTATTTGGAGTATCAGGACAAACCAAAAGAAATTCCCATCGAGCTGCCCGCTGATTACGATGGCATCGACACCTTGAACCCTAATCCAAGCATTCGCGACCAGGAATACCTACGGCACAGCACGTTGTGGAGCCACCAACGCCAGAACAACAATGACCCGAGCAACAGGCAGAAAATCAAGCCTGGAAGCGTGAAAAATATCAAGGATGAAAAGACTGAGAATACTTTGCCGGCGTATTGCACGCCGCCGAACCCTTGCCCGGTTGGTTACACATGTAAGTAGTCGAATGTTCGTCAAAAAACTCTCATCTTTTACATACAATCCTACAAAAACTATAAAATATATATTCTATTTGCAAGTAGGGAAAAATGGAACATGTTACTTTACCCATCTTTCTAACAGAGCATTTCGAAACCACATCAATTTTGTACATATTACATAGGGTGTCCACCTCGAGGAAAAATTTTTATGTGAGATTCTGGAGCTCGAAATAAGACGAAAATCAAGAATACCAATTTGTTGATCGAGGCTCGGTTAAAAAGTTATTAGCGTTTAAAGTTCCGCCTGTGATACGGCAACCTGCGAACAGCTGCTAGTGGCTCTCACTCGCAGAACTGTAAGGCTGTCGACGCGTCGGTAAGTAGAGTTTCTCGTACTAAGTGAGAACCACCATCGTGCGCGCGCAGTTGTACGCAGATTGCCTCGAACGAAGCCTCGATCGACAGATTGGTATTCATGATTTTCGTCTTATTTTGACCTCTAGAATTCCCCATTGTAATAATAACTCAGAGTAATTATGTTTGTAGATGAAAACAACTGCATTCTGAATTTCGAGAACACAGCAACGTTCAGTCGCGACTATCAGAGCGCGCAAGATTGCATGTGCGACACGGAGCACATGTTGGATTGCCCTGTTGATTCTGGTAACAGCAACAGTCTGCCAAGCATGCACATACCGAGTTCGAACTTCAATCAAATTGTTGATCAATTCCAAGCGGTAAGATGCGCCGCGATCAATTATTATGCTCGTCGATCGAAAACTTTGATTATACATCGTTGGAATGTTTATTTTAGGAGGATAATCCTTTCTTCCGAGGTGAAAAGTTGCCAATCGCGGCAAAGAAAGGTATAAACGTAATCTACTAAAACGTCTGGTACACCTTGAAATACAAAATTTTGAGATACGAACCAAAAATATTGGATTAAAAGATTTCAAGCTATATCGATCGATACCCTCAATTCAACGCATGTGCGATCCGGTAAAAGTATAACGAATGCAAAAGTTTGTAACTGGTAAAAGTTTTTACATAATTCAAAGACCTGGTGCTGATAAAGATTCTTTAAATATTTTAATATCATATCATTGTCATTGATTCAAAATAGAACCAGTGTATATAAATCAAACGACAGTAATCTACAAATATATATTATGTTTTTGAAAACAATATATGTCTTGTTACCAAGAGTTAAATATTTTAATTATACAAATCCCAATTATAGGCAATTTATCACTGTTTTGCGAAATGATAAATATTACTATTAAGATAATGTAAAATGATTTATCTGTGAAAAATATGCTTCTGATAGCTTTCTTGGTAATACAGGTGCATTTATCAACCGTATTTTTACTGTTATACAACGTTATAATATGAACCCTTAGTATTATTATTTACAGCGTTCGGGAAAAGAACAGATAGTTATCCCTCGAACAACACGGTTTTGTTTAACTAATTGTAATTACATAATAGATTTATTAAATTATTTCTTTTAATGAATCTATGTGAAATAAAAAAAGTTTTTTATTTACGTACGTTAGAAATAGTAAATAAATAGATTATTTAATTTTAAAAAGCTGTCCTATTTGGTGTAATATAAAAAATAAAAATTATAATTTTTAAATATTAAATATGAAGAATTCTTACGCAAATTCACATAACGCGTATCGTATTACCCCAGGCGTGATACGGTGAAAGTTAAAACAATACTTCACGTTTATTTTTTTGTATAGAAAATTGTACATTTATAAATTATTCAAGAAAATTATCATATTACATTGTATGTATATTTGTACAATATTTATACAAAATTATACAAAACATAATTTTTCTATACAAATTTCGTCTTCGTAATAGAGAAACGTCTATTTTAGTAATAAATTATAATTAAATATACGTTTGTTATGCTGCACATAGTGCATAATTACACTTGTATAACTTAGATCACCTTAACAATTCATGTATTCAAAGAATTGATGAAAACATCGAACAGCTGTTGAACTTCAGCCGGTCTCATGTAATATATATATATATATATATATACATAATCGTAAAAAAGCTCTAAATGCAAAAAATACTGTTATTGTTTCCTAAAACTTTTCAGTATTGGATATATATTGCTCAGTGCGTCTTGCAGGTCAGTCCGATTCTTAGCTCCTAAAATATCATTACAGATACTAATAGAAACCATAAGAGAAAGTTAAGATAGAAGAAACTTCCTTTCCAATAATATATTACCTGTCAATACAATTTTTCCATTTACGAATATAAGTAAAACCACTCTTGGAGATACCATTCTATATATAAGGCCAGGATAAAGTTCAGGTTCGTAACTAGAAAACTGCCCATGTATATGATTTAAGTTTTCCAATTTAATTGGAAACTTCAAGTCACACGTGGCGACTATATTTTGTATTTTAAAGTTATAAAATTTTACCTATAATAATACAGAACATAATAAAATGTAAACAACACGTAAAATTTAACTAAAATCGTTAGTGCACAGTTTAAAAAAGCGTACTATATTTTGATCGAATATTCGCCATGTGTGCTTTAACAAAAATGAAACATCTTAACTTCCTTAAATATCTAATATTTGTGAAATAAATTAATGATTTTTTCAATACTTTTCAAACTTAATAAAAAAGATTTTTTTAACCTGGTTCAGTGATAAAGTCTAGGATATTAGAAAAATTATCAATATCTTACCATACTTCGCTATAATTATGAGATTCTATAAATATATCATAATCCAATATTGCTTACTGGAAATCCTAACTTCTGAATTATCCGAGCAAATTTTCTTGTCGCTAAATAAGAATCCTCCTCGCACCTTGCCCCAGTGCACACTACTTTTCCAGAATGAAAGATCAATGCAGTGGCTCTAGGATTTCGTATTCTCATAATCAAGCCAGTAAATCTTGCTGGATTATACTCTGAATTCCTTGTCCTAGTATTAATATACATAAGTGCTAATTCCATACCTAAATTGACAGTAGAAACTACATTCCTAAAAAAAAAAAAAAGAAAAATGTGACTGCATGATATGTACATAACATATGTTTTGTCAAATACAAAATAAACCCAAACATATTTTATGTGCAAATTAAGTTTATTATCAGAAAACTTATACTTGAGATGTTACTTATGTAAGTAAGGAAAACAAAACATTTAAAAAGCATTAATTATTTGCTTACTGTAAACACGGTTCTATAACTTCTTTTGTACTGTTGGCTGGAGTCATAGGATTTATCATTAACTGTGGATTGACATTTTGCGACGTACTCGGCCGGGGAACATTAGTCTAAAGCCAAAATACAAATATAAAATAAACAATCAATAAAAACAATAATATGCACTATGCAAACATATTTCTCAATTTACCGTCTGTGGCGGAGCCATCGAAGTTTCTTCGCCAACATTTTTCGCTGGATTACTAAGTAACCTCTTTAATTCGTTGTCTTCTTGCACAATCGAAGTCATTTTACCTGTATCCGTTCTCATATAATTGTAAAACACATTCAACTGCACGAATCACCGACCATTTTAAAACACTACTAGCTCTCTAGTAGTTAAACAACACTAGATCTCTACGTTCTACGTCTAACTGAACCTGACTGGAAACTGACATTCTAATTTCTATGACTGATCAGTCACCTGCAACGCCATCTGCCTTGCGACAGCTTATCATTCTGATGCGTTTTGAAGCTGTGAAACTGTGCGTTGGAATGCACACGTGTGTTCTAAACATCGATTAAATTATAACACATAATCTAAAAAAATGACTAAATTTTAATTAGGGACGTATATTCACCAAAAATGATTGTAATTGACTCTTGCAACCAAAAATAATTTTTTCATAATAATTTGAAATTTGTTAATTTTGTCGACAAATTTGTCCACCTACGCAGTCGATTTTTCTCGAAACTTTGTTTTTAATTTTTAATAAATTTGTTTGACACCCTACGGAAATGTTGTTTAATACTTTTTTGTAGGAATCTATGAGCTCTACTTGAGAAATAAATTTCAATAAAATACATTCACTAATATAGGACTTATGGTCGTCTAAAAATTGAACTATTTTTATTAAGTTCTTCTTACTTTATGGGGTTAAGAAACAACTTTTCGAATATTCTTAGAATTTCTAAATACTCTTCACCAAAATACGCGTTGTTCGAAAAATTATTTTCGGTCTACTCGTATATTTCGTCCTTACGTTTTACGCTCCTGACGAATAGCACACTGTAAGTAACCAATTACGTTTGAAAGTTTGATGTGCAACAGTTGCTACTAGCAACGTTGAACTATATATGACTGTATCATTCGAAACATATTTTTATTATGTAGTACACAATATAAACGTAGGAAGGGGATAACCACTTTAAAATTTATTAAGTCACGATATTTATTGAACTTACTGTAATACAGTGACAATTACTATGAGCTCGATTTTTGGTGATGGTGACAGCAACAATAACATAAATACCATAATTTTTGACATTTCAAAGTGCGAGAGAAAATTAAATGAAGAGTTCAAAGTGCTGCAAAGAAAGTTAAAATCGAAATGGAAATTTGTAGAGTACGTTAAAATATTTCAACGTTATTTCGAATTTGATAAGAAGTGCGACATTTTCGCAGTTTTTATTTTATTGCAGAAACAACGATGTATTGACAGAAGAATCGTTATCAATAGGCAAAGTGTTGGTGCTACCGGGACCACGAAATAAATTTACCGAATTAGAAATGAATTCTATTAGGACGTTTTTAAATTCCGGCGGACATGTATTAGTTATGCTCGGTGAGGGCGGTGAAAAAAAGTCTAATACAAACGTAAATTTCTTGCTGGAGGAATTTGGTATAATGGTGAACAATGGTACAATATTTCACTTGTAATTAGTTAAATATAAGTGAAATTTAATTTTATATGTAACTCTGATTACTACTTTTCAGACAGTGTAATACGTATGAGTTACAGTCAAACAATGCATCCAAAGGAATGCTTAATTTCACAAGGAATGTCAAATAAATCTGTATTTTCCAAAAGTCACAATGAATACATGTTAGTCAATTAAATATAAAACACTAGTTTAATAAAACAAAATTAATGCAAGCATCTTTTACATACAAATTGTCTCCTTTCAGAGATATGAATTTCTTGTACCCATATGGTGCAACTTTAAATGTGGCACAACCATCTGTAGTTGCATTGTCTAGTGGATCAATTGCAGTTCCAACAAATAGACCTATTTGTGCATATCATTACAGTGAAATAAACGGTAGTAAATTACTTGTTTTAGGTTCACCAAGAATGTTGACTGACACATACATAGAAAAGGAAAAAAATGATTCCTTGAGAGAAATGATATTTGATTTTTTTGAATCAAAAGAAATTGTTGCCAAAGACTCTCAAATGGATGATGTAGGTGTAAGCTTTAAAATTACATTTAAATTGCTATAATTTATTGTTACTTATAACATAACGATTCATTTAGTTCTGGGAGTACAATTTTGTGCCAGATATAACACAACAAGCAGATAATCCAAAAGTGTGCACTCAAGACATAGACATGATGGATAATCCTCATGAATATACTAAGTTATTTAAACATCATTTGTATTCTGTAAACTTAAACACAGTGCCAGCTTGTATAAAGGCTTTCGATGTTTTGGGTGTAAAACACGAACCACTTACTTTAATTCCACCACATTTTGAGGCACCATTACCACCCACTCAAGCATCGGTATAAATTTTTATTATTTACATTGATTTCATTAGATATATTATATACGTTTAAAAGATACGTAATTAAGGAAATCTGATTAAAGGTCTTCCCACCAAGTTTCCAGGAATTACCCCCACCAGCTTTGGAACTGTTTGATTTGGACGAAGCCTTCAGTTCTGATTTATTAAAACTGTCACAATTAACGAATAAATATATGGCAACAAAAGATCTATCAAAAGACATGGAGTTGGATCATTATATTAGGGAATTTGGAAGCATTGTTAGAATAAGCAATTCTGATAGTCGCACTGCCAAAGAAGTATTAAACTCTGTCTTTCAAAGTATTTGCAGTTATAAAGCAATGCACGAATAAAAAAATGGTAAAAATTGTAAATATTGTATGTTGCTATTTTAGATTAAATTACAAAATTAAGATACATGTACATATATACCATGTGAGAATAGAAGAGATTACTAATTAAAACTTTTTATTTGTTATGTAAAGTGATTTGAATTATAAATTATTAAAATGTACATTTTTAAAAATATATGAGAAACAATATTGATCTTGTCGTAAAATTCCTTCTTTCTTTCTTTTTAAAGTTACTTCGTATTTTTAACCGCTGATTGTGCCAAGAAAAATTCAAGCAATTGTATATTCTTTCGAGTCGACGTGAAGATGCCAATATATTAATATCAAAAATCAAAATTTTATCTTCGAATACTATTACTTCTATTAACAGAATTATAATTTGTATATAATGTAAATATGCCAAAACAATACCAATTTTTGCGAAAAAAATATATTCTAACCTATCGTTTGTCCAACTTAAAATGATTGCAACAAGGTCGTGTTAACAGGAAGGTACACATCGAATAAAGATTCATATAAGTATCGAGTACATAGATACGTATCATTACTAATATATACGAAGTTTATTATCGATTTTTTGTACTACTTATCACTTGTCCATGCTTGACTCATTATTATATCTACACTGAACCATCATGGTGGTATCGACACACTAGATGACTACACCAATTGAATTTTGATCACGCGAGGTAGTACCTACAGTTTATAAACTACGACAGTTTACATGCACTCTACGTGTAAGTTGAATGGACGTCAATCATATGTGCAAAAAAAGCTTACATTATTGTTTTTAAACAGAAACAAGAACAGGAAATTTCAATCGAATGGTGTCCGAATTGAATTCGCTCGTGGTCAAATAACGGATACAGTTTTTATTCCAAGAATCGATTATTTTTAAGTCGAGTTATGGCTGAATTTCACACGTACCTTTCAGTTTGAAGAGTGTATGCGATATAGAACAAATGAGCAAGATAAATAGAACAGCGATCGGAAAGCTTCGGTCAGCTCTCACAGCTGACTGTCAGCATCAAGAGCGATACAGCACGTGCGTGTAGGGATGACTCATTCGCTAATGGAAATTGAATTTAAACAATTTTTATTCATATCATCAGAATATTCTAATCGAATTGGCATGATTTTCCAATAAGAATGTATCGAAGTAAGACCTTGTTCGGTCTATTTTTAATTACACGTAATGCCAATAGCGTCTGAAAAGCTTTGCATTGCATATAAATTAACACACCTTCGTAAGTGTGAAATAATTATTTCGAAAGTATTTTACACAGTTTACTTAAAATTTGTCTAAAACTGCTTACAAAACAATTATTAGTTAACAAAACCTAATCGAAATCTGTGTTAGATTCTAGTACTTTAACAATGTTTATAATTGTAGCCGTGGTTATTCTCGTTTTCAATATATTTATATACCCAGTAGGTATCCAAACACTCTCACTCGAAAGGGAGAAACAGGATTCGTTCGTACAGTTTCAAGAAGTGATAGGACACTAATTATGTGACATCAAGGTTAGTTATGTGCAGAGATGGGTAGAATTTTATTCGAAAAATAAATAATTAATAAAAAAAAACATATCTTAAATTTTTATCTGTTCATTCCACAATTGAAATTTTTATTTTTGTTTAAAGAGACAACGGGTAAACAGTTGTTTATCCTTTGTTCGTTATTCGAATTTGCTTTCTAGATAAGAATTTTACCTGTCCTACCTGTGCATACGAATACATCGTTTCTGTTTCATTGGACTTAACCGCTTCCAGACAATTGTAACATTAAAATTGAAGTCTTGATGGTTCACTCGAGCGCGTGCATTATCGGTCTCGTCTGTCGGCGTCGACCGCACAGTGGCAAAGGGTCGCTTGCGCAGAGCACACAGAGCAAGTGGTGGGGATGGCTCCGCCATCAGATATCCGGGTAGTGCTGGAATACTACTGGCCGTTCCCTTCTCGGCTGGCTGGTAAAACGGGTACGTAGCTGGTATGTATCGCAGCCCATTCGGGAACCTCGCACTTGCTTCTTTGATTACGTTCAACGGTTTCATACAACGGCATTACGTGGACAGATTCGTTAAAGATCTATAATAGTGGACCATGAGGCGTATTTGGTATTGAAAAATACTTGCACCCGGAGTCACGAGGCTGCCGACTCTTGATTATCATTTCTCTCGGTGTTACGAACAATCTTCGAAACAGTGTGTCGTGGCAGTGTGCTCGTCGTTTCACGATGTTGCCCGGACGAAGTAAAACGTGCGTCAACTTATCACTGGAGCAACGACTGGACATCTTGCGACAATTGGAAGACCGTGTGCCGCAGAACCAATTGGCCAAGAACTACGGTATCAGCGTTGTAACCATACATCGTATCAAGAAGAACGCGGTCCAAATACGACAACAATCCCAGACACCGGGAACCGAAGGTAAGAAGAGATTTCGGAGGCCCGTGCTTGACGAGTTGGATACACGTTTATACACATGGTACCAACAGCGTCGAGCAGTCGACCAACGTATCACCAACGCGATACTTCAAGAGAAGGCGGTGGAGCTAAACGAGGAATTCGGTGGTCCGTCGTCGTTCTCAGCCTCCAACGGCTGGATATGGCGATTCAAACAACGCCACTGCATAAACTTTCACGATTCCAATAACGAAAACTCATTAATCGACACGAGGACAACGGAGGAATTCGCTCAGCGCTTTTTACAGCGTCTTGAGCAGGAAGGCATAAAGTTGCAGAACTTGTATAGCATGGACGAAACGGGATTATCGTGGAAGTGTCTTCCATCGAAGACGCTGATCCACACGACCAGAGTTTACGGGAAGAAAAATAAACATAATCTAGTCACCATAGGGCTGTGCGCGAATGCAATTGGAACGCACAAGCTACCGCCGCTCTTCATCCACAGGTGCGCGACGCCGAGAGCCTTGAAGCACTGCTGGGACCGTTTGCCGGTAATTTTCAAGGCGCAAAAGAACGCTTGGATGAGCCAGAACGTATTTGCCGATTGGCTCGAGAAGCATTTCAAACCGGCCGTCAGAAATCAGCAGTTCGAAACGGGTACTCGTGGAAAGGTGTTATTATTAATAGACAAGCGTAAAGCTCATAGCGTATTGCCGCAGCAACTGCAAATGGAGGACAACGATATCGAAGTCGTGTATTTTCCAGCGAACGCGTCGTCGAGTTTGCAGCCAATGAGACAGGGGATAATGAAAAGCGTGAAGATATCCTTCCGTCGTCGCATGTTGAGCCGAATCTTAAACTTTCCGGCCGGTGTCTTGGAATTCTACGCGGATTACGATATAAAGGACTGCATCGATTTAGTGAACGAAGCCTGGACGGACGTGACACAGGTCGACATCTACAACTCGTGGAAGAAATTATTGAGATTCGGTCCAACAGCGGCGGAGGAGACGGGGGAAGGGCATAACAAGGAAAACCCTGGCGACACGTTGGATGTTACCATGCTTAAAGACACGGTAAAAACGATCGTAAAGGAGGCTGTTTCTCACAAGGAGATCGAGGAGTGGCTCTCGATCTGTGAGAAAGCAGAGAGCGATCCAAACGATCTCGAGGCGGAAGAAGAGGACTACCCCGACGAAAGAGCAACCGTTCATTTAGACGTGGATGAAATCGAACGAATAATTGCAAATTTAATACTGTGGTCCGAAACGCAATCTGATTTTGTTAAGCTGCACGCGCGCGTAGTAAAAGATTACTACGACCTGATGCATTAACAAAGTGATCCCGATAGGTTAAAATAAACATATTTTCCATTTATTCTTGTTATATTTATTAATCCAGTATTCCTGATTGGATTAACCCTTAGATGGTAGGCCGTTTTAACGTCTGAATAGCGGACGATGGGCCCATTTTAACCCAAATCTAAATTTTTTTGTAAAATATAGACGCGGGACATAATTGTGTACAGACCTTGAATTTAAGGTTAACTTCATTATTTTAATGGCACATCATTTCTTATTCATGATGTGATTGTAGCTATTTAGATGATTTCAATTAACTATAACACCAAGTCATTCAAGGTCATGGCGGGTTACAGGAGACGATAATGTGATAGGTATCAATACGATATCTCATATTTTCCTATGTTATCGCCCTAGCTTGTGCCACTCAGGTAAACAGATAAAAATAGTAAATAGTAAATTCCTTAAATTGACTTTCTTAAGAAATAGTAATTCTTGAACCTCCGGTCGTTGGTACCAATATAGCTCGTCGATAGTCAGTAATCGGTTCGTGTGCCAGACAACTATCGCTAAGTAGAGAAACGTCATTATTTTATGTATCCGATGTAATCTAAGAATTTTTACTCTGTTATCTTCTATGATCTGCCGTGACCTTGAATGACCTTGTATTAGTTCGTTGAAATCGTGTAAAAAGACCTCTTGCGATCTCTACACTTCCATTAAAAACAGAAACTAATAATCTATCTTCACAACTTTTGTATTCAGAGATTTGAGGCTTTCACGGCCCAGCGTCGTATAGTTTTTACTTATAGTTTATGTTAGACACGACTCACACTTGATAGTCTCAACAGTAAAAACTATCCAATAATGTATTATTATTACATTTTTCTAGTGTAATTTATTTTACTCACCCGTATTTTGGGAATTAAACCTCTACATATCATGCGAGTCGAAATAATTTCTGCAATGTAATTTTTAATTTTAGAACCATACGATCGCACAATGTATAAATAACTTTTAACTTAATCTTTCATCAATGTAGCAGCAAAAAAGATATTCTTGAATTTGCTAACGTTATCGACTATGATGATTGTGTCGAATATGATTCTCAGAGTCATAATTTTTTTAACGTAGAGCGCGCCACAAAATCATCGAGTTTTCATGAGGTCGGTATTTCAGTTTTTGTAACAGATTCTTCTCATAACATGCTGGATCTAGCTTATAGTTTGTGACTATGGCAGCACGTTCATTGCTACAAACAATAACTTTGTTGTGAATTCCACAAATAGAGAACGAACTGTAATATTTATGAATTAACCGGTACGAATTAAAAGCGGCAGGATGATTTTCAGATTTTGAAAAAAGTTCGTTTTATGTCGTTTCGAACGTAACTCATAAACAATGTCAGTATTCTTTGTGAATGCGTAAGTAAATGTTTTTATTCCTCGTTTGTTAGGTTATGTCTATTTTTTAATTCATTTGTACAATTGATAAGAATTAGTTGAACACATTACCCATTAAATTACGAAAATATAGAATAAATCATATAAATAATGTTTTATTTTATAATGAATATGTCATGTTGCTCAATATCATTGTTATTAATTATTTAGTAACCAAGACAGCGAAGTCGAAGGGGATTCCAATGGAGACCTACAAATTGCATCACCTGGCAGTTCTGAAGCCCAACAAGCTTTGGCACAGTTCTGGCCAAAAGTCACAGAAGAAATTAAAAAGATTACTACTGTAAGTACATAAATAAATAATGTGTATTTTCTATAGCACGTAATGATCGTTGAATGTTTTGATAGATGGACCTGAAAACACAATCTTTGCCATTGGCTAGGATAAAAAAAATAATGAAGCTGGACGGTGATGTAAAGATGATAAGTGCAGAAGCCCCCATGTTGTTTTCCAAAGCAGCAGAAATTTTTATACACGAATTGACCCTTAGAGCATGGGTTCATACAGAGGATAATAAGAGACGTACGCTTCAGCGAAATGATATAGCAATGGCTATTACTAAGTACGACCAGTTTGATTTTCTAATCGATATAGTGCCTAGGGATGAATTAAAACAAAGCAAAGCACAGACTGAAAGTACCGTACGTACATCTATGAACTCGGACCAAGTACATTACTACTTTCAATTAGCGCAACAACAAGCATCAGCTAACCAAAATGTACAAAGTAGTAACACAAATACACAACCTATACAAATTGTTCAACCTTCTACTGGACAAATTCAGACAATTAATATAGGTAGTCCGGTAGAACAGGTATACCGTTTACTATTGTAAAGTTATTCACCAATCACGTATCGGATTTATTAATTTTTAATTTAATCATAGGAAAATACTAATGCAAATACAACGCAGGCGGTAACAGTGCAGAATGCACAGCAATCATCGGGACAACAAATTATACAGTTACAGCAGGCTCAACAAACACCCACTACTCAAACCGGAGGAATACAAATTGTCCAACAAATTGTAACACCCAGTGGAGAAATTCAGCAAATACCTGTATGTGCATTTATGATTACAATTAATATGGGAGTTCTTTTAACTACTTATTTATTAAAATTTACTTCTCATTTCAGATACAATTAACACCTCAACAACTTCAAATGATTCGTATGCAAGTACAGGGTGGAAGTAATCAACCAATTATAATTCAAACTGCTCCTATACAAGCGCAACCTCAATTAATACAAGTGGCGCAAGGCGCTCAAGCACCTGTCTTTTTACAAACTAGCGGAACTGACAATGAGTAAATGTTAATTAATTTTAAGGAATATTTAATGTTTAGTACAACAGTCCTAAACACAAAAAACAGGATAAAACAGTAAATATAAGCTTGTATGGTAAGGAATATTTTTTAAATAATTTTTTTAAATTATTCCTAAAATAAAAGCATTTTCCATATCTTCTATCCCTGTTACACTACGCACCAGAAAAACGATATCGATTATCGAAATCGATGTATTATGTTCTCCGTTTGATCGAACTATCAAATTATATGATATTATTACGTGCAGTATAAAGTCGCCCATTACCCTTAGCGAATTTATAATCTTAAGACGAACAAATGAATTCAAAATTATTGGCGAAAGCAAAGTTTATAATCGTTTTAAAGTTTGAGAGCACTTTTCAAGGGCGAGAGTATATCGTGAACCGGGTATAAGGTGCTGATCGAAGGGTTGTCACTGAAGCGAAATGAAGTGAATTGAAGCGAGGTAAAGTAAAGAATAAAGATAAGCAGCCAACGCAAGATGTAATCTGATTCGTACGTCGCGTTCCTTAGCCGTTGGCTGCTTCGCATGGCTGAGCTTAGGACTGGCTGGTGCAACTTGTATTATGTTTCACGTTGCTGCGGTTCTTGTCTGGCAAGTCTTGAGTTTGAAGCCTTCAACAATCTCGAAACGTCACGTAATAATAAATATACCTATTGAAATTTATCGACACATTTACAAATTCTATCGAGTCGTTTTCGATATATCGATCGTCTAATGTGGTAATTATATTTATGGGTTACGTAATGTTCGTCTGTAACAGCGTCGTAATGGTATTAAAACCATTTTTCATAACGCAATGCCGCCAAAGACGTGTTAAGTATCGATTAATAACGTCTGTTACTGTCAAGATTTCTTAATTGCCCACCGACTTCAGTTAACATTGTTAACACGTTGAGACTTAAATTCGTCAAATTTTCTGCGAGATCAATATTTTATTCTTAGACAATTTGATGCTTAATTTAAAATTAGAATTCAGTTTTTTAGCTCATGAATGAAAAGTTCTATCGCTCGCGTATGGGTGACGTGACGATCAACGTGTTAATAAGCACTTTACGTGCTGTAAAATTGTAAATAACGTTACTGTCGTTATTTCTATTTTTCATATTATAATTCGAACGAACATCAAGAATATCTCGAGGCATAGAAAACTGGTGCATACATAATTTCATATAAATGAACTGTCGTCAACATAGCGAATATTTTTATCACAAAAAAGCATAACGGAAGGACGAGTGCCATAAGTAGGAAGACTAAGAGACGAGGAAGAGGGTGAAGGAAGATGGTGGCACCTTCTGGAGTCCTTTTATTAGCACGGAACAAAGATGTGCTCCATTTAATGACGTTGCCACCATGGTTCTGGTTGCCAAGGTAACCATGTGCACGCAATGTTGCAGTCTCAAACGTATTCTGCAGAGATTTTAATTCCTACTTCGAGAAGGCTCCGACGGGTCCTTCCACCTCGCGATCTACGCCACTGCTCGAATACTCGGATTTCACGACATGTTTACAAAGATCCTAGAGATAAGTTGAGAATGGCCGCCGCAGCCCATGCCTCCTCCATGGGTGTAAGGTGACAGCTGCCTGCGCCTGCGTTACATGCACACAGGGTGTCCGAGAATTAGCTTTCGCTATCTTGATAATTTACGAACGTGCAAGTTAATCAACAGTAAAGATTGCTTCGAGCATTCCTCGTATCGCGACGACCGACTTCGCTATATAAACGTGAATTTTTGTTTCTTTGCATCAGATGCCACCGAAAATGCGTCCCGTTGAAACGTAAGCAAGGAAAATCAGAAAATGACCCGATTGGTACTCGGCAAACTTCGTCGGTTATTCTGGACTTCGGAGATGGTTTATTGCACTGGAATTTCTACGTCGTATAATCATAAAAGTCTTACCTTCTTAACTGCCCGTCTTCGAAGCAATAAATTCTATCAACAATAGCAACAGTATTCGAATCGTACACCCCGTATAAGCTCGCGCACGTTCGTACATACCTACTCACACGTATCTCCTCGTTGTGTTGCGTGCAATCCCCCCCCTATCGCTCTGCACACACACACAGAGAGGAAAGAGAGAGAGATATCTCGCTTGCTTAGCCGGGGCTAAACTCACCCGCAGGATCTCTACACGTGTGTGTACTTATTTTAGCAGGATCTTACCTTCAGGATGTACAGTTCGACAGGAAACAAAAGACCGCCTTTTCCAATGAGGAAGAAAACATTTTCACTTTCTCTCCTGAAGTTGGACGATTAATGGCAATTTTTTAATCGTGATTGCATGCATTTATGAATGTACGTATGTATAATTATCAATTATCTATTCCTGTACAAGTACGAAATAATTATATCGGACGTCTTAATCTAGAAATTGGAAGGAAAATTTTGTACAAAGTTTGCGAATAAAACGCTTCGTTTTCGAGGATAGAAACAACATCGCACCACTCAAGTCTTACGTGCGGGGAACTTTAAAACGAGAAGCGACTTCGTACGAACTTCGTCGAGCGAGGAACTCAGTCGTTTATTGGTGTCATGTTTGCGGAAGGACATCATTTTGAAATGAGATTTAAAAAATAAGAAGCATGTGACTGCACAGACCAGGTAAACATAATCGAATTTCTATGTGCTGTTATTCTGTTCATACAATATTGGTACGATACTGATTTATATGTTACTGTCGAATAAAACGTTATTGGTTGTTTTCGTTCGACGATCGTTGCCCGAGTAAAGTAGCGCTGGACGTCACATTTCCACCGAAATGTTTCTGACAAAATAGCCGCCGACTCGGGGAAAAGTCAGTCATTTCGGCATTAAAAGGTGTATGTACATACCTGGCCCTCCGCAAAGTAAATAATCTGGCCCGTACTTATGCACTTTTCCTAGAGTGCCCGTGTCCGTGTATGTATGCACCCTTGGGTGGTCGAGCGCGTACGTAGCTTCGTCGGGGCACACCATTTATACGTTGGAGAGATAGACCACAAGCCTCCCGCATACTCCGAGGCCTCGCGATAGCTCGCACGCTGTCGTATTTATCTGTATATAAGGGTTGGTTTGGTGAGTGTATGTACAGTGAGTCACAAAGTTATTGGCACGGGCAAAAATTTGATGATAACGTTCGAAATTAGAAGACGATAAAAGTGCTTTAATATTTTTTTTATCAAGAAACAGATAGTCCAGATTCTTAAGTAATGCAACGATGGGATGAAACAGTTGTGTCTTGATATCGCGAAAAATTTTTCAAGTATAACGATTTAGTAGGAGAACAACCATTCTTGTATTATCTTTAAATTATGCTTAGGATCATTATTTTTATAGAAATGATATGCGTCTAGAATACTTTGCTTCAAATTATTTTTTAGAATGATAACACTATTGAAATTTATCCTTTTTTTTATTTGTTAATTATCAAGTCGAATGTTCATTTAATAATAATAATAATAAATAATGTGCCTTTAAAACCCTTCGAATAAACGTTAATACTTGTAAACTTTTACATAATGTCACTAGCATCAGAAATACTAGAAATTAACAAGTACTCTATCGAATTGATGAATATTTCTATTTCTTACGTTATAATTTAAAAAATTGTCAAGAATATCCCTAGATAGGGAAAACTGGTGTAGCAGTTAACGTATGAAACAATTGACGAAAACACAAAGAAATCTATTATAAAAACATACTTCCTGGTTGTTTAACTTAAACATGTGTGAATGATTGTTATAGTTCGTCTTCTTGTGACGTTAAAGAAACTTTTTCATGTTTTGTTAGTTGAGGATCTAAACTTTTGGCCTGGTTCTTAACGAAGAAATATTAAAATTCTTTTATTGGCCTTTTATTTTACGCGCTTGTATCAAATTGTTAGACGTGCCAATAATTTTGTGGCTCACTGTAGCTTCATGGTAAGCTTCCATGCCATTATATCATAAAGGTAGTAACCCCCATTCCGCCTCCTCTTTCTCCGCCAGCAACGACTACTTCGACCAACCCACAGGATGCCGACGCCATGTCTCCTTCACGTGCCTCTCTTTATTACCTTCGATCTCCGTCGAACGACAGACTCTTGGGAAACTCGACGACATCCATTTCACGTAACAGTTCGCGAAGTATATTGCATTTGTACCCGTAGGCCACCGTGACGCGGGTTACCGTAGACTTTTTCACAGGAAGTCACTCCTCGATCGCTACAGACGCGCAGAAGTTGACCATTATCCGGGCAAAAACAGTTACGCAAATAAAAAGACGAACGGGAGACAATCATCCCTTATTTGAAGAAGAATACGTGATAAAAAAAGTTAAACTAATTTTATTTCTGAACCACGTGCCAACTAATTGAAACCTCAATTGACGGTTCTATAGTTTTTTAGTCGCTCTTACGTCCAAATATAGTATTTTACGTTCGAAACATCGTTTGATAGTTTATTTAAGCAAAAGAAACTACCACGATTATTTGATCGTTAACGAGAAGAATTTCGAACAAATATTTATCCGAGATAATTACTCAACTAAGGAGTAAATGTTTGTTCGCTCGTACCAATTGTTTCAACAAATTTTCGTTGAAACAAAAACTTACTCGTTATCGATGGAAAGAAAGTTATCCGTTATTTGTTGCTCGAATGAAATTGTTTTACGAACCAAAACCGTGGATCGTATTGGTTTGCGCTAATTGAGCTGGATCCCTTTCTAAACTAGAAAAAAAAGTTATTTCACGAATACAAAAGAAATTGAAAATGATCGATAGCTTACTATTTAGTAATAAATTCTTATTTACTTTTTTCATTCTCAAAAGTGTAAACAAACATTAAATATAAAAAAATCTTTATTTTAGTAAGAAACATTCCTTGTTTTGGTTGTAGGAGCAATTTCAATTTAATTATTAAATAAGTTTAGGCTTTACAATTGTTATCTTTAACTTAAGTGACAAACAACTTCTTTGACCAACCAATCTTTTTCATATAAATTTTTAGGATTACCATCACTTTTGGTCCCCGAAGAAAACCCGACTTAAAACAGCGTTAAAAATCCAGGTGCAAAAGGGTTCACGATTGTATCTCCACTTTCGATTGTTTCGTACCACGCATATATTAAATTAGTATCAAAATTAATTTTTCATACATTAACTTAGAATTTACATTACGTTCGTATTAAATTGTGTGCAAAATCGGCACAAGAGCAAAACGTTCGTATCGTGGTCCAACAAGTTTCTTTCCTCTATTTCCGAATTGTTTGCGACACTCGTGTAGCGCGACTTTTCCTACGTTGAAATGAAGTAAAAATTCTATTAAAGAAAAATGTACGCGACCATCAACTGTTCTTGACACCGCCAGTCGTCAGGTTTTCTCCGTGAAACTTTAACGATCGCCTTGACTTTCGTCAACCCCCAAGCGCTTAAAGTCGAGTCAATGTACTTTACGAGGTATACAGGATATTTCAGAGCTTTTGGTTGAAATCGTAATCTATTGCCTTTTCCAGACCTGCTACACATTAATATAAGCAATTTTTAATGATTATGATGAATCTAAGTACAAATATAAAAAAAAATTGTTGATAGAGGTATATTTTTATATACGATACAAATGGATTAGGAAATTAGTTAAATTATATTAAATCATAATTTTTAATATATATATCAATAATGTAATAAAAATTAATTTTTATCTTTCAGTAAATACAAGCAGAAAAATAAATCGTAACGAACTGAAATGCTGCTTAAATGGAAGAAAAAATTAACAAAGTAACATTAAAAAATATGTTGTAATATTTCGTTCCAAATCCCATCACTAAAAGCGTTAAATCGTAATGTTCGAATGTTCATCGATCTTCTACAGTCGAAGGTGACTGAATCTTAAAAGGAAAACGATATTCTTCTATGCTTTTAAAGACTTGTTTTGAACATAACAAGTTTCTCAAAACTCGAATGCAGATGCTTGAGAAACTCGACGGTGCCTCCGATTTGCCTCGAATTTTGAAAAATTCCTGCTGTCCGTTCTACCGTGAAACTAAGACCTCGGACAGATTAGGCGCACTTATCCGACCCTTGTGCACTTATCCGTTATTATGTAAAAATACAAATCCTCTTTGTCGTTTCTGACGTGCCCCGACGATCGCAGATCGCTTTGTATTTTGGTTGCTCTAAAAACTACAAAAGATAATCTGATATTCATTGTTTTATTTTTAGCATTTTCGACGAGGAATTAAAATTTACGTAAATTGCCAATTTACTTGGATTACGCCTGTTCGACGCTTCCTTCTTTCGAGAACGAATGCGGGCCACCGAAATAAATTCGCATAATCGTGCACGCCGCCACGTGCACTTTGATACGAGAAATATTACGTATCAGGGATGAGAGAACGAGATAATAAAGCAACCACTGCACATTCTTTTCCGTCCCGCGGTCTAGCACATTCCTCTTATTTATCTCACTTTCCAGACTTGTTCACGGAGATGGGCAAAATTTTATTCGAATAACAGACAACTAACAAGACCAAGGCAAAGTCGAGCAAATTTTACTCGCGATCGATTAATTCGTAAACTAACTTCCGTGTACGTTTTATTCACGAAAACGTTCCGTCTTGTAATCGCCCCGCATCTTTTCGTCATCGTGTATTAATGGCGGAGAGCCATTTAGAAAAATTTTCCTGTAACATTATCCAAACTCTCGTGGAAACTGGAGAATCCATCTAGTTGGTATAAGATACGCATCGGATGTAAGCACGGGTGTTGCGAAATTAGGTTGCTACCCCTGTCTCGCTCCAGCCTGATTATCATAGTCAAAAACACGAGCGTCTACTTGCGGGTACTCTTTCGTTACTCGCAACCCTACACTCCGTGAAAATATTCACGGCGCGATGGGGGTCGTTTTAAAGAACCTAACGCGACACGAAGTCGACAATGTTTCCTTATTCTTTGTTCAAGTTCGATCGAGTGTTTACTAATTTCGAGCTAAAATGCGGAAAGGTGTCTTTCGAAATAGTTTTATTGAATGCTGTGTAACCCTCTACAGGATTATTAGCAACGCATATAAATGCGTAATACAATTAGGATATATACCTACATTAAGATTATCTGAATACACTTATCGATAGAAAATTATAAATTACAGAAAATCAGCAGCTGATTTAGATTAAATATATATACAATGTTTCTCTAGGAATTTGAAAATAACCATTAGCGAGGAGATACTTGATCGAAAAAGAAAAGTGTTAAAAAATTTAATGAACATAGTTTAGCAATCATTTCGCTTCTGCCAACCTCAAAATGTGGGCATTGCCAGATAATATGATTAGGCTCTTGTTCAGGATAGCCGCAGCCACATTCGAAATAGAGTTAATAGTCTAGATATAGTTTTAAATTAAAAATATCGGGAGAAATAAATACAGAAGGGACACCCTCGTAGCTGCGTAATTATACAAATTACAGACGCGATCAAACGCGGATCCCAATCGTTATTTTGTCTTTTATTCGGGGTATAAATTTTATTTTAACGCGGGACGACAGGGAGAGAAACGTCTCGCGCCACTTTTATCACGCTATAATCGATAAAGGGACCAAAAAGGAAGCAGGACAATCTCCTTCCAAGAAGCCAGCGAGTATGACGTAGGGCCGCCGGACCTCCCGTCAAGAATTCTCTATCTCCGATTATAAAACAAAGGAGGAAAAAGAAAAAGGGACACGCACCGCGTTGGACCTCGATGAAAAAAAGAGCAACGCGTACGATCGTTGTCGCATCACATCTCCCGACGCGTATATTCGAGAACCTGTCCCGGACCCGAAAAAAGACGTGAACTCGAAATAATCGTAGGACAAGGAACGTTGAGAGATAATACGCATAAACCATAGGTGGGCCATCGATTTTTGACACGTGGAGACCTCGTCCTAGATAAAAAAACAAGCGGACAATTGTATTCGGACAAACACATTTTGTTGCGTAATTTCAGAATCTCGCTCGAAACTTACTTTCACCGTCAGAAACTATTTTTTTTTTTTAAGTACTAATGGTCTCCTAAAGCCATGTCTAACATAAAGATCCCAAGGTTTAAGTAACAAAGCAGTTTTTCTAATCGATTCTCTATATATACATTTTGTAGGACTCGATTTTTTAGTGAATTGATACCAAACGTTTTGATTCGAAACTTGTTTAAAAAGTAAACACCTCTGCCATGATTGGTCGTGTTGTACCGCTAATTCCTTAACCTCACGAAATGCATTCCTGCAGTGGTTATCAAGATCGTCCACAGACCTGCCTAATTGGTATTCCGCCACCGACCTCACCCCGGCTGTAAATAAAAAACGAAAATGGGCCCGTCAGTTCAGAACGATTCATAAAAACGAACAGTGACGGGAGGTGACAATTATTTGATCAAGGGGATAACCTAGGTGTCTGCCCTTCCAACTTTGCCATTGTAGTAGCGTTCGTTTGAATAGCCTCAAATAACAGTAATTTAGTTCGAATAAACGAATCTTTTTATGTCACGCAATACACAAATGGCAAAATGATAAAATACTAATCTGCAAGACAAATCATAGAAACAATTTGTTGTTACGTTGTTTGAAGTTAAAGTTGCATCTTTTAAAAAAATTACAATGGAAATTTATTTATACCCTTCCTGTACGACTATATCAACAAGGAAACCCAATGTTAAGAAGTGTTCGTAAGTATTCGCTATGATCGTTGTTTGGGCTACCGTGCGTCGTAGGAAAAACATTACAAGTATCGTACATTTTCGATTTATGTTTATTCGATTTATTACTAAAGCAGTCGAGGCTATTCAAGTGAACAGTACTGCACATCCTTTATCGCGTTTCATCTCTGTCCGATACAGTCGAGTAACCGAGCGAGCTGCCGTTAGCTCCTTTCGTTCTAATTAACGAGCGACCTGTACGCGTCCGACGAACAAAGCGAGACGACGACGGGGAATACCGACAGCAGGACGAAGAGGGGACGAAGGACTGAGACGGGTGAACGTGCGCGGGAGAAGGACGCGAAACGAGCCGGCCAACCACGTGATCAACGGGCGGGGGTGGTAGGCGACATTTCGCATGCTCAGAACTCCACAGGCTGCAGCGTATCGCACACCGACCGAACCGATACCCTTCGCAGGGAAACAATAGTGCTGGTCGCGTTCGTGAGAGAGAATCCGTCACGGAGCCTTCGACGGGATACGCGTACCGAGTAACGTTAACCAAAAGGATCGACTGCCATTCAGTTCGTCTTCCACGGTTTCACCCTCCGTGCGAGAGACGTGCCGGAGTATCAGGAGATGTTTCCTCGGGAAATCATTGACCGAGCTTTGTCAATTTTCCCGTTTCGTTGCTAGTTTCGGACTTGACAAGTGGTTTCCCGTCCCGGCGGTATTCCGTTCCCATTTTGTTTCGGGTGTCATTAGAAAACGTACGGACGGGGGACAAAGCAGTGCGTCCGTCGGGTGTCACGATGTTTTCGTGGTCGTGGAAAGTGCGAGAAAAGTGAGAGCCAGTGTGCTTAAACTCCATCAAGTGCGGCCTGTAATACGCGTTCAATCACGTACACGCGACACGAGGAGGGATGACGATGATATCGGGAGGGAATCAACTACGGCTTCCTTGATCCACGAATATTCTTACCGAAGCATCCTTGGTCCAGCGTAAACACCGGATACAAGGTTTGAACGAACGCTTCACTATCAAACTAGACATTTTCTATTCCGTTTTAGCAACGCGACACGATTCTCGCGTAATGACAAGCGACAGCGAGAATTAACGTGGCCGGCGTGCGTTCGCGACGACCAGTTGTAAAAACAAATAAGATTACCTTGTTCGCGGAATGTTAAACGCGAGAGGCTGGAATTCCGTGACAGGTTATAATCGAATTTGATTCGCATATGCTGCGACCGTTTCGCTTCCGTAGACAACGTTGTTGAAATTGTCGGCTGATGGGACACCGAAAGAGACCGATGATAATCCAATAAAATTCGTCGTCGGTTGCCACGTGGGAAGCGCGATGCACCCCACGGTTTCATACATGCGTACGTTCCTTAAATTGTTAGATGTACCGGAGTCACGCACGGTACGCGGATGTGCCGTCGTGCCGCGCACACACGTGTAAACGTCATTATCAATTGAGCATGCGTAACTTATGCATCTCATTCGGCTCGTTACCAGTAATGTATTTTAATTGGTCGACCGCTGCGTAACGCTAAGTAACGCGTATGTTTCTCGCTGCGAGAGGCCAAGTGATTCCGGCTTTATAAGACGACACGCTACGCGGGCAGACCAGATAAATCGACACATGGGACCGGTCCTTCGAGATAAACAGTATCGAGAGAGCCAAGAGGTGCCTCTAACGCGACAAACGCAAACGTTTTCAGCCGCGTTTTGCGATTTCCATGGTTGCGACTAGAGATGACGTGAACTTTTCAATCACTCGTGATTCGATCACGTTCATTCCCAATCACAGTGATTCGTGATCGCTTTCGATTGGTGGGCAGCGTTCTTTTCACTTTTCACGAATTATGTCCTTAGACTGTACATGTATTATATTATAATATAGTCCAAAGGCAATGTTAACATAATTTTCTTATTAGGGGAAAGAAAAGGAGAAATTAAAAGTGATAAATAGATGTAAGTATAATTTATTTCATAAATGTTCGTGAAATTTTTCGACAAAGTAATGTACATGCAAAACTAACCTGTCTGTAATTCTAACTTATTTCTTTATAATATAAATATATACAAAATGTCATATTAATGTATAAAAACGTATATAAATGTATAATACGTATGTTTTCATATAAATGAACATAAGAATTTTCATTACCGATGATTTTATACTTTTTCTTATTTTTGAAGCGAGTATTGTACACCTAAGCAATACTTCTTTTTCGTGGCAACAAACTTATCATTTATTTAAATAATCGACTGAAACAATTCGGCATTTGAAATGTACAAAATATGCAATTAAGCAGACTTTTTCAGTGCTTTGATTACATTACTATACAATTTAAATTTGAGGGGAGTTAGCGGAACACTAACGATCACAGTTAACGTGAACCGCTACCAAGACGCCATCTTTCGGATCACGGTCGTGAATGGAGTTTAATCACGATCGTGATCATGATTTTGTGATAAATCACTGTTAGTGATTTTCACATCTCTGGTTGGGACGTGAATGGTTAGGAAAGCCACCAGGACGTTCCAGACGAGAACCTTTTGTCTTGGCTCCGGAGTGTAACCATCCCTCCTTATTTTTCTTTTTCCTTCTTTAAAACGTAAGCGGACCACGGTCCGTGGGACACGAGTGTCGCGCATGGGAAACTGTATAGCCACGCATTCCTCTTGTTTCGCTGCATTTCTTTGACGGCTAACGGACGGCCCGACAGCAAGCAAGCTAAGCAACTTGCCTGCGATAAACACTTCGGTGCACGCTTTGTTTAGATAAGCCGAGTGCCTTTCGCCTTTATTCCCCGGGTCCCTTATTCAACGGAAAATAAATAATAACGTAATTTCGAACGACGCGCGAACGGCACGAAACAAAACGCGCGCGCACCCATGCTTTTCGAACTTCCCTTTTATGTTTTGTCTCGTTGACACAAAGTTAATCCCATAAGTATTCGTACCTTCGGGGAGATCACGATTTCCATGGCCCCTTGTTTAGCGGTTAAATTTGTGCTCTTGAGGTAATTTTAAGAAAAAAAATGGCTGGTTTAGCCACTAAATTAGATCTCCTGTTTTCTATAAATCTGCAAATATCTCGGTAATTATGCGAAATATGGCAAAATGTCAAGAGACCTTTTTTGTAAAAAATTAAATTTCCAACAATTTATGTCCCATGACAGTTTTTTATCAGCTGCACAGTTTTCGAATATGTTTATATTTTGGTATACTATGCAGAGTAAAATCAATATATTTTTGTTGTTAGTTAATCAGTTTTGTTATAATTTAGTATAAATAAACTTTATACATGTGTTCATTTATAATAAAAAATTTATTGCAAAACTTTAAATGCATCCTTTGATTTCAACAAATTTCTCTTGCAAGCAACGAGGGTACGAATACTTATGGGACTGACTGTACTTACGAACAATGTATTTTCGACATTATAACATTAGCTTTAAAGGTTAAAATTATATCAAATATTATTTCAACTTATAGCAACTTTAGTGTTTGTCGTTTAGCCATTTCTTTCGATGATCGATGTTTTGTTGCACGTTGTATTACAGTTTACGTTTTGTTATTATCAATGATACAACATTTAGTTCGAAGTACTGATAATAAATACCAGCAATATAGAATGAAATAAATAATATTAGTATAATTGTTATAAGCAAATCACTTATAGTCATTACTTGTAACTGAAAACACTTTAGTTACCAAAATAATTACTATCCTAGAACTTTCTTTTTATTTTGGTTATAACAAACTTGTAAAATTTTATTATGTATTTTTGTGTTCGGCCACCCCTGGGAAAAATTTGAATGGAAGTTTCTAGGAGCCAAAATAAAACGAAAATCAAGAATATCAATTCCTTGACTGAGGCTTCGTTAAAAAGTTATTAACAATTAAATTAACAAATTTCAAATCGTTCTAAAAAAATTATTTTCGGTTGCGGGGCTCAATTACAATCATTTTTGGTGAATACACATACCTCCGAAATCCTACCCACTTTCGAGAAAAAAATTCCTTACCGAAAATCTAATTAGGTGCCTAAATTTTTCGATGAAAAAAAAAAATTTCAAATCGTTCTGGAAAAATTATTTTTGGCTGTGGGGGTCAATTACAATAATTTTTGGTGAATAGGCATACCCACGAAATCCTACCCACTTTCTAGAAAAAAATTTGAGAAGGTGTGAAATTTTACGATTGAAAAAAAAAATTTCAAATCGTTCTGGAAAAATTATTGTTGGCTGCGGGGGTCAATTACGATAATTTTTGGTGAATAGATATACCCTCGAAATCCTTCGCATTTTCGAGAAAAAAATTTAGTACTAGCGGAACTTTAAACGTTAATAACTTTTTAACGAAGCCTTCATCAACAAATAGGTATTCTTGATTTTCGTCTTACTTTGGCCTTTAGAATCCCCCATTAAAATTTTTCACAGGGTTGGCCGAACACCCTGTATACGATCAGTACGTTCTTTTGCGTTTAGGGACCGAGACTAGACATGTGTACGATCAGAACGATAAAAGCACTTTGGTGGTTGAGAGCAGACAAACGACCGCAGAAGATGAAACTTTAATTACCAAAACTGGATGTACGTGTAATAGCAATTATCTGTGAAAGTTAAAAATAACGATTTCAGCGATCTTCGTATTACAGCTCCACACGGACTTGAATACATATTGCGTGTTCCATTTGCATGTTGTACGTTTTCCAGTATCGCGTGATACAAAAGAAAAGCGAAATATATGGATCATAATGGTTTAATATTTCACGGTATTTCCACTTCTTTCAAACAATTAACGAGAATTCGTTCGTTTTTTTTTCAAGTTTCGCCTTTGTCAGCCCATCGCCGTCGTTACGAAAGGAAAAATCGAGCACGCATGTTGTTCAAACATATTGTCGTGCTAATTGATTCGTCGTCGTGTTCCACCACGCGACGTAACTTCCAACTAAACTCGTCGCACGGTGAACAATTGCTTTCGTACCTACACAAGGATGCTGTGTATATTCAACCACGATAATCCATAAAGACCTTTTTCTCGAAACGATCGTTCCCTGACAATGATTTATTCAACTTCAAACAACCAACGGGAAATGTTTACTCCGTGTCCAAAGGCATTGTCGTCCACGTATTATTCGTGGCGCAATTAATTACGATGGCCATTTAAAACAAGATATATTTACACAATCATAATTAAAGTTATCAGTTTTCCAATATTGTTTGAATAGCAGCAAAGCGTGGATTCATTACGAGTAGGTATTTTGTTGTACCTTTATACTTAATCTATATACAGGGTGTTCGGCCAAACCTGGGAAACATTTTAGTGGAAGATTCTAGAGGCCAAAATAAGACGAAAATCAAGAATATCAATTTCTTGATCGAGGCTTCGTTAAAAAGTTATTAAAAAATTTCAAATCGTTCTGGAAAAATTATTTTCGATTGCGGGGGTCAAGTATAATCATTTTTGGTGAATAGACATACACCTGAAATCCTACGTACTTTCGAGAAAAAAATTCAGGAAAGTGGACAAATTTTTCGACGAAATTAAAAAATTTCAAATCGTTCGGGAAAAAATATTTTCGGTTGCGGGGGTCAAGTGCAATCATTTTTGGTGAATAGACATACACCCGAAATCCTACGCACTTTCGAGAAAAAAATTCGTTACCGAAAATCGAATGTGACGCCAGAAATGGTTCCCCGAAATATCATGCGAATCTTTAAAATGTCATAACTTCTGAACGGATTGGACGATTTTAATTTTTCAGAATGCAAACAACGCGTATTTTAGTGGAGAATATGTAGAAATTCCGAGAATATTCGAAAAGTTGTTCTTTAATCCCGTAACGTGAAAAAAAAACCCATAAAAATGGTCTAATTTCAAACGGCCGTAACTCCTAGAATAATGAATATATTGGATTGAAATTTTGGGAGGATGTAGAGTTCAGGGATACCTACAAAAAAGTGTTAAACAACTTTTCTGTAGAGCGTCAAACGAATTTATTAAAAATGAAAAACGAATTTTTAAGAAATATCGGGTGCCTAAATTTTTCGACGAAAAGAAAAAATTTCAGATCGTTCTGGAAAAAATATTTTCGGTTGCGGGGGTCAAGTGCAATCATTTTTTGTGAATAGGCATACACCCGAAATCCTACGCACTTTCGAGACAAAAATTTTTTAACGAAAATCTAATGCGTTGGCGGAAATGTTTCTATAACTTTTTAACGAAGCTTTAATCAACAAATTAGTATCTTTGATTTTCGTCTTATTTTGGCCCCCAGAAACACCCTGTATATATAATTTTTAATTCTTCATCATCTGACTCGTACAGAGTAATAAAAATATTTAATTGCTGGTTACTTTTTTCCAGGCAATCAACATACTTTTTGTTTAGGTTACGGTCATTGAGACGACTAAAATAGAATATACGATCGTCTCAACGGGCTTATGGGTCCCTATCATGCATACGTGATTTTATTGTGTCATTGTTCAATCAACTTATTCAGTTTGTTCAAATTCAAGTCTTATTTTGTATGTTCATTATGGTATCTCTACTTTTATATTAAACTCAATACTTCATGTCGATTGGCGATACTTAATAGATAAAATTAATTTGACAATTTAAGACAGTTACTAGAATTATTTCAATTCACGAATATATTTCATTTGGGAGCGATGAACTCGAGTATAATCTTGATCTTTCAATTAAATTCCTATGAACGCTTTCTAGCGTGTAAGTACTGTAAACTCTAAACTAATATTTTTCTTCTAACTGCTTCGCGCTTGTAATTTCGTCAGAATACAGGATTAATTTAAAGCATGGTGGTCAAACTATTATTCCACTGCGACTAATCCAACCTGATAGATACTGATTGTCAGTGGCAGGGGAGAGCTACAGGGGGCTTGAGGCCCCCCTCCCACCCATTGATCAAAAAATCTATTATGTATTAATCATAATGACTACAAGCAATTCTTTAATTCGAAAATAGAGATATTAAAATAATAAATAACGAGACGTTTTTTCGATCTTTGCCTTCCTTTTCCCCATAAAATATAACCACTTGATACTGTCATTAAAAATCGAACAATACTGTATTTTTTGTACAAAGAGCAGTATTATTGCGTTTCGTCTGGGATCCACTAATGGAACCCATCAATTAGATTCATCCAACAAATTCTGCCTTACACGTGACGTTATTAATCATTTGTAGAACAATCTCTAATTATTAGAAAGTTTATCAGTACATGATTAGTTCGAACAAATTGTTTAAACAACCAATAGCCTTACATGAAAATCTGAGTCTACAATAATAAGTCTTATCGATCTGCCCAATTAGGAAATCCGAGACGAAACGCAGCAAGTCTCTGCATTTTTCACCACAACTATTAATACTATCCAATCATGAACTGATTATGAGCACATACAAATTTCATGGCCCTTTCAATTTAAAATGTAAATTCCGACGATATTGTAAACTGATGAAGTGTAAAATTTTACAAATTTTCTATGTTAATAAATAGATACATATATCTATTTTGTTTCTCGAGAAAAGAGCAATCAAATATTATTCAGAAAAATTTGTGGTTGTACTCGAGACTCGTAGCCCCCTCTTTTTTTAGAAACATAAATATCAATGGTGATCATCTTGATACTTAAAATCCAATTTGGCTAATTATAAATACACATTAAAATTACCATAGAAGAAAATTAATTTGCAGACCTAATAAGAGTCGCTGTACGTCCAGCGCAGTAGATCGGAATCTAATCTCGCGCACGGTGTATAGTTACGATGTCGCTGGTGTGAAAGGACCCTTATGCAACAGCTTCTTTTTCGTTCTATAGTGCCCAGCACACGAGTATACGCGCGGATAAGGGCGGAGCACGGACAGATAGTGACTTGGCAACATAAAGAATACATAATGTAAAACGTCGTGAAAGGAGGTTTCATTGGCTGTTCTCGAAGGTTCCTGGTGTACGCCTACCCATCTGGTCACTCCACCTCTTCGACACGCAATTGGCAGACAATAATGAACCTGGCTCGGAACGCTAACCCTTTTCCGTTGCCCGGATCCCAACTAAACAGACCTCTTTCTCTCGAAAATGAACCGCCGGAGTCAGGAATCGTAACAGTTTCGCCAAGTCCTGGAAAAAACGAAGGTATTAATCCGTCGACAGGATCGCAAACAATTAAAAAAAAAAAACCTCCTTCGCGCATGGGACTCCGGGTCCATTTTGACCCGTGGAAACAGTTTGCTTCAGACTCTTAATTGTTTCAGTTTTCACCGAATGATAGTGGTACACGAACTCGTGAAAGTAAACGATAATAATATGTAAAGAATTTCGATTTGTAACCTTGTGAAGAAATTCGAATTTGGGACAAAATAGATCCGAAGCCCGCCGGAGGACTTGCTACGATAATGAACGCGCTAAACGGGAAAGACGAGTACCAATCGTTATTTAAGATTGTCCCCGCAACGATGAGGATGAGCTAAGTGGTTGTCAAGGTTTAGTGGTTCACGCGTTCGTGAAAACTTGAGATACCGTCTGACTTTTCCTCTCATTTCTACACAATTGTAGATGTACTCAGTTCCATTTTTGTTACTATGACTTTCATCGTTTTAAACCCATATAACACATCCCTTCTGAGGATAAGTAAATAATAAAGAAATGTCTTCAAGTTGAACGCCGTCGTAGCTAGGAATAATTGTATCGAAGAAGAAGATCCGATTTCTGGTTATTCGAACACTGCTAAAACGAGATTAATCGTGCCCCAAATACCCCACTGTGCGACGGTCACCAGTGACCACCACGAGAATTAACGCGTTACGGGCACAGGGATGAATTTTACCAAGATTTATATAATCTTACTTTTCTTTGGTGTTTGCACGGATAAATAATAAATATTGAATTACAAAGAAATTTTGATAAAAAGGTACGTTTAGAGACTTCCAGATCCGTCCCTGAAAGAACCTGCGATAACCCAAACGAAATTCTTATGGAAGTCGGTTGGTCGGTGAATGCGTTAACAAACGCCAACGGACACCTCGAACGACTGATAAATCGCTGTTTCACGCTCTCTTGTTTCAGGCAGAGTGATATGTTAACCGAAGACAATGACCCGACGAAACCAGCAGGGGTTTTAGACAATGCTGGCAACGTGTCTTCGTCGTCAGAGGCCACGGTACAGCACCCTCGAACCACAAACAATGGTAAATAAAGTTCCTGTCTATCGTTCACGCGGTCCATAATCTATGGCAGAGTCTTGAAATATTGGGTTGTTCCGAAAGTAATTTAATTTTTCTCCTTCATGAAAATTAACACTTCTCTTATCTATCTATATGTATATAAAATGAAAGGTCTGACGAACTGACTTATCAACGCCCAGGCTAAGCTCTTGGACATAAAAAGCTCAAGTTTTGCACAGAGGTTTCCTTTATGATCTATACAAGGAATAAGAAAGGATATTCCGAAATTCAACCCCCAAGGGGGTGGAAAGGGGTTGCAACGTTTGTATGAGGAATATTTTATTTGTGGTTGGATTTACTTGAAACTTGGTCTTAATGCTCTTTGATATAGTTAATCAAACACCTGTTTCGACATTTTAAAAAATTCAACCTCTGAAGGGGTGAAAAGGGGTTGCAACGTTTATATGGGACACTTAGTTTGTTCATGGTCGGATTTATCTGATACTTAGTTCAAATGATACACTCATTTCGCATTAAAGTTGCCTTATTTTCGTAAATGGATCTAGAAACTTTAGATTTAACATGCAAGTACGTAATTATTATCTTATCACTAAACCGTTGCAATGGTGTAAATACGCTTAAATATCTAATGTCTAATGTTTTTCCTTTATTCCTTTTTAATTAAAATATAAAATAGGTACAGATATAATTTTTTATCTTGTAAATAAATAAAAGAACATTTTTTTATTAGATTAATTCCGATTCTGATTCGAAGCAGGTATCAGTAATTCTCTGTTTCTGGCAAATTCGAGCAGCGTAAATTGGCGTTGAATTAAAGTTTAATGTGTCCTAAATTAATATGCAAAAAATCATCGAGGTATTTTTTTTTAAACTCGATTCAAAGTTGATAAACATTTAACATAAAAAATTGGGACCAATTGTTAATATTGTAAAAAGATTGTTTAGCAGTTTGGAAGGTACTTGCAAAAATCAAATTAAAAACAGAAATTTTCGGTAAATGGCACATGTTCAAGAAAATGCACCGAAAATTGCAATTTTCCACAACAAATTGGTAAAAACATTTTGGGATATAAGAATTTATAAAACATGGACTTTAGTTTTTTGATTTTTGTCCATTGCTGGACACACTGTGCGATCGCCTGATACAATTAGTGGCGCGAGAAGCTCGCGTACCATACGCTTTTCGTTAAACAAAAAAAAAAAAAACGCGCATAAGCCGTTTAAGGTAGAACGACATTTTGCTGAAAATAATAACTGAAACCGGACCTCCCAATAAAACAGTTTAAATTCGATGCTTTGAAAGGTTTCCGTCTGTATTTTCCGGATCCCTCCATGAGCAAATTGAATGTAACGAGAAACTTCTGGCCGATGCGCCTATCGTCTAGACAGAACACTCGATAGAATCACAACCAACAGACTTATTGTTTTCGAAATTAATTACGAGTCGACATTCATGGCGAAATCATACACCCCCGTGCATTCCTTCCGTTCACGGGGGGGAACTTGACGACAGAGACGGGCAAAATTCTGATCCAAGCACGAACCTCGAACCACCGATAAACGATAATTATTTATTCGTTGCTCGTTAAACTATTTCTCTCAAACTATTTCTAGAAAGCAGAAACATCAAAAGAGATTTGGAAGACCTACGATAAATCTTAAAATTCTAATTCTAGCAAAACCTTGCAACCATTTCCTTCCTGGGATGTTATTTTTTAGGATTAGTTGAACCTTCCTTAACTCGAAAAATCAATAATTCGAAATAGCTTGTTTCGGTTCTTCGGTTAGAACTGACTTTCTGCTTAAGGGGCTTCGTGTAAATGGTCTGTTTTTCAAGAATTTTTTTTGAAAAATGTAACGCGCAGATTCATTTAAAATTTGAAGTATCATTCATTAACGTTATAATGTAAAGAAAAATATTTTTTATAAATTTTAATTGTTAATAACAATGGTGCAACGATGGCTTGAAAATGGCATTCTGTAAATTCGCCGTGCAGTGTACAATGTAAAAAAATCAAAATGGAATAGTTAGTTTATGCAAAAATGCTCAGCATGACGTTCTTCTTTTATTAAAATTTTCAAAATTGCAAAAATGGCATAGGTTTGAAAAAAAAGCCGGATTTTTGGTTACGAACAATTGTTAATAACAATGTTTTAAATAAAAAATAAAGAAATCGGAGCTCGTCATGCCGAGGCCAATTATTTATAGAATATATATGCCCAGTTTCATAAAGATCGAGTAATCAGTTTCGAGAAAAACGCGTTTAAAGTTTGAGTAACAGAAAAATCGTGAAAAAATCGTAATTCATTTTAACTTACCGCGGTTTTTTGTTAATCTGCGATTCCAAGGTCATGGAACAGATCTTCCTCTTCCTCAAAACGTTGTAATTCAGCCATTTTATCTTCTTTTCGAGAAGCACGAGCCTCTTTTGCACAATGAAAACTGCGACGCTCCTGCTGTTTAATGTTATATCACCTAACATTGTGAGTGAAAAATCATGAAGCATCCCATCCTTTCCATATGTTTGCGTTTGAAAATAATCGTACTCGAGTCAGAAAAATTATTAACTCTCGGTGGAAGATATGAAGTATATGTTAATCGTTGTTCTTTGATTAAAAAAAAAAGAGAAGCGAAGTCGTAACAAAAAACGTGTGAACGTGAAACGTTTTGATCATACTGGCAGAGACGGAAGTCAAGAACGAGGTGCAAGACTGCCCCGAGAACGACAGCGTACCCGGCGGGGAATTGTACATCGACGAGAATGCGGAGGAAAAGGAGCAAGAATATCCGGATTCCATGGAAAAGGCTGACTACAGTTCATTGTACGGAGCTAATCAATATTATAACAGGCACGTATCTTATGCTCGAAAGAATTTTCTTCCGCGAACTTCGCCGACAAACTTGATGGAAATATCTCATTTGCGATCATTTAACACGTTAAACGCGTAGCCAATTTTTTCCCGCTTTTCAATCAGGATACGGTCCATTGTGAATACAGAAAATGCGTCTGCGTATCAGCAAAGGGCAACGAACCGAAAACCTGTATTCCCGTTTGAAATTTTCAATAAAATTCCACTTAAAAAGTGTAAACATATTTGTTAATATCATATGATTTCTGAAGTATTATATTTAAATTGGATACCGTCATAGCGTTTAACGTGTCAACGCATTGGGCGCAATTAGGGGTGCCAAATCAGGAACTTGATTTTTGGGGTACGGACGCTGAGAAATGATCAAATATTTTTCTTTTTGTCTTTCAGTTACCACCGTACTTGAGATGATTAAAAATAATTCCTCCACAGAAATCATTAAAAGAAATGTGTCGTATCCCGGAAAAAGGAGCATGCCTGGCAACCTTAATTACTATAGTTTCTAAATTTACTTTCCTTCTCTTGTTTTATGATACTTTGTTTCTTAAGTATGCAGAATTGATTAATATAATGCAATTTAATGTTAGTTCAGTCTCTCGCGACTTGAAATATTTCTAGATCTACAGATGCAATTGTTACTGATGCAAATGATTCAAAACTCGAGTCTACGATTCTGTAACGTGAGAAGAATTTGATAATTTAAGTATTTTATTAATATGCAACTAAGAAAATTCGATAATGGGGTGTGTGTTTTTTTTTATGAATAAACAATTATTTAAAATTTTATTTTGGATAAAAGAACTCATTAATTTTTGTCGAATAACTAAAAAATGAAATATATTTATTCAGCAGCGAAAGGTGTCGTTTCATGTATCAGAATATAGATATTTCCAAAACCAGACATCTAATACATTCAAAATTTTTATTCTGATACTTTTTTACGCATAAATATGAAACTTTCTATAGCTACTTTAATATTACAATGTCCACTGTACACACTTACAATACCTACTTATACAATACAATTGCTTCATTTCACTAGAACTTAAATTCATATAATAAAAGAATCCTAGTACTCGCTAGAACACTATTATATATTATATTATAGCGCAACGACGAACTGAGTTCGTTCGACGAATGAAAAGATATCTAATAATTCTACTTATTTTAATTCATCAAATGTTGAAATAAGATCAATGATAAAAACGATTGTTTTAAATAATTTCTGGGGGGACGCAACATTTTATTTTTTCTTAACCATTCGATTAATCAGTTACCCTATTTTTAAAAAAACTCGCAATTATTGCGGCCCCTTAGGTAAAGCTTTCATGTTTCCAGATTTAAATGTGAAATTAATGGAAATATAGTGGTGCCCGGATATATGACCAACGATCGTATCAATAATTTCTTTTCGTTATTTTTTAAACACGTTCGTTACATTTCTTCGATTAAAACAATACCAAATACGACATAATTTGTATCGTACTTACATATATACTTATTTAACAAGTACATAATTACAATTTATTTTTTTACTTGCTAAATAAATAAAAATATGTTTCAAATCGGGTCGCGTTCGGTTTCACTTTGATCGGAGAGGTTTTATTAGTATATCAAAATTTTTATTAACAAAAATTCGATAATGAAAGAGTTTTATAATTGCACTAGATTCGTTCTGCCCGATACTCTGGCATTTAATCTTTAATGTATTGTAAAATTAATAAATTTAATGTATGTTGACATGTTTCGGAAGTATGTATTTCTAATGAAAGTCCAAGTGTTTACATTTTTTTCCAGGCTCTGAACTTATATATCACTTATTGTTTACTTCTACCAGCTTATTGTTCAGTTTAGTTCAGGAAACTGTAAATAACAGACGTATAGTTTTAAGTTTGCATAAACGCTCACGCGGGAAGTAAGTTGACACGCAATTTTGAGCTTATTTTGTTATAATATATTTGTACAATAGGTGTTAATTAACGATTTATTTGTTTTTTTCTCAATGTTGAACGATATCCTACATATAATACCGCTTTAAATTATAAACATTGCTTTATAGTGCCGAAAACTAGAGAACTCACGCCTGCAGAAAGGTCACAAATATTTAGCTGAAGAATAAGAGGAGATTCTATAAGAAAAATTGCTGTTGATTTCAACATTTCTGGAAAAGGTGTTCGGAAAATAGTACATAGATTGGAACAGAATGGAACTGCAGAAAATCAACCAAAATCTGAACGTCCTCGAAAGACAACTCGTAAACAGGATCGGGTGATTGTACGAGAAGCGAAGGAAAACCCCTTTGTTTCGGCCAAACAGTTGAAATTTGATTTAAATCTACTTATTCAAGAAACACAAATTCGTGCACGCATAAAAGAAGCAGGATTCGCAGGACGAATATCAATCAAACGACCATTCGTATCTAAAATTAATGCTATAAAAACGTTTAACGTTCGCGAAACAGTTTAAAAATAAATCACCAGATTTCTGGAAGAAGGTTATATTCAGTGACGAATCAAAATTTGAACTTCGATGTTGTAGCAGAAGGAAATATGCGTGGAGAAAGCAAGGTGGATGCTTTAAATCAACAGTGATAACGCCTACGGTAAAGCATGGTGGGAGATCGGTATGCGTTTGGGGGTGTTTTTCTGCAAATGGTGTTGGCAATTTACGCTTTATAGACGGGATATTAACAGGAGCAGGATATGTAAATATTTTGCAACAGAATTTACAAGATTCGATACTACAAATGAACATTCACGGTGATTATATCTTCCAGCAAGGAATATACCAGCAAATATAAATGTAAACTAGCGACGAAATATTTCAATGAAAATGATATTCAATTGTTACCATGGCCTGAATTTAATTGAACATCTGTGGGATCACTTAGATCGAAATGTAAGTGAGAAATTTCGAAATAATAAATCTGTTTTTAAACAAGCACTACTCAATGCTTGGAACGGTATCGATGAAAATATTATAAATAAATTGTTTAAAAGTATGCCTAGAAGACTCGAAGAGGTCATAAGAAACAAAGGGTATCAAACTTCATATTAATTATGTTGTTTTATCGTTAAGTATACACTCAATTGCGAATCTTTCAATACTGTCAACATACTTTCCGCAATCGATAAAAAAGTTATTTAATTTTTTCTGTCATTATTATAAACTTTATGTCCTTTTTGGTGCTACACGTACTAGTTTGTATTATATTAAATAACATACCTGATATACAGGGTATAAACGATAACTTTGGCAAAAATCATAGGGTAAGTAGAGGTCCCATAGGCAAGTATTTTGAGCATGGGAACCCGTGTCCGGAAATGCACCAGTAAAGAATTACGGCGATCTTTAATTTTGGTCTTTCGCGCCTGATGGGTAGGCAAACTTTTTTTAGTTTATTGTTTCTTGACCATGATTTCATTAAATGTTTACGTTGTTCATCGTAAAACTTACAATGTTTGTCATCTTTGTCACCTACACGACTGACCCACATCAAAAGAAACAGTTTCCAGTACGATGGATTTTCTATCCATCAGGCGCTAAAGACCGAAGTTAAAGATCGTCGTAATTTTTTACTGGTGCATTTCCGGACACGGGTTCCCATGCTTAAAATACTTGCCTATGGGGCCTCTACTTACCCTATGATTTTTGCCAAAGTTACCGTTTACACTCTGTATACTTTCGATTAATTTCTAAATTATTGATTTGAAATAGAAAATATGCTCTTTTGAGACGTGTCGACATACATTCCGCGGCGACTGTAGATAACGACGAGACCTGGCTCGTGTCGCCGGTACCAGGAATTGATAGGGAATAGATCGTTGCCATATATCCGGACACCACTGTATGAGTGCAGTTCGAAAGTTGTTTAATATACGGTCATCGACACGTTAATTTTCTGTTAACAGTTTATACAACTCGCCTCCCTACGGATCAGTCACCACCGGGAAGAACACCTCGAGCTTGCAAAATTCTTACTTGACCCCGTACACCACACCAAGCTCCATGACTCAGTACTCCACCTACGCTACGTACAATAGCGGAACGGCTAACTTCCCCAACGTAGCCCAGAATATATCATCCTCCTCTCAGGTACTCGTTAAACGTTATAGGGTGATTTACGCGTGTTACGTTTTAATCACCGTGCGATGTTTTATCGGGAATGTTTACAGGCCGCCCTCGGTCGCACCGAGTCTCACAAGCGTGAACAAAGTTTCGTAAACATTTCATCGTGCGTTAAAAACTGTAGCGTGTTTCATTTGTCTTAGGAAGACGCATTTGACCATATCAGTGATCAAACAATGCGTGTCGGAAGATTCTCCGTGGCTGTAGGATAAAAGGAATTATTAATATCGGGAATGTGGCCAGACTGGCCTAATCCCCGAAAATTCCGGGCTCGAAACCCAGCGTCCGTGCCCCTGGTAGTAATCTTTTTCCATCTTCTCGTTACCTGGGCTTCCTTTGTCAAAATCAATCCACGGTTAGCGTGTTCGACTCCGTTCTGGCTTGCTTGACGAACTATTTTTCAACGGTAATCTCGCAACAAATTTAAATTCAATCAAAACTCCAATTTACTGTGTCACTGTGACTATACACTTTACACTGTTCGATCTCGAGCCCCTAAACGTACATACGTATCAAGGAAAAACGGAAACGAGAAGTTGGGGGATACGACTTCTCTCCACCATTTTTATTCCGGTGTTAGTGATTCCTTTTCTGCGGTTTTTAGGATTCTCCGACACCACGATTGATTTTTCTTAATATATTAATTTCGTACATTTACAATTTATCCAAAAGTGTTTGACTCTGCAATACACTTATACATAATCTCATCAACACAATACTGGGAAACTATACATACACTTGATTCATGAAGACAAATAAAAGTAGAGATTAAATGGTTTAGAAAAAACGATTTTATTAACATGAAATTATTATCAATCAAGTATCGAGTAACAGAAACAGTTTTTTACCTTACAAGTGGAGAATGCAGTAATCCGTTGTAGTATTTCAGGATCATCGCTTGTGAAATTAGATTACTGAACGTAAATATAGAATTAGAGTTTTATAGTTGCAATTCCTTCCAAACAACGTTCCATGTTTACATTCGATAATCTCTTCGGTGCCAAATATGTTTACACTGTCTGCAAGCAAAATTCGACGAAAAGCTAAATGTACTCATTTCCACCACTATAGATTTAATAATGTGTTAATAAAAATATTGTGTAATGTGCGTTCTGAATTTGTCTCCTACAATACGATAAGAAAAAATTTACTTATGAGAAGTCATGCGTCGCGTTGTAGGATATAGCTTGTAATTAAAAGAAAAACTGTTTAATTCGACCGTTAACATAACGATTTTTAATAAAGATATGTGTAATCGATGCCCGTAAATGTTAAAACCAGCCCGTAACACGTTACATATACGATTACCTGGTTAGCGTCGATAGAACAGTTATTAACGTAACTCAACTTACGCATCATTCTCGTTACCATTCCATGTTCGTTCTGTTTCTTTTCAGAAGTTAGATTACTCTGCCTACAGCAGCAGTTTGTATGGAAACGACAGGGTACCATTACAGTATTCCGGATATTACCCTATGCACGGTTATCACGCGTCGCCCGCCTCGTTTAACATCGGGAACCTGAATTTTGCTGGTAACGTTCCCATCGATCTATTTCTATTTGCAGCGTACGTGATTCTTTTTATTTCGCTTCGTCTGTTGAGAAAGAAAGAAAAAAAATAAAACAATGTGAGCACTCGCCCATGTAAGAGAAGAGGCAACAATTCTCGCTCGAGGTTCTCCACAAAATGTTTTCAAAGACGCTACCGTAATTTGTACTCGATCACGCGGCATTATATTCAGTTTGTTTATTCGTCGCTCTCGTACAATCGAGCGGCAGACATTTCCTGCGCGCTGTTATACGCCGTCGCGATAATTACGATTTACTTTCAATTATGATTTGTCAGTAACAGCTTCGTTCTTTGTAAAAAGATTCGACGAAGTCTGTGCTCACGTTGGACGCAACAACTCACGATGCCAGCGATCTTACCGCACGGGAAACCGCAAACATCGAAGGTAACACGATTCGTACGTGTGATTTTATATCTTCATTTCTTTTTTTTCTTTTTTTTTCTTTTTTTTTTTTTTGCTTCGAAATACGTTCTCTAATCTCGTCCAATCGCATTTCGTAATAAAATTGCTCTTCTGACTCTTCGACGGCCGCGCGACAACTTCCGCCTGTTGTCAGCGACTCCACTTAACCCTCTGTAATTACGTTTGGCTTCTGGAAAAAAAATATATTCGATATAATCATTGATAAATACTAATAACGAGATATAAATTTAAAGGTAAATTTTCAACTGGTACTCGTCCTAGTGTGAGATATTGTAAAATAGTTGTTCTATACTGATTGTAGGTCATACTATTGCTTTGATACTTTACTTGATACATATTGAGGATTAGATCAATATTAATAAATGTAGGTATGTGACTTTAGAGTGACTCTGGTTTATAGAGGGTTAAGGGAGCAGTCTGGTAAATTCAGATGAGAGATGACTTTTTTTTTACAGATTCATCATTGAGTCTCAAAAACATTATTCCAAAAAAGATTAAGCAGACAAAGATTTACGGACACATTTTTACGGGAAGGATCGATTTTTCGTTATTGAATTTTCTGGGGAACCTAAGGGCTCAGAACCCCAAACCTCCCAAAACCGATGATATTGTAGCATTTTTGTACATACTTTCTTTACCACTATGTAAAATGATGGACGCAAACGTTGTATACGATTTACGTGTTATATTATTGCGAAACAGAAACACGTGTAGCATTAAATTACAAATACTAAATTGGAAAACAAGATGGATACGATTTTTGCGCTCAAAAATAGTTTTCATCCACGGAGTTAATAAATTGCGTTTATTTTGCGAAATGTTTGTGGCTCTCTGATTAAAAGGAACAATACGGTCTTTAATAATGTTTAGAACGATCGAGGTCTGTGAAATGATATAATTGGTTGGTTCGAGGTGGATATGTGAGATGATGCCTCGAATGAACATGTTTCAGGGGCGACGGCGAAACCTTGCAGACGCGGAAGACGCCAAAGCGGAAGTGGAAACAGTATAGGTTCTGCGGACACGACAGAAGCCGGTCCTGACCGGATATTCATCTGGGACCTTGACGAAACCATAATTGTGTTTCACTCGTTGCTCACCGGTCAGTTTGCAACGAAGCACCGTAAGGATCCCAGCCTTCTGGCCCAAGCGGCGTACAGGATGGAGGAAATGATATTCAATTTGGCCGATACTCATTTCTTTTTCAACGATGTCGAGGTAAATGCTCCACCGTTCGAATCCGTTTGTTAACCCTTCGCAGTTCTATATCGAGCTGAACTCGATATCGTATTTCGTTTCAGTCGGTCCTACGTCGAGCCCGGTTATTTAATCCCAGAAGTACCATTTTCAATAATAAAAAAAAAAGTTTTAGATTAGATATAGTGTTAAGGGAAATTACATGGTCTTTCAAGCTACCTGAATCAACGAAAATCAAAATAAAACCATGACTTAACAGCTTCTTAATCAGTTTTTATTTTTGTACCAATTCTTATTGTTCCATATACTGCAGAGTGTTATATTTTGTTTCGGTGAAAAATGAAGTTATATTTTAATTTACCGTGCCTTTAACCTCTTCAGGGACAAATTTTTTTTGTCTATTTATTATTAACAGTAACTGTAATTATAAAAAAAAAAACTAAATGTCCACATATGTGGCCAAGGGCGTGAAAGGACCCCCATACAGATCTTATGGAAAATGGCACCCGGTTAAATTAGCTGAACGTTTGGTCTGATGTAGCTTATGATGTCTTGATGAAAAGTTCCAATGGGCCCCAAGCTCGTAAATTGAACAGTTTCCGAGATACAAGGGGGTCAAAAGTCAATAATAGTACGGCTTATTCTAGACTACCACATTTGAGCATATTTGAGTGTAAGAAGCACTGTTGTGACCCTGTGGGCCCTTAAATATTACCCCTTGACCACCTGACCCTCTGACTCCCATTCAGGAGTAAAAATAAAAAAACGTCAAAAAAGGTAATTTGCACAAACATGAAGTACCGTCGACATTAGCATTACCCAGTGTGCACCACGAGGAGGTAGCTCGATCGAATTTTGCATACCATGTGGCCCTGAAAAGGGCCATTTTTATAGTTCTCTCTATTTGTCCATAACAATCTCAACATTCATATTGTCTTGATGCTCTCTATTAGCGCAAATTGACACTTGGTTGGTAGATAACAGCCTTAGAAGACTAAAAGTTTATTCACGATTATGGAATCGTACCAAGCATCAAGTTCTTATTTCTCACATTCCCAAAAAATGAACTGGAACTAGAAGAGGAAGTAACAAATGGTTACTAGTGCATCTATCAATCCGGTGACAAAAGATTGGGTATACGCGCACATATTGCAAGTGTTTTAAGGGGCCCTTCTACTTTGTGGGATTAAAAAAATCGAATTTTTTTTTGCATTGTTTTTTAGTATGTAGTCTCGAAAATATATCTATGAAATATTAAATTGAAATTCGGAAAACTAACGAAGTTATAGCCTGCTGTAATGTACCACGCGCAGGGATATATAAATGGACGTAAAACTTTAAGTTGTCCTTCTACTTTGTGGGATTAAAAAAATCGAATTTTCTTTTGCATCGTCTTTTAGTATGTAGTCTCGAAAATATATCTATCAAATATTAAATTGAAATTCGGAAAACTAACGAAGTTATAGCCTACTGAAATATAACAACTGGACGTGAAACTTTAAAGCTGTTTTTCTCGAAACTGCATTTTTCGGCACTGCGTATGCGATAACAGAAAAACTATTCAAGATATCAACAGGAAATTTATACAGTATCTTTAGAACTAGTCTCCCTATAGCATGAACTAGGATAATTGCGATATTTGCAATACTTTTTCTTTTATTAACAAAAAGGCAGCCGAATATATGAAAATATTCAGTATTTTTTCATAAAATAACTGCCATTTTGCCATTTTTTGTTCTTTTGAAAAGATCCTAGTTCATACTATAACCACACTCATCTATATTAAGAATATCGTTAGTTTTTGGATTTCGGATAACTTGTTCGCAAGATATCACATACGCAGTCGGGCGCCGTTTCTAAAAAACTGTTGTTTGTTGATCAATAAAAACAGCGTAATCAATAGATATTATGCGTTGCAAAAATTCGTAAATATAGCTAAATATATAATAAATGTATCTACAAAACACGGAATTAATCGCTCTTTAATAGCCCGCAAAAAAAAATCACAAAGGAACATGTATTTTTCGTGCCTACAAGGTAGAATGGCCCCTTAAGGTTTTTAGGATTTGCTCGTCATCAAAGGCATGTCAAATATTCGGATGGCAATCTTCTAAATGCGACCAGAGATGCCACTGATAGAGACCATCAAGGCTATATGAATGTTGAGATTCGTATGGTCGAATAGAGAGAACTATAAAAACCTCCTCCTCCTAAAAAGCAACCTCCTCGTGGTGCACACTGGGTAATGCTAATGTCGACGATGCTTCATGTTTGTACAATGAAAAAGAGAACCATTTTTTACCTTTTTGGCGTTTTTTTGTTTGGACTCCTGAATGGGAGTCAGAGGGTCAGGGGGTCAAGGGGTAATATTTAAGGGCCCACAGTACAATTACTGAGTTTTAAGGGGTCAAATAAATGGACAGAGTACAACAGTGCTTCTTACACTCAGATATGCTCAAACATGGTAATCTGGAATAAGGTGCACTATTATTGACTTTTGATCCCCTGTATCTCAGGAACTGTTCAATTTTCAAGCTTGAGCCGATTGGAACTTTTCATCAAGACATCATAAACATCATATCAAAAGTTCAGCTAATTTAACCGGGTGCCATTTTCCATAAGATCTGTGCAGGGTCCTTTGAAAACTGGCCTAATATAAGTTTCCAATATTTGAACTTACGCTATTATGATTATCAGCCTACCATATATGGTTCGTGTGGCAGTAAAAGTGTTAAAATAGTGTACTTAGAACCGTCATCAAAACAGTAAGAAGAAGCAACATAAATTTGTTTCGTAGGATTGTGATCAAGTGCACATCGACGATGTGTCGTCGGACGATAACGGGCAGGACCTGTCTTCTTACAATTTCGCTACTGATGGTTTTCAATGCGCGTCCACGAACAACGGCATATGCCTGGCTTCCGGTGTCAGAGGTGGCGTCGACTGGATGCGAAAACTGGCCTTCCGATATCGCAAGATAAAAGAAATTTACAGCAATTACCGGAACAACGTTGGCGGCTTATTGGGGGCGGCGAAGCAGGAACAGTGGTTGCAGTTGCGGTCGGAGATCGAAGTGTTGACCGATAACTGGTTAACATCCGCTGTGAAATGTCTGAGTCTCATCAATAAAAGGAGTCACTGCATTAACATTCTGGTGACCAGCACGCAACTGGTACCAGCCCTTTCGAAAGTGTTACTTTTTGGGATCGGTGGAATATTCCCAATCGAGAATATTTATTCTGCCTCGAGAATCGGTAAGCTCTATGGAAACCGGAGATTTAAAAACAGTTATGATAAGAACCGAAATGATAGTGCAACAATTGTACTGTCCTCCGCTCACTTGAAGTCCCGCGGAAGGAATGCGGGAGAAGTAGAAGGGGCACACGTATTCCCACGCACACATTGGTCTCTAGCTCGCTATTCGTCGCGGCAGTTACACACACATGTGGACTGCCTGAGAGCAAGTGAGCAAGACAGATAAATGGGCGGTCCGACTCCCCTTGCCCCTGTGCCGTCTCGCGGGACTTCAAGTGAGCGGAGGACAGTACAGGGTGTTCGGTCAACCCTGGGAAAAATTTTAATGGAAGATTCTGGAGATCAAAATAAAACGAAAATCAAGAATACTAATTTGTTGATCGAGGCTTCGTTAAAAAGTTATTAACGTTTAAAGCCCCGCCTGTAGATAGGCAATCTGCGTACAGCTGCGCACGCGCGATAGTGGTTCTCGTTCACAAAACTGTAAAGACTGTCGGTATGTCGGTAAGTAGAGTTTCTCACGCTGAATAGGAACCACTATCATGCGCACGCAGTTGTTCGAAGATTGTCGTTCTACAGGCGAAACTTTAAACGTTAATAACTTTTTAACAAAGGCTCAATCGACAAATTGGTATTCTTGATTTTCGTCTTATTTTGGCTCCTAGAATCTCCCATTAAAATCCTGTATGTATACATATAAATTATGTCACTGTTTTTTAGGAAAGGAAAGCTGCTTTGGAAGAGTGAACGCACGGTTTGGTCGAAGATGTACATACGTGGTGATAGGAGATGATTGTGACGAAGAAACAGCGGCACGTGCTCACAATTTCCCATTCTGGAGAATAAACAGTCACTCGGACATGCGGTCGCTATATAACGCCTTAGAGATGGGATTTCTTTAATCAGAGTACATTTACAAACCTGGAGGGGGAATGACGGGACAGATTAAAAAATATGTCCAACGAAGGACACTTGCAATTAGTCGTACGGATACTTAACCGAGATATGTCTATTTCTATATTCTTTACTCTGTCGATAATGATGGTAAATGGGCGCTACCATCGAGTGAACATTTTAACATTCCTACTTACTATTTATCGATCGTAATATGTGAATCGAGGATCGACTGTTCCTCCGAAATCGTCATACACGGTTTTATCGTTTATGGCTATTGATCGATCGTTGAAACACGACCGATCGGAACAGAGTCCACAAGTGATATACGATGAAAGTAAAAACAAAACAAAAAAAAATGAGTGAAAGAAATTGAAAATTAAAGATTTATGTATAATATGAACATTTCCAATTCATTCCTGCACGCTTTCGATCATTCATCCGACACGATTATTGATTGATGAAACGAAGGTTCGTTGAATATTGTGCGTATCGTTTTTTGTGTACTTAAACGCATTATTGCATTTCCTCCTTTACAAACATATAGGTAATATAAAATTGGTCGGAAAAGAAATTAGATTCATAGGCGCGGTAGTATGTGTAACTCCGTTAGTTCAACTATTTCGATCGACGTTGTTTCGAAATCTCTTAAGAAAGTTTTATATGAATATTGTGATACAGTTTAATTCGATTATTTAATTACATTATGATACTAATAAACATAATAAACCATATTAAAAGCAGATACTTTCTCATGGACAGTTGGTAAAAATTATAGTCGCGTTTTTTTATTAATTATGTTATAGGGATATTCAACTGAAACATTATGCATTCTTAACACTTAATTTGTTCGTCCGTATCACATATTACTAAGAATACTAAAGTTCATACACAGATTGAGACACAAATTAGTTCCCACGGTTTTTCAGCCCCTTTCGATGGTCTGACAAATACATGTTTCATATCGAAATTAATTAGAATTTAACCGTCAAGAAATTACAGTTGCTTAAATTTAAAAACAAATTGATTTTCGATAAAAAAAATTAAGGTGTTATATTGTTAAACGAAGCTAGGTATTTTTAACTTTATAGTATTGTAGACGACGTTGAGACGAATTCAACGACCTACTAAACTATGACTTTTAGGTTACATTGAAAGATAAATTGTCATGAATCGATTGCCACAATATTTAAAATTATTCGGCGATACATAATATCAAGGCCTCACATTTAGACGTAAACATTACGAACGCTCATTTATTCTATACTTACTGTCGCAAGACTTTTATTTGCGACTAAATCCGAGATCTTGGTGCTGTGTATCGCTGAATAATTTTAAATATTGTGACAATCGATTCATGGCAATTTTTCTTTCAATGTCACTTAAAGGTCATAGTTTAGTGGGTCGCTGAATTCGTCTCAACGTCGTCTACAATACTATGAAGTTACAAGTACCCAGTTCCATTTAAAAATATAACAGTGACCTTAATTTTTTTATCGAAAATCAATTTGTTTTTAAATTTAAGCAATTGCAATTTCTTGACGGTTAAATACTGATTAATTTCGATAAGAAACATTTTTTTGTCATACCATCGAAAGGGGCTGAAAAATCGTGGGGACTAATTTGTGTCTCAACCTGTATATTTGAATCATCCATATCATAACGCGATTAGAGACTTCTTCAAAATTTCAACTATTTCGAATTAACCTAATGGAAATAGCAATTTATAGGTGATGCCGTTAAAATTGATAAGTTCACGAGAGTATTAGGAACGCGTAAATAATATTTTCAAGGTGTACGAGAGTAGGTTGTATAATTAAAATTTTAATTATTAAAAGGGAGAGATAAGATTAATAAATGATAACCAAAGTTAACGTTGAATAACTGTAAAATCTCTTTATATAAGTTTTTAAAATGTATCGTGTATTCGTTAAGAAAACATTTGCAGAAGACGATTGACAAAAATATAAATACGTATTGTGCAAATCATATATCCAACAAGAACGGGTTTTTCTTTTTACGATAATTCGCATTATTTTTTTACATTTTTCAATTTATTTATATGCCTACTTCATGATGCTAAACAACATACCAATTATTTATTCTTTACTTCGAAGTAACAACAAAGCAGTACAGATTATGTAAAACAAATTTGTCATGTTGATTTGTAAAATAATTTTAATTACTTGGTACATTTAATAGCACAAAAGTTTGCACAAGTTGTAAAATTATTATTAAGAACCTAATGCCGAGTGCATAAATAAGTTTTTGAATAAAAACCACACTTGTGATGTTTGTATCACCAACGGTGTATCAATCGATAAGAAATTCATATTTATGAAGCGACTCGAACAACCAAATTGACAATGTAAAAGGAAGAAATTCATATTGAATAATGAGATTAATTTAAATTGTCAATTTTCTTTTGGCAAAATACATCCCTAATTGACGTTTGATGTTCTTTTTTTATACATTATTTACACGTTTAGAAGAGGTTTATTGGTTCAATTGTACCTTTCAGTTAAATCAATGTATTACAATGATCAAACGAGATACTGCGAGTATATGTATTAAAATAAGTTGACTGGTGTAGAAGGAACGTTGTAATATCAGCATACAAATTTTAGATCACTATTTTATTTAATTTTCAGCACATTTGTTCTAATTTTATGGAACAATCCTTTCATTGTATATTCAATTTTATATTGAACGCACAGCGATGTAAATCCTATTTTCAATGTCTGTATTAATTTGACATCAATTTAAAAAAATTATATCACGTAAACTGTGCCTACTAAAATTACATATATTTTTATAAGTAATTGTTATTATGATTCCAATGTCAGGCATTCCAGCACAATAAGCAATACTTAAATATTGATCATAGAGACTTTCCAGTATATATGTTTATATTTGTTTATGCTTTCTGTATTGAGTAACCGGCATTGCTTTGCAAACTAGCATATCTCGATGATTGCGTAATTCATTTTTGTAGTTTATTGAATTTCTATATAAAAAAGCATCTCAGTGTCTGTGCGTCCTTTGTTGTACGAATGTTCTTAGTAACACTGATATGAAAACAATTATAAAGTTGCTTTCAACTGCTACGGATTTTCAATAAAAACCATTTTGTTTATGTTTATACAACGCTTATTTTTGTACATTCCAAGGGAATCAACTTTACACGTGATTATGCTATTTGTACTTAGTACACAATATTACTTGGAAAATTATTTTATTTATATTTTCTTCTCACTTCGCAATATATTTCCTTACGATTAAATGATACATTTAAAAAAAAATATACAACCAACTTTTTAAGAACTTATTCTTAAACGAACATAAAAACAGTATAATTTGTTTTTTCTTACATAGTAACGTATGTTGGAGTTGTCATTACTCCACAATTATTCCGATCTTGAGACATAAGAACATAACCATCGTTACCCCAATAGGTGGACCATGAATTTTTAATCAACCAGTAGTTCTTTCCGTTTAATTTACCATAACCAACAGCCAACACAGCGTGATCCAACGACTGCTCAGTATTATCTGTAAACAAAATTTTATTTGCATCAATGGAACTAATTTAGAAACAATAGTAAAAATGTGTGTTACATGTACTGACCACAAGTTGAATCATAATATACACCGTGAGAATAGAACGAAAATGTTTTATGAGAAGCGTCAATTGCAACTGAAATTGGTCCATGTTTTGCGATGGCAAGTTTTAAAGCATTAGGATTGTTTGGTGTAACATTCACGAAACCCGTAATATTGGCCATTTTCGGAACATTATCTATATGACAATAACCATCCTATAAAGAAACATATAAAACTTCATTAATTTTCCTTTTAACTTGTGAAAACTATGTTTAACTCCAAAATTGTTCATTATTATTTTCACAATTAGCAGTACATTACTTACTTGTCCAATATAACCACCGTAATCATCTTCGGTGGGTAGACCGTGTTTCATGATCCATTTATATGCTCGGAAGTCTTCACCACCATCACAGCCATTATTTCCAAAACCCCATGAACAATCGATAAGAGACTATAATTGTGCAATAACGTAATAAAATACATTATATTTATATACAATATTTATTACGATTCAAGTTTCCTTACCTGTTGAGACAAACGCTCTAGTTTACCATATTTCATATAGTATGCTCCCTCCACGGCACCAGTCGTACCAAAACTCCAACAGGATCCACAAACGGATTGATCTATACCGTTCAAAGAATTTCTCATTAATTTGGAACCATCATCGACATTATCGTCTTTAAGTAGTTTTAACACAGACCTTTAACAGGAGTAACAGCACCATAAAGTCTCCAGTCTAGAGAAGCTGGAATGTCTGCCTGTTCTTTTTCGATGTCGTAAGGGAATGCTTGGCCACCATTGTAGCCGCCAGTATATTGCTTACCGCGTAAAGCCTTTAACTCTAAGTCAGTGCGATCTACCAAATGATTAACAACTAACTGGTAACCCTTATTAGCTCGATTGGTAGAATGAATAAACCTGTAATTATATGATACAATATTAGTTGAAAAACCGACATTATGCGCAAATGTAACGCATACCTTAAATTTTGTCTGAATATTTCTTTACGCTTCAAATGTTCCATCGCGTCTGTATATTTCTTATCATGATTTTTTTTGAAATCGTCAAATGCATCGTTTACATGAATATCGTAATTATGGATGAATTCACGCATAGGATTGAATGTATATATGTGCTTGTCTCCAGGGCCAGGAAAACCAAGGCATGTGAAATCTGTTCATACGAATGTTTTACAATTAGTACATAACCATTTAAAATTTACATTAACGAATATAATAAATTTGATGTACTTTTTCCAATTTCAAAAACTTCAGAACTGGGTTTATCAAAGGAGTACCAATCGTAGTCTAAATAGTAATGATCATAGTGGGACCCTAAGAGACTGTTAAATCCTTTCATTTCATATTTCACTGGAATCGGTTCTTTCATATTGGGTGCACGCGGTGACTTCTATAATTAAGTTTAAAATGATTAAATAAACAGTTACATTTATTACCCATCCTATTTACTTCTCATGCATTATACTATAATATATACTTCAAAATTATAATTGCTTTATAATGTTGCTAAAATATTTCCAAAATATTTTAATGCAATATTGCATAAGAACAATGCTGCAATGTTGCAAATATAGCTTTAACGTTGCAACAATGTTCTAACACTATTATGCACCATATGAATGTACATTGAAATCAGCAAAACTTAATATTTTTTACCTTATATTGTATCCAAAGAGTATACTTGTTTACTTTTCCACCAACTTCCTGTTCAAGCCTCCATTTTTCACATAACTTTCCATTGACTTCTTCCTCTCCAATACACTGTATAATAGTTTAATAACATTCTATAATAAAATTAAATTTTAAGTACACACAAAGAATGGTGAAATGTTATTTCACCTCCATTCCAGTTGTGTCAGGAACAATGGCTTGAGTTCGAATTTTCATATTTTTAGTGCCATTTACTTCTAGGCACGTTTCAAGGTTGGTAGTCGCTTCTGTAGTGATAGGAGCAAGCTTTATACTGCTTCCATAGGACCCCTTATGCGATAATTGAAAAGTCTTCACCATTCCTGATTAAGCAAAATATAAATTAACTTCTCATTTAAAAATATAGTGTTTCAAGATGAATCATTTTTATGTGATTTCATCCAATGACTGACGCACGATTTGACAATATTAATTTATAGAATAATGTGTAGATTCAGTTCTTTAACACTAGCACTACCGACAGTTATAGTGTAAATTGTGTCTGTAAATTTCCAAAAATTCAATTGAGTAAATTTTTTACAGGTTTTATTAAAAATTACGAATGGGTCATTTTGACTAGTTTGGTACCTTACACAAGCAATGCATAAGCAATCGTAAGAAAACAAATCAATTTATCGTACCTCCATAGTAATCAATCCTACTAGAACCACTTGTATCATCGTACCATGCATAAAATGGTTCACGGATTTCAGCATATGGGATATATAAAGTTCCTTTAACCGTATAAGCATTACTAAATGTTGGAGCCTTGACAGCCTCGATGCAAGAAATGCCTACAAAAAATCATAAGTTGTAAAAATGCATTTATTAATACATATTTACTATAAAAAATAAATGTAGATACATCAATGAACATAATCTTACCTAATGCTATTAAAGCAAAAGTACTCGTAAAAATATACATTTTTACGCCCCTGTAACAGAAAAATGAAATTAGTATAGATATTCGTATTTTGTTTGTTTGATAACATTATGACCCGTGTTAACTGCTGCATTATCGATTAATGCACTAGAAACAATAAGACAAGTATATAATTTTGACAAGACATAGCACACACAGACAAATGTTTGCCTATTATAGAACGATTGGATTGCAGTTTACTTTCAATAATGAGGAAAGAAAATAATGAAAAATGGTTAAAATATCATGTCGGAAGACTGGTCGATAACAAAGAAAAAGAAACATCCATTGGCAATGATAAATGCTGTTGCATCTTGAAAATATATAATTTGTATCTTTATGGTAACTAAGGATCTAATAAAATTAAACTTTTCTAGAAGATTATTTCGTTTTAAACGCTTATGTAAGAGGCGTATTATTAATTTACAAACAGACACCGGAAAATAGAAATTTGACTCGAGAGAAAATTTAATATACACTTTCTATTTACCGTAATTACACTCGTCAACTGTTCTTTCGATTGTTCAGAATTAACTCAAATATCGAACACTGAAAGAGTATTTTTCAATTGTAAAATGTTCTTGACGTACTGTTTTTTCACAACATTATGACTACTTCAAAACGTAGGAAATAAACGTAAGACCCGTCGGGGTCAGAACAATGTATAGCGCTGGTTTTGAACTGACAATATATATACGATCATGCAAGTTGATAAGAATGTTTCATACTATAGAACAGGATCGGGTGCAATGTTTTTCAATTCTACTGTGGCGTAGATACGTTTCCATGAAAACATAATTATTAGTCACTCGGTAAATATGCGTCTGTTACAATGCTCAACACCATACCTTATTGTTGTTAATTTATCTGTTACCTTTTAAAACGAACATTTTTATAATAATTAACATTTGATATTTTCTTTTACAATTACGTTCAAAATTAAAATTTCAAAGACAAACATTAATGTTCGAATAAGAAAGAATCGATATAATTTTAAATGATACAAATATTATAACAATTTTTTGTTCGATCAAAAAGAAGAAATAACGTAGACGTGCCTTGATATATTCCACTTAATAAAATTAAATATTATAGTTAAAGAACGGGATTCGTAATTTTCTGTAATGCCAATAGGATCTATTGTTCTTATAATCAAATTTAAGTTAAATTTTTATCATTTCACAACATACGCCTGACAACAGGCGTACTGCGCAACTTTGTTAAAGTAGCCAAATCTGAAAATACGTTCTAGTTTTATAAAACATTTACATATTTTTGTTGTTGTTTATTTCATTAAGTACAAGGTACAAGCGAGAATCTGTAACCAGAAGATGACATGCCTTATTCAATTTTATAAATATAATCTTTTCAAGTAAGATGTCTAAGGAAAGATTATTTAAATATATGTATAAATTCATACATTTCGATTTATTTGTACAAAGTTAACATCGCTGAGAAACAAGATAAATGACGACAATTCAATTAAGAAATGAAAGTGAAATGTTTTCTTTTATCGTATGAATAGTATCAGATTGCACGCAACTTCAAATCTACATCGATGATCTTCAAATATTGAGGCGCTATAGACAGATCAATGTTATAAAGAAATAATTCAACACTACGTAATTCTTATCGTACGGATATCGTCCTGTGATAACATAACAAATTGGCACAACAGTACAACGGTTACTTCTCAAGTTCAAATGCTGTGATATGGTTTATAATAAAAAGATAGTTGGCAATATTTTCTTCGAACAAAGAAACATTTTCTCGTAGTGGAATAACGATTCGTTGTACGATTGGCTGATAGCATGGGTTGTGTTCGGTGCGATACGCAAATGCATTGGTGATTGGTGCTGAATTGGCGGATTCTTTCATGCATATATTTTGTTTAGAGTTTATACGATAAAATGATGATACGATTCCAGCTTTTGCATATATACATATATAAATACATGCATACATAGGAAAGTAATTTTATGTTGGTAACAAAATATATTGTATCTAGTAAACAATTCCATATTCGTTCAATATTGGCGTATATTATTTAATTAGATATTGATAAATACCAAACATTACTCTGATCAATGTCTCAACGCTCTAAAGTCATTAATTTGTACAAGACGGTAATGAATTATTTGCAATTTTATTTTAGTTTATTGGTGTTATTTATTCTGGTATTACGTGCATACCGTTTTAAAATGATACACTGATCATCTTATTCTTCAAAAGAAAATAATCATTTATTTGTTTCATTATTGTAGATATAAATTTTATACTTTGTATTATTGTTTGATGCTTCTAGCTCTTGTACATGGGTCGAGACTATCCAAGAGGTTATGATTTTTTCAGAAGAAATTTAAAGAATGCTTTTGGAAAGAATAAGGAAGAACGTGATCCTGAAAAGATTGACAAAATGTTAGCACACGGTAATTTTATTATTAAAGAACTGGAAGCATTGTATATGCTACGCAAGTACAGAACATTAAAGAAAAGATACTGCGACAAGACCTAAACCTAAAATAAACTATGTTTGATATGTACTTCTACATGTAGGTGAACAATTGATCTTCTGTTTATTGCTCAAAAGGAAAGCTCTTTCTATCAACATAAAAATGTTCGTTGTTAGGAGATTAAGTAGGTTTCTTATATTCTGTATATAAACACAAAAACCGATGTTTTTATCAAATATTTGTAAATCTATATTTTATGCAGAATAATACACATGAATACTTTTTGTACATAAATTATTCTTGTAAATAAAAATATAATTTTATACTAAAACTCAATATTAGACTTGTTTGGTTACCTTGTCGAAATGATTGTCAAAAGTGACATTAGAACCTTTATGGATGAAGTTCAAAGTGTATTTATATAATTGATATCTTTAAAAAAATTGAAATTTTTAATTAATCTAGTAAAAATTGTTATGGATTTTAATATCGCAGAAGTATAGAATCCATAAATATGGCAGTTTGCGTTGCTGTAATCGGTAAAGACGTAAGTATACATTTTCTACTGCTTTGAGGTTAAGGTACTAGTAAAATTTTAATAAATAACCAAAAACTCAGAATCGATAATTACAATAAATCATAAAATATAAATAGAAATTTTGTTTTTGCTTATTTAACAAATGAAACATTTTTATACAGAACTCCCCGAAGTATATTAGATGTGCAGATGAATCATTGGCATTGCAATTTCATTGCAAAGTTCACACATCAATAGATATTATTGAAGAGAAGTTGAATGTTGGAAATAAAACAGTAATTGATATACGGGATTTGTATTTAGGATTATTATATGCTACAGAGGAATACAAAGTGTATGCATAATATATATTATATATATGACAAGTATTTATATAAACAGAATTATGTGTCAAATCAAACGTATAATAATCTTAGGTAAAAATTAATAGTTCCTTTTTTATTGTATAATAAAAAATCTCATTTACATATGTTTCTTGAATTTATTTTTGCTTGTAAAGATCAATTAGAAATAAACAGCTATTTTTTCCTAGGATTATATACTTAGAATCACCTATATTTTAATACCAATGAACTGATAAATAATTTGTTTTTCTATTTTAGATACGGCTATGCTACAAATACAAAAATTAAATTCATTATTGTATTGCAATCGTCAAATATGTCATTGCGAGATAATGATGTAAAAATGGTAATGCTTTTAAAAATGTTCTGTTTCTGTTCCTTATGTGATAAATATATAATTTACCAATATGAATAAATAGGGTTTATTTTGCAGATTTTCAAGAAATTACATGCTGCATATTCTAATGCTGTGTGTAATCCATTTTACATTCCAGGCGATGAAATTAATTCCAAGTAAGTTCATATCCATTAACTGTTAAAATTATTTTAAGGAATATCAAGAACTACAACACAATAAAATTTATATACGTACATTTTCAGATCTTTTGATTTATCTGTAATGGAAATGATGGGTATTATATAGTTTCCTTACTAATAGTTGTATAATGTAAAAAGCATTGACTATTGCGTAATTATCAAAGTTAAACTCTGCTGAGCATGATCAATGCTTACATGGTTTCCATATTAAATTATGTAATAATCGTTATAAGGCTATTTATTTTTCATTCCTATGTAGATTTTATGTTATCGAATTTTCATATTACTTTCAAAGAAATTGCAATAGTCTACTTTAAGAGATATTGTCTTAAGGAACCCTGTTGACATGATTTATACATATGTATATTATACTATATTGTATAATATGTCCATAACCCTGATCCCAAATATATTGGTTTTGATTTCCTGATATTAATGTACCACCAAAATAGTTTATGAGACTTTTTTTTAATGTTGCAATGAATAAAATAAATACATCATAAATATTAACGAAATAAAGCTGCAATTTACAATATCGAAATCGACAATAGTGACGACGAACTTCCTTAGCGTCTAACGGAGTGTTGGTGATAACAGGCATATACCAGAGATGCCAGATTCAGCACCGGGTGCATTACTCACACATGCCAGATCACGCGTACGTGAGCTCGTAGAGTTTCGGAAAGTCGACAAAGACAGACTGACGCATGCTTTCTTTTTCGATTCTCCGAAACTGCCCGAAGTGATTTCGGACCGCTTCGTGGGAGTCGAGAGAGAAAGACTTCACATTTGCCTTCTCGCTCTTAACAACTGAAGTCGGATTTCCCGTCAACGGCATACGATTTGAAATTTCGAGCCGAGATTCTCGACTGCCCAGGCTTTTTTACTTTCCGACCTACATATGTAGGCGCACATAAGTAAAGTACCCATAGTGAAAAAAAAATTTTGTAAAATTTATTTTACGGAAATACACGTTGAATTTTGATGCATTCTTCAATATATGAGTGTTATATAGACTGTTTAATGTTTCTACACTAAGCAGAATTTCATAAAAATTGAAACAAATAAAATAAAGCCAACCGTTGAGCGGAATATATCTTAAAAAATCAACGATATTTTTAATTGCGTCGATGGTGCAGCGTTAGAGTGCCCCACTGTGGAACCGCTGGAATTTTTTTACCGTAGGTTCGAGTCTCCCTTCTGGACTTAGTATTTTTGTTTCTTCATTATTTTTTTTTTCAAATTTTAACTATATAACAATGCTCTATATTTATTTATAAATGTTCTGAAAGCATTTTACAAATATTTTAACCTGAAATATGTATAAATTTAATTTCTGAGCGTTTTTTGCGTCTTTATTTTTTTTGTGAACAACGATTATTGTTTAACATCTCTTATACTGAATTTAATGTGAAATGTTAGTTTTCAAATCTCTTACCTTTGATCGATCGTTTCATGCTTATCTTTGAATGAAGTATCATTGCTCGATGGAAACCACGAGGAAAAATGATTAATTGTTCTACCTGCGCTACGAAGGAAATAAAGGTTCGTTGGGTGATGGCCCAAACCGTTCAGGCTAATGAATGATTGTCGCGTTCGGGTTCCATAATGTATTTATGATACGTCAATGACTATTAAGCATGGAGGAGCAAAGCACTGAAAACATGTACTGAGGATTAGTTATCCACAATAACATTTTAATATCTTCATCTGTTTTTTAAAAGTAGCGTATATCTCGTCTGTGCTAGTAACATTATTAAGAACTTTGTGGTTGCTCCACCTTGCGTCGGAATTCTTCAAAGTATTGTTTCGAATACCCACAGAACTGTCGCCACTATTTTTCTGCATTACCGTACGAGGCATGGTCAAGTCATTATTGTTGACAGTTCTTCTTGACGAAAACCTCCTGCAGCTGTTGTCAGAAACAAACGCTTCGTCTTGTCATAGCATTGCGGCTTTTATTTTCCCTAATATACTTGTACGGTTGTTAATAAAAAGTTGGTAAAAATTCAATCGCAAAGCTGCAGTCTTAACAGTGTGTCGTTGCTGAAGTAGTTCAACGAAGCTCGGAGAAAATGAGGTATTTATTGCGAAAGTTACTTTCTACGTTCCCGCGTCTCTACGTTTGGTCGTCCCGTTCTAATCATCGTGTGCGAAATTGTTTTCCATCTACGTAGTCTCATGCTTATTTCTGGCACATCGCCAATCGTTCTGTTGCCGTGAGAATTACAGAAGCAACAGTATTCAATGGGTAGAGGAAGGAACAGGCGGGAACTAGAAAGCAGCGCATTAACTATCATACAAGAACCGCCATCTTTTCCATCGACGTTTTCTCTTCGAAAGTAGGCTTCCTAATATTAATTGATTTGTGTATTTCTAGACACCTGATGCATTTTACAATTTAATCAAATGTTCTACATATTTAGTATTAATTTTTCAACAGTTTAGTTTTTTGTGGTTGTCGAATAAAAATGTTCTGGGAAAGTTATATGAATCGTGTATTCTGTGTATAATATACTTACGTGGCTTTTGATAAAACGGATAGACACCTTTGAGTAGTAAGATTTAATTGATTGATATTAATTGGTTAAGTATATGGAACTACTTTCTATTTATAACCTTGTTTCAACATACAAACAATTTTTATATTGTTATGTACATCGAATATTAAACATAATATCAGTGTGTGAAAAGAAAGGTTATGACTTAGGTGGCGATTCAATAAAATGGCGACCATTCTCTTCTACTATACAGACTTTAAACGTCATGTTAACATATGTATGTCAATATATTACAATAAATATATTTTTTTTAAATCTTACGTTCGAATTTTTTTCGTATGTTTTAATCTTTTCTAATAGATATTTTGTTAATTGTGTTAAATGTTAATGTACTCGTTGAGGAATTTCCTGTAATTATGTTTATTCTGATAAGATCGTTAAATCTTAAAATAGACCTAATAGACTATATTAAGCTAACTAAGTTGAATGCTATCGCTTTTAACACGGTGATTATATATCGCGGTGTGATCCTGTATAGTTTAAATTAATCAATTTTAATGACATATTTTATATGTTTCGTTTATAGTGGTAGATCACAAATGACGACGATGAATGGAAAGAGACCATCCTCAATTCCATCACGACATCAACCCGAAACTTTAACTCAACATTTTGACCTAATTAAGTATATCTATGACTGTGAGTATAGGTTACTAATTCTTCGTTGCTATATGTATAAAATTAAATGTTTTCATATAGAACATCTTTGTATTGAAATATTGTTGTTGCAGCATGGAATACAGTATCTAGAGAGTTGGATATGTGTCACAACCAACCACACAGCAATTCTTCAAATTATAGGAATGGGGCATCTGTCACATATTATCAAGAACGAGAACCGAATCCACAGTTGAAAGGTAAGTTGCTGTTATATAGTTTCTTATTTTTAGAATATGTGTTAGATTAAACATTTCTGCTGTATTTACAGATTTCGAGCCGTTTAATCTTGAAACTTGGTGGGGACAACGAGTCGTTCAAAGTATTACTAGGAATACAAACTCCTAGTGCCAGGCCCGACATGTTGACTACAATCGAACATTCTCAAACAGACATAAGAAACAGAAAAGATAAATTCAGAAGAAAATTTTTTCCTTTTCTAGAAACAATTTATTGTATACTCAAAAGTAAGTGACAAGAGAAGAATAGTATAGATATAAATAAGTCTCTAGCAATCAGTTTTGAATCTTTTTGATAACAAAGGTAGGATATTAGTAAAGAAACAAAGAAGGTGAGAAAAAGAGAACGGGAAAGAGCAGGGTTACGAAAGCATATGTATTAGTATGTAATGACATTCCTCCAACCTTTTATCGTATTTTAACGTAATATCGCCTTTTCCTGGACCTCTTTAAATATCGTGTTTTTTAAAGGTATTTTACACAAAGATTGAATCTAAGCCTTTGCCTGTTTCTAATATTGTCTTTCTAAGATTTGAGAATCAACATATAATTAATTAAGATACATAGTGCATGCTGAAACTATTTATTTTATTTGCCAAAAGAAGTAAATGTAATTGTAAGAGAGTTTATTACAAAGCAAGTTTTCTTTGTTACTTAAAGAGAAATTTAGATTAATTATTCGTCTTTTTATCTCTTTGTAATTAAAACTTGGATACAGAACGTTGAATCGAGAGTACAAGAATTATACGTTAATTCCAAATATCTCGATCAAATGAACTATACGAAAGATGAACTGAAGGATTTACCATTTAAAGTTTACACATATATGTATTTTTCCACGCATTGCATTTCACATTTTTAATAAATTTTCCACTTACACGTCTGTAATAAGATCGCACCTCAATCGAACAAGATAAGTGTGTTTTGAGATTGTTTAAAAGAAAGTTTACCGATGTATGCGAACTTAGTAGTCTGCGCCTCTATATTTGACAAAAACAAATAATGTTCAATTCTTACTCAGAATAGTGTGATAATTATTGAAATTTTACATACAATTAAATATACGACAATGTACACTTAATACATATATATATACATATATGTATGTATATGTACGTAAATAATGTACATCTTTGCGTGTATAGCTATCCTATAAGATTCATCTGATAACATTTTTATCAACAAACATAACAACTAATGTCTTTTTAAATACGTGGTCATCTGTATCAATTGCTCCTAGTGGTATTTTTTTATGTACAATTAAATAGCAAAAGTATTATTACAGTTATAATGCCAAACCTAGTTCGATACCATTACGTGTTACAAATATCATTATAATGTTATATATTCATGCACTTCAAAGAACTGTAGACGCCACTATGCAGTTATTGACTCAATGCCCTTATACATTCGAAAAATTCACCATTTTCAAGGTAGTGTGAATTATTACTTACCATGGTTCGAGCTTGATCTAATGCGTTGCATTTTAGAGTCTTGACGGTTCCTTCCAAATTAGTTAGACTTCTCTCTATCGCACGTTTTTCGCTATTAAGCATCTGTTTGATTAAAACAATCAGTCTACATTTTGTACCAACCAATCTGGAGAAATTGATGTACATTTTTCAGTGGTACTGTATGAAATACAAGTATATAAAAAATTGTCTGTCACAGCCAATATTTTTGTAATTAATAGTTGCGAGGCTTCCCAATGTCCGTTGTGTTTAAAATGTTATTACCTATACTGCCAGAGGAACGTTGAAATAAATATTCGATATTCAACACGGTCGATACTGGGGAATTTCGATTAACAATAGAGATCGAACCTTCTTTTTTCCGCTAGCAATCAGACGATAAAAACGTTTCGTAATTATTTACTTTGGATTGTTTTTTTTTTTTTCACAATGGTTTTTCTATTCCTATTTTATTTCTCTATTTTTTACGCGTTGTCGATTTTTTGGTTACGTAGAAAAAACTAAAAATCTAGAAATTTGTTTACTCACCCTAACACCAACGTTCAAGCGAGAAATTGAATTCAATCCTGTAAACATCGTTTGTGTAAAGCTATTGGAAGTTTTCATTTTCATAGTTTGTGTACCACATGGTACGCCGGTTTGTTTTACGTTCACGCATGCGTATATGTTTTTAAAAAATATCACGATTCCGTCCAACGGTGCTCTTTCGTATTCGGTTTCTTTATCCACAAATTCCATTTTAACTATTGACTCGTTATTTAATAAAACCGGATATTTGAGTTTTATTTCCCGATCAATCGACAATTTCAAGATGTATTCTTCGTAGAGTAAACCGTTCAAATGAGATTCAATACACATGACTCTCTCTCGATTATCGATTATCTTGCTCCTGTTATCGAATTCCTCGCTTCGATTATTCTTTTCGCGTGCAACAGTTCCGCTCGTTTGATCATTATGTTTTTCGCGTCTTTCGGTGATATTTTCAAAATTTTCCGGCGTTATCGAGCCCGTCGAGTTATCAGCAGCTACAGAACAGTTTTCGCTAAATGTTAACTTTTCCGGTAAGTCACCATTTAAAGTCCTTAGAGTCATTTCTGTTTCGTGAGAAGCGAAACTATTTCGTTCGTTTTCCCTCTCAGGAATTTCATTGCGCAGACGTAACAGAACCTGAAACTTTTTGTCGAATTTTACAAGGTAATCTATATTACATGAAATAAGAATAGTGCGCAAAATCGAAATTAATAAAAGTGCTTACAAGGAACATTATACAATTATTACACTCGAATAAATAAAAATAAAAGAAAATGTTGAATAGAAAGGTTTTATAGTTTCACACAAGAAATAACGTGAAGTAAGCGTTTGTGAAATCACAGATGGCACCACTAAAAATTACTTTTAAATAAATTCTTTTGTGTAACATAACTTTTACTGTTGAAAATGTAATAATACAAAGAATAAAATGACCAAATTACTGTGAAATGAGAGAAGTGCATTTCTATTTAATCGAAGCATAGTATATCATACCACAGACGAGATATACGAGTATGTACACCCACAGACGAGGTATATGAGTAGACCTTTCACCTAATGTATTTTTTCAGCCCGTTTCTCTGGGGTCCCGGGACCCCATTACCATTTTCGTGTCACTCGCAACGTTACCAACCGATTCAGAAATGAATTTTAATCCCTTCCATAGTCAACTCACGTGGATTTACGCAACTACAGCTTTTTGCCTATCAATACTAATTCAGTGAATAGTTTCTCAACTGACCGCCATCCATGAGAAGAGGGCGCTAAAATCACCTCCGAATTTTCAAGTCGGTAACGCAGTCAGATTCGGTCGCAAAAGTCGATAAGGTGAAAGGTCTACTCGTATCACAGACGAGATATATGAATAGACCTTTCACCACAGACGAGATATATGAATAGACGTTTCACCTTATGGACTTTCGCGGCCGAATCTGACTGCCATACCGACCTGAAAATTCGGAGCTGATTTTAGCGGCCTCTTCTCATGGATGACGGTTAGTTGAGAAACTAGGCACTGAATTAGTATTGATGGGCAGCCAGCTGAGTGGGTACGTAAATACATGTGAGTTGATTATGGGAGGGATTGGAAAAGACAGTGGAGTATTATCAGACGGCAGACCCGTGCTCAAAGGGAACTGCCCCACCACTCACACACACTAATGCCAACCACCTTGTATATGAGTTCTGGCGTTTCGTATAGCTTCGTAGATTCGAGAAAGGCGGCGAATGTCAGTCTATCCTTCTTGCTCTCACCACAGCTGAAATTCGATCTCGCATATTCTCGAGCCGAGATTCTCGACTGCCTAGGCATTTTTGACTTTCTGACCTGTGTAGGCATATACAATGTATAAGCAATATACCATAATGAAGAAAAAATTACAAAAATTTGTTTTTACGGAAATACACGTTTTAAAACGATAATATTTTATGAACATATTTTAACCCTTTGCACTCGGTCGTCCCCTCTGAGGGGACATGAAAGTTTATTAGTGATTAAGGAGAATGAACTGATTTCACCGCAATTTTTTAAGAAACACATGTTTTCCTGTACTTTCCTATTAAAATGGGAAATATTCTATTAAAATGAGAAATATATCAGCCGTTTTTACGTTGGAAGTGGAAGGATTGTCGATGATGGTCAGAGGCGTATGGTCGGATTCAAACACGTGGACAATAAACGTAACTATATAAACTATATTATTTAATGTTTACTGAAATTATTTAACATAAAGAACATAAAACGTAAACGTAAAAAACTATAAACGTAAAATCGAAACTTCATTCAAAGTCGAACCATTCCTATTGCTATCTTCGTTATAATCTAAATAAATTAACGTTCTTTGTCGGACAATAGAATGAATAATAAGCTACATATTCCAAATGTAGGCCAAAGAAATCGGGACTGCATTATTTGTTCCGACAGGAAAACACCAGGAGAAAGACGTCAAACAACATTTTATTGTGAAACATGTATAAATCAACCTGCTATGTATTGTGGGATCGGGAAGATAATGACTCCGCTCTGTTCCGTTCCGCACAATTGTATAGTTGCTGTCGTACAACGACGTGACTCGTGGTGCGGGTTACGCTCGACTCTCTGGTACGATCATCGCCACCGTACCAAGAGGCCTTCAAAAACAAAAGACGGTCAGAGACGACGACAACGGCTTTTCGGCTCACGCGGCTCTGGTCGTCTCGTGTGCAACCATCGTCTCGTGTGCAACCATACATTGTAGCGGCTTCGAACGGCTAAGGCGTATGTGGTGCCTTGGCCGCCACAGTATATTGGGAATTGTTTCAGAATTTACCATACCATAGAAAATTATGAGAAATAAATTTTTATTTTTTATTTTCTATAGATACATCGAGGCGGCCGGCAATGAATGCGTATAACAGCTGTGCTTAAAAACTCGATTTGTGTAGCCGGCCGCCAAACGGCGGCCACGCATTCATTTTCTAATTCAATTTTCTTTATTGATATTATCAGAAGTGGGAAAGATTTCAGCCATTATTTCGACAAATTTAATTATTAGATTGTAGCGGCCGGCGACAGGTAAGAAAGAGACTTCCTCGCCGCCGGGCCGAGCGACAAGGATGAGTGTGAAAAACAATTGAATGCGTGAATGTATGTATGTGAGTGAATGTGTGGCCGCATGGCCCCAGTCTAGAGCGAACCATCGCAGCGCATAGGCCAATAAAATATTTCCTAAATCTAAACGGCAGTTTTATTCCGCGATCCCA